ATGAGAAAAGTTTTGTTAACCCACTGGCCATAGGATAAGGAGGTTTTGAACCTGATTGAGAGCTTAAATTTGAAGCTTGTATGGTTTTACTTTACTGTATGTCTCTTACAGTATGTGGTGAAAATGTGGGCATGCAGTAAGTTAGATGGTGCTGAATAGCAAACATTACATTACAAAAGTTAGGTCTTTTGGTTCAATCAGTCCAGTATGTTCTTCTCTGGGCTGGAACAGACTGTTGGAAACTATCAAAAATGTCAGTATGATGTTTTCTGAATAAGAAATACAAAACCAACTTTCATACCATACAAAATGTCAATGTAAGTATATCATTGCAAATGTAATGTGTAGCACAGCACAGCGGAGTCTCAGAAAATCCCAATTTGAATCCACTTAATCTATTTAGAAGCCAGTGTACAAGTGGGGTGTGCTAACCAGTACACAATAGGTTTCATTTGTCACAGCATGAACAAGGAGAAAAAGACTCCAAAACGAAGCTTTACTTTTCTTGTCAAAATGTTTGTTTTGCTGTTGCACATGAGCATGTTTCATACGAATTTGGATGTAAGCTGAAAGAAACACAAACATAGGTGACTTCTGGTGGCACACTTTTTTGTTTTTAAAGCCGATATCTCACGAATGCAAGAGTGAGCTGTTAAGGAAAGCTGATCTAGGAGCCCTGTAATTGATGTTGATGTCTTTTCCTGCTTGTAGTGGAAATGGTAACCTACCAGAGTAACCTCTAGATTGGCCCACTGCGGTAAAACATGCAATGAAACAATTAAACCCTCCAAAATCCCCAGGGGGATCAGGTGCCTGGTCATGCTGCAATAAAAGCAGAAACTTGTCCACATGTTATATTCCTCGGAAAGGTCTAATTATGGGTCAGTAAAAATCTGAGGCCTTTCTGCTGGGTCAGGTTTCAGAACAGCATACAGGTCCGAACGGTAGTGTTCAGAGATGGAACATAACTTGTCTTCCCAAGACACTGCGGTTTCTGGAATACGTATTATACAAAACATTCTGTACATCGAAGGTTGTTCACGATAAGGGTCCCCTGCTTTGCAAATAATCCAATCATAAAGTTAAGGCAGCCCCTTTGCAGTGTCAGGCCTGCAGCCTATCCCTATAGGATAAGGGCCCTTCTCACTCCTGTTAAATTCCAATAAAGCTGGCAGACCTCAGAGCTGTTATTGTGTTTGATGGGGGTGGGGGCTGGCTTCGTTCACCTTCAATGACAAGTCTTCAGCCTGCCTGAGCTGACAGGGGGCCTTGTTTTGTGAAGCAAGGTCATTCGAGAAACAGGAAAACCTGACGTCTGATTTAGAGTGAAAATGAAAGTAGTAGTGAAGATGAAAGTGCCAAGATATGTAGACGAAAGAGGTTTCCTCTTTCTATTAATGCCAATTATTTATCATTTTTATTTAACTTTTACCAACAAAACTGTTCAACTAACACAACCTGTCAATAAAACCTCCAAAAGGTCAAAAAAGGAAAAACAGTGTTTATTAGAAGATAAAAACAACAACATTGTATTTTTCATTTTTTTCAGTGAATGAAATTCATTATTCTTGAATCCACAAAGTGTTGTTATGAAGGTGATAAAGATCTAGTTTAAGGGTCTCGTTTCAGGCAAAAATCTTGGATTATCCTGTTTTAAAGAATGATTAATATTATCTTTACCTTCTGAGCTACTGTGAAAAATTATCTTTCTTTTCTTAGAACCTGCCATCATCCTTCATTTTTAGGTTTATTTTTCAGATTCTCATATTTGGAATCCCTAGCTGTTGGAAAAACAGAGCATCAGAAAAGACAGTAATGGGAGGGTTCAGGGATGACATTCTTCCCAAAATATGCAGTTACCTGCACGTCTCATTTTCACCCTGAGCCTGAGTGTCTAAGGACTGGAGGCATGTCAGCTCCCACTGGCAGCTCTGTACGCTCACAAGCACTCACTGAGACTTCCACCAACTCATTCAAGTGACCTGTCTGATAATGCGCTCTCAAAGTTTTCACAACCCCACTCGTGCCATTCGTAGTCAGCCTGCAAACTCCAGCCTGCCAGGTACAAGCCAGGATAATCACATTTGTCCACTTTAACAGAACAAGTTAAGTCCTCTGTTGCCTATATTCACAATGTGTTTTGATGAATGTTACCACACAGATGAGGAACTCCATTTTCATGTTTGAAGTGAGCTAAACAACTAACAAAAGAACTCCCACCACCGTGGTGTTCATCGAGAATCTACGTCACAAAAGCTATTACATACATCTCAATATATGCCCATGCACTAAATACATATTCATCATGTTTGCACGTTTTGTGTTCAATTCATTGTGCTGTGAGGAAATGTGGTCTCTCGATACAAATAAAAGCCTCTATATCTCAGAAGAATATTCATTCAGAGCAAAGGTATTTCTGGTTTGCTATCTTTCCCAATGTACTTATTTTGTACTCAAAAAAATCAGCCTGCACACACAAACATCTTGCACTCCTGCCATAAATGGGCAAGTGAATCTAGCCACTGCATGATGACAAACGGTAACTGATTATTGCAGAGCAAACTGAGCTTTCCCCTTATCCTTATAAGGGATAGTGCACTGACGGGTTTAACTCTCTTACTCTGGCAAGCAAGTTAGAGCAGCTCTTCTTCTAGCTATGCAAGATCATCTGATTTCAGCCACCAATGATCATTACAATCAAGACTATTTAACTCTCTTAACTGTGTAGGTTCTTCTTAGCAGGAGAATCGACCATGCTTAGAAAAAGCAGCTGAGAAATAAAGGCTCATTCTACATAGCATTACTCATTATGGTGTACTAGTGTTAGTGCTGCCAGATGACTAAGTCTATACTGTGATTTTAATTCAGTCACAATTACCATCAAAATGTCTGGGTATCCGTTACAGACCTAATACTTGCAAACTCATGCTGATGTTTTTTCAAGAATCATTATTATACATCCCACTTGATTTTGTTGGGTGGTTACCCAAAAACAAGACTATTGGTGGGAATGAAAATCACATTGTTGTCCAAGCAAATACTCCATAAGAATATGAGAAAAGTTACAAGGGAAAGGAAGATATTTGGAAAATCTAAATGCTTTGGTAGTTAACATTTGTACTTAGTATCCAGCCATTTCTTGAAAGAAGCCAGTGTATTGGATTCAACAGCATGGCTGGGTGGTTAGGGTTTGCACAGAAATGCACTTTCCTCTTCCTGTAGCTTAATCGCAGATCACATAAATGTTGGTTTACCATACATTTTAACCTCTTGCTCATGCTAATGAAATTTTAAAAAATGCTTCCACACTTATGGATAACTTTTCCTGGGTCAATTATTACTACTTTATCAGTTATTTCGTATGCCGTGTTGTTTAAATTTTTGTGACCAAATTTAAAACTTACATGTTAAGATGATAATTAATTATGAGTTGTTGTTTTGCTTGAGTTCAGTGGAATTCAATGCAGAAAGAGAACAATATAAAAAAACAATTGCGAACACATGTGTGTTGCACAGCACATTGACTTTCTTTCAAAAAATGCTCAGAAATAAGATTGCATTACTAGTTTTTATTCATTCTACAAAAAGCAGTTTTCAGAAAATTTATTTAGGTTAAAATGACTGTTTTTACTAAAGAACAAAATGAAAACATTGGATAGTGATAAAAACTTTAAAATATAAGGGATGGTGATGTATCGTGCTGCATCTGCATGATAGCGTACAGTACCACATCTAAAATAAGAAAAAACATTTTTCTCTAGAGCACAAATGCAAAACAAAGTGAATTTCACCCTGCCAGGAGAGCATATAACACTATTTAGTCACACTTGTGCATTCTTTAACATTATTGATGTAACTTGTGGCAGAAACTGTAAATGTAGAGAAAAACTAAAACTGTGGCTTTCACATGAATGTGGAGTAAACCAGATCAGAAATAAGACATTCACGCAGAGATTTCTGGTACACAGTCCACAGCTGCCATCTTGGATTTATGACTTAATACAGCTGTTTGCAGCAGTGGTCTGACTCCTTGAACTATACAGATGCCTTAGGAAGAGAAAGAAAGGTTTTGGTGCTTGTGTATGTTATGTGGATGTATCGTTTAATTCTTTGATAAATACTCACAAGAGTGTTCATGGATGTTTACAAAAGTAAGACTACAAAACAGAGTGTAAACTACTCAACATCACGCAAAGATCATACGGTATGTGGAAAAACTCTGGGTTGTCCATACAGGGTAGCGGGAGTTCTGCATTGAGAGTGGCAACAATTACAGTATATACAGTCATTCAACAATTTAGCAAACAAGTGTTTTTCCGTAAAAATGCAAACTATTTAGTGGACCATTGTGAGCTTTTTCTAAAAGTGAATAGAAAATCATTCTTTCAAGGCTTTTACGGGCTCAGGACAGATCTAGAATTTCACAGTGCCTAATTAAACACTTTTCAGGTTTGTAATAATGCTTCAAATGCCACTGTTTGATTCCATCTCCCCAGTTAAACATTGAGATAAACCACTGCTGATATGCAACAAATCAGTGCCAATTAGTCCTTCCTGGATCCATTTGCCATTGCGGTGGCATTTTCCCTGCAATAACATTTAATGTCAGTTTCTCTTGAAAATGTCTGTGGACTTAGAAAGACAGTCCACATTTGTTCTTATTCTCAAGAGAGTATTTCACTCGATGTTAACTGCAAGGTTGATAAACTATGCACGCAAACAAGCATCTTGTTTCCCGTTTGCACTGATATTGTCATTATTGCTGCTTCTTTGGGCACTCCCAGCTGGCCTGAATGATGAAAGCAGCTTGTCGTATGAAAGCGTGCAATTTGATTGCTGTTTTTGCAGGCCTGACATTCTTTTCTTTCAGGAGATGGGTATGATCAGACTTTCAAAAAGAGGCTCTTTCACCACCTACCAGCAGCCCCCCCCACCAGACTCACTCCCATTCGTTCCTCGCTCCTAAACCCCCACTCCCCTCCCCTCCAAATCCACTCGCTCCCTGCAGTCCTCCAGACACACACAGACATGCTCAGCGGCCGTCCAATGCATACTGACATTTTTGAATAGAGAGTGCCAGATGTGAGCTCCCGTTGCAAAGGCAGTTAGAAAGTCTAAAAATATCTCATTCTCTCGTCTCTGTCTCTCTCTCTCTGCACAAGGCAGACATGTGCTCCACATGCAGACTGAATTAACCAACTCTCAAGTCCAGGATCAGACTCCAGCCATTCTTCTTTTTCTCCTTTCCTGGAAATAATCCTACAATAGCAGAGAGAACACCGAGATATGAACAAAAAATATCAATAAAGAAATTAGAGGCAGGAAGAAGACTTGAAGACTTTCAGAATACTACGGTTCTATAAAGAGCTACTCATCTTTGAAGGAAGACAAAATTCAACAAGTGAGAAGGAGCATGCAGAAGAATGCTTCAAGGAAAGCCCTGGCTGCTTTCTTATGTGCACTGGTGCTTTTTTCAGACATTGGATTCTCCCTGAGAAGACGGAAAAGGGGATTGCACCAAAAGGTGGGAGACAAGGATGATGTAAGTAACCTTTCAGTGTTTCTACTCAGTTTCGCTGAAAGGGTAAAGCTAACCTACTGTATGTGGATTCATGGAACATCATAAGAAAGTTTCAAATTTGAGCGGGAACTCACTAAAATCTCTCAAAGATCATTTTTAAACCAGGGCTGCATAGTGTAACCTGTGGTGGGGAGAACAACTGTTAAATCTCAATGGTCCACATCCTCAAGGCTGCAGTAATTGAAAAAGGCTTGTGACCCATTTTGAGATATAAATTCCAATCATCTTTTCCATCCTTTCCAGTACTGCTCTTTCCTTTAAGATCTCCATACATTTTTTTTAATTAATACAGCACATTTTGTAAAATACTAGAGGTGATTTGTAAGTTCTAAAAATATAAAACGTATCCTGACAGCTACTGTACAACAGAATGGTGTTAATCAAAGTGGTTCTGTCTACTCCAACATTTCACCTTACCGTTTTAAAGTAACAAACTGCCTTTAAAAACAATGTTTTACTTATTTTGGCATCTAACCTGCTCAGACACCTCAAGAAGGTTCACTAAAAAAAAGCAAGCGCACACATAAAACATTTATATAAACTTTGCAGTCATGTTTGCAATTTAAGTGAGGCTAATTTAACACGCCTGTTTCCCACAAAAGGAACGCACACTCCCCAGGTTGCTATCAGTAGAAAAGCGACCCATACAAGCAAGATCTTGCTTTGTTAGTGATTGAATAAACTAGTAAAATGGCAATCTGTGTTTGCTTTTACATTCATATACACACTTGCAACTGAATGGTAGCACATAAAACATTAAGATATAGACAACCTGAAGCAGACAAAATGGTAGGACTCCTGCTGCATCAACTGCTTCATTGCAGGAAAACCATTATCCCCCAAAATGGGTTTCAGATCTTGGAAAATAATCATCCATGTAAACCATCTGACTCTCTGCAACCATAAAGAGCTCCAATTGATAGACAGAGGGACCATTCAAAAACACAGTGAAAATCTGGGGGATTCATGTCTTGAAAAGCAAGCAAGCAATTCATTTTTAAGTAAAGGAGCATAATAACGAACACCAATTTGCTGAATTTGTATTCTGTGTCTCATAAATGTTGAAGTTATGTTTTGTGTATTTTAGAAAACACTAAGACCAAGATATTGTGAAGGTCTGATGAAATGTATTTCCTCAATATTGTGGCTTCAGTTATTTTCATGCTCCTTTCTCCTGCTAAACTATTATTGTACTCAGGGAGGGCAGCTCAGTACTAGGAGCTGCTGTACCATCTGCTCATGTAGATGGATGTGCCTATGGTTTTTCCATGTTCAGAGATCAGTGCAATGCAGGAAGGTTAGTGCAGCCCCTCCTTACCTGTGCACATTTCCTTTGGCAGCTCACCAGGTGTATTTAATTCATAATCACCTGTTGCAAACATACTGAAAATGAAGCCAAGAATAGATGGACAGAACAGGTGTATAACAGTATCAGTTAGTGTTCTTTCTCCACTTGTGTGGATTTGTTTAAATGACACTAATGACAGCCTTTGGGTCAGTGCCTGCCTCCCAGATCCATTTACTCTTCACAGTGGTCTCTACACAGCCAAAGAATTTCAAGCAAAACAATGCTGGAACAAATGTCATGACTTCTTATGGCTATTATATCACTTGTGCGTGTCCCTATAAAGCACTATGCATGTATATGTTCACCTCTGTGTGTAAAACAGGCAAAACTCAGCTAAAGTTGATCAGTAAAGTTCCCCAGGGCCTCACGGGGCAGGGTGAGAAGCTGAGAGTATGAAGACATAAAAGATATAAGCACATACACATTTGTTTCAGAAATTATTATTGGCAGACCTTGAACTTGAAAGGAGTCCCTTAAGACAAAGCTGTGCCTGAAGCCTGAAGTGGAGGAAATGGAAGGGAGAAATAATTCAATATTGTGCAGGCTTCAGTGCAGAGTGTCTCATGATTGAGCTTGAGAGGCCTGAATGCTATTAATTTGCTGTCCTATCACACTTTGCATAGAACAGTGCCAGGTCATTCTTTGACTAGTAAGTAAGGTGACATGGTAAATTAAGTCATACAAAAAGTAATACTAGCCTGTCCAAATATTTATTTTTCTAAGATGTTTCTAAAAGTTTTCTAATTTTGTTTCTAAGTACAAAAAAACAAACTGGTGAAAGACCTAAGCTGTGCCTGTGCTTGAAGCAAGACGGTGTACTCAAATAGTTTCCAAATCCCATTAGAAGGAGGCGACTGTCAGGGACACCAGATGTGGAATCTTCTCTCAGGAATTTAGACACCACAGTAGCTTCCATGATGACCGATATGGCACAGCTATGGCTGTCCTTATTTTTCAGTAAAGTAACATGCACTTGTTTCTTTCCAATACCGATACCCAACTGGTATATCAATACAGTCGGAGACCTATTGCGCCTGTTCCCATGGTTGTTAGAGGTGTGCCGTTTCCGTTATCCAGAAGGAGCACCGGCACCTTTGTAATCCCTAAAATAGGCCACAGCTGCTTACGGCTATTATCAGTTTCTGTGCAGTTAGAACCACAATCAGAAGATGGTAAAGAGATCCCATTAAAAATCATAAAGAGAATGTGCTGATGGAATCTTAAAATCAAAGAAAAAATTACACCATTCCATTCTAAGTCTCTCTTTTACAGTGGGCACTCTCATTAGGGCACTTCTTGCAGTGTTAACGCTGGAACAGCACACTACTGTTCTTATTCTACATGTGGGTACAGTGCAATGTGGGCAAGACAACCTGATTGCTATAGCTGATGAAACCACATTTCATCAGTCTGTGCCAAACATTTGCTTGGAGTTTTACGGCTTTTGGGCTAATTCTCCACCACCCAACTCACCAGCCCACTGCGGCTGACACTTGATTGCACTGCGTGAACCCATTATCAAATTTGCAAAATCCTGAGGCAGTTGTAATACCTCCCACCCTCAGAGACTGTAAAGGCACAGACTGCTCTAACATTATGCTATACTTCATAAAAAAGAACATCAAGAAAAGTAAATAAAAAAGATTTTCCACTTCATCGTAAACAGCAAAAGAACTTACTCACTTTGTAACATTGTGAATGCATACCAAAATCCAGACTTACAAATGACAAAAACAAAACTAGTTTCTCTAGTAGTATGAAAAACTAGAAAACTTAAATGAAAAAGATATTTTGCATTGAAATATATAATATGTACATGGTACTTCCATATTCTGACATATTATCTATAGTTTCTAGAATTTAAAACAAAAGTAACCTCAAAGACTATAATTACTGTATTTGTATTGTTTCCAAAAAGCTCATTCTCGGAGAAGACAGAAGACAAATAGAACTGTTCCATTGTGTAAAAGAATTAAATTGTTACACACAGTGACTACAGGACACATCTTTTGTGAGAGAACATAAAATGAAAAAGATCAACAAACATTCATACACAGGCAAATAGATCTGCAGGAACGTCACTCTTCTGATCTTCATGCACAAAAGGTGAATCAATTTGTTCTTTAAATGAATTTGCTCAGAAGCTGGAAGACAGTTCAGCTACATTAAACAGCATTCTAGGGGCACACAAAATGATCAGATGGAACCCTTACTGAGATTAAAAGAACCAATAAAATACTTATCTAATGTCTTTGTTTACTTCATACACAATGATAACCCTCAGATCAACACATAAGCTGAGGAATTTGAAGAGGACTGTGCAGATCGTCCCTTCCTGCATTTCTGCTAGGTACTAAAAGACAACACAACAACTCTGAAACACAATCATGTTCAGTAAAAGAATTTGATACTGTATTTTATTCAATCCGAAGCTGGTATGGACAAGATCACGTCTGATTGTGAACCATATTTTGATTGGCAGGTGTGCAAGCTAACCAGAAACTGTTAAATTGGGCCAAATTTCATCTTTGAGGAAACACCACAACAACTGTTTTCCTCCATTTCAAATGCATCCTAAAGCACAGCAAATCCATCACAAAATGTCTAGGTGTTGTTCAAACTCCACCCCTAACCCTAGCTCGGGTACTTCAAGAACATGTTACAAAAACCGTGCCTTAATCAGTGTGCTCCAACAGTTACCCAGATTACTCCACATAAATCAGAAACATTGAAAGTAGCTGTAGCAACTGTTTAAAGGCAAAAAAATAGAGAGTTTAGCATGTAGAATGTGTGTTTTTGAACTTTTAATGTTTTTGACTGAGTATCCAGAAATCTAGGACCAAAAATGGGGGAGATGTAGCATCAGTGTCTGATCTGGGAGGGTGCACGAGGAGTCTGCAAAATTTCAGATTAAGACAATGTACAGTATATTCAAGGAAATAGTTTTAAAGTATTTGATTTTGTGAATAATGTCCAGGTTTTCTGCACAGAGAAGATGAACTAGCCTAAAGGTTTTGGACACACCCTTTTCCATTATTTCTCTTGTTCACCCAAAACAATCCACTAAACCACTGATTTGAATGCTTGGAGATTTAGGGCTTTTTTAGTCATTAACTTTGCAAGATATTGCCACCAGTAGGGGACACAAAGCATAAGGCCACAAAGCAAAGAGAAAAGCAATGTTATCTTAAAGAGGGATAATTTATTCCTCTTTCAAAAAGATATGCAATGTTTATACATGTCTCTACCTGTGCTGATGCTTGCCTGTTAGGACATCTGCTACAGAAGTCAACTACTGTAGCTGCCTTAACATCTGACCTCCGGCCTTTTAACAAGTTTACACCGCATTTCTGAATGGGTGTAAACTGAAAGGAGACCAAAACGGGGTACGTTTGTCTAGAGAGGAGAATGAAAAACAAAAACATATCACAGGCGCCTTGGGGGTAAGGGAGCTCAGTGAAAGGGAGAAATGAAGGCCAGGGCATGTGATCTTGCCTCCCTCGGCTCTTTTCAAAGTGGCGTGTGACCGTGTTGGGCTGCTAACCAGCGTGTCTCCCTGTCCGGCCGCCGCCAGGATTACGAGTACCCCAGCCAGTCCCAGGCGGCGCAGTACCAGAAGAACGACCGCTGCCCGCCGCCCCCGCAGACGCTGCCCGAGCGGGCCTGCGAGGTGCCCAGCTGCCGCTCGGACTCGGAGTGCGAGCGGCACAAGCGCTGCTGCTACAACGGCTGCATTTACGCCTGCCTGGAGTCGGTGCAGCCCCCACCAGGTCAGTGCACACGGCCGCTGCCGGGGGACGGAGTGACAGCTTTGGGAGGGAGAAAAAAAAAACTCTCTTTTCCCGACTTGATAAGTATAATGAATCCAGAAACACCTGCAGCGTTGCCTACAAGATGTGGAAAGAGCAAACCGGGAGCCTAGGCAATGCTGCAGGCGTGCACACAGGGATTTAAGATTCCCCCGGCGCTGACAGAGACACGGGTGCGTCCCTGGCTAACAGAAAGGTCAGAGCTTGCTCCGCTCCACCAGCGCACACAGCCTCCTGGGCGTGAAAGGGGAAACACGGTGCAAGGCTGGCGGCGCTTGAGGAAGCGTTTTGAGAGCACGGGGTGAAGGCAGAGGGAAACGCCAGCTTACCTCCCACACGTCCTGACGGGGGAACTTCCTAAAACCTTTCAGTTTGAAAATACGTGTCTCTTCATGATTTGCTTGCTTGCTTGCTTGCTTGCTTGCTTCATATGCAGTCACTCGTGCTTGGCAGTTAATGCGTTACACTGCAAAAACTAAAACAAAGTACCGTGTCCATTCGCCAGTCTACCTCTACACTCGGCCATTAGCCTGTCGGTCATCTGCCATGCGTGCTTAATAAAGGCTCCATGTCTCAATTCAGCGTTTAAGGGCGAACTGCAGTTCTAGTTTCCTAGACCGCTTATTATATCTCGATAACAAAATAAAATTAACGGTATGGAAACATTTGACAAATTTCCAATTAAGCGTCAAATCTTGAACTTGTGAAAGTACTTTAATTCGCCATGTTTTCGCAAATTGCTGGTCTGACCACGGGCGAGAGGGAGAATTCGCGAGAATTGTGACGTAAAATCGACCCTTCCTGCTCCCTAGTCACTGTAATGACTAAAGTAAAGCGGTGTAGGAACAAATAAGTACAGGTTGTGCAGAAGACATTTCAGTGCAGAAAGATTCCAATGTGATCTGCACGCAGAATTAACAAGTACAGTATGTTCAATTTATCTGCAAAACTGTCTTGAAGTCAAGAGCAATAGTTCTGTTGGATTAAAAGAGACATTCACAAACCTGCTTGTTTTACGATCTTCACCAGCCTCACCTCACAGGAAATTATGTTGCCTCCTTCTGAATCGTGGAATATGGCACTGCACATACTTGGAAATGTTGTCTTATTTGCAATCTTAATTAGAGGTTTTATACGTTACCTTGTACATTTTACTTTTATTGTAATTTGACACTCACCAATGTTGATTCTTTCTAACCCAAGCTTTGTAGCCCACCTCTAACATTTTCTTTATTTTTCTTGAGAGGGCCTTTAGGATTCTTGAGTGTTAAAGGCAAATGCAAAGCTCTCTATCACTGTTCTGTGATTCTAGTTGGACTCACCAACTAGAATCAATTTCCTTATCACAAATGGGTTTAGGCAAGACTGGAAACAACTTTTACTTCGTGCTTGTTCGAAATCATCATGTTTGCACTACACAACTTGATACAAATGTTACAACATGACAAATGTTCTAATTCTAATTGTATGTGTCTCCAAAAAACATAAGTGTTTTTAAATATTTTGTGATTTTTACCAGTTCTTGACTGGCTGGTGCAGCCGAAACCGAGATGGCTGGGAGGAAATGGATGGCTTCTGGACGGCCCAGAGGAAGTCCTTCAAGGTGAGGAAGTGGTCATGAAAACAGCGTCACCTGTTCTGTCATTGACAGGGACTTAATGACGACAATAACAAGAGTTATATCTAGAAACACAAGACTCAAATGTGCAACCTGCTTTACAGTACTTCTCACTAAAATGTTAGTAAACTAAAGTGTTACTAAATGAATGCTTTTGAATACTTGAAATAATTGTGAACAGTTTCATGAGAGATTCTTGTATACTTCAATTAAACATTTTTACACACTGGAAGGTAAATCCAATCATCAGCAGTCTTCATTTTAAGATATCAGGGGTTGGCGTTATTATTGAAATGCTGAAAACAACAAGAGGCCTGCTCAGTCAGCTTGTTCTAGTGTGTGAGTGTGGGTTTTGAATAGTTTGTTTATACTGGCTTAGAAATGTTCACATTCTTCCCATCTTTGTGTTCCTTTCAAAAGCATGATCTGAAAAAGACAAAACTGAATGTTTAATTCAGGGTGGTCCAACTGCAATCCAGGAAGGGGCAGTTTTATCTACAGGTTTTCTGTGTCTCTTCAAGCAGCAGCACTTGAAAAGCTGGGAAAAGATGGTAAATTGGTCCTATTAAGCCGGTAACAGTAGCTTATTTGGATCATTAAGAGCTGAGCTGTAATGAAAACCAGCAGTCAGACCAGCCTAATAGGAGTGCAATTGGACCACCCTGGTTTGAGCAGTTTTCTTGTTGTGTAATTTCCATTTTTAGCTGAAAAGCCTTGCTTTGCTGTTTTAATAAATGTGTTGCCACAGAAATAGAAAATTTCCATAGTTTTACCGAAGGAAAAAAAACATAATTAAACTGCTTCTGCGTAGTTGAGTACAGATCCTTGGCAAACTAAACTAGGCTATAAGACAATGCAATCAAACTGCAAATTTACACTTTACATTCAATTTCCCAGGAGTCCTGTTATAATTTATGCAAATATTTATTTTATTTTATGATCCGGTCACAGCAGGAGCCTCTTTAGATTTTTGGGGTGAAAACCCTAGAGAAGAGAAAGGCAGGATTACAATAGTCAGCTTTGATGGGGGTGACTCCCCTGGCTGGGGAAAACTAGTTGTAAGGACGGGACTGTCAGAACCCCCCCTTGAATGAGTGATGAACCAGGAAGCTGCTGCAAGGGCAAAGATGAGGCAAGGGAGAGATGCAAAAACTGGAAAGTGTGCATGAAGTGCGATATTTCATAGGAGGCTGAACCGGGAGAGATGAGGGTTGGACCCCCTCATGAACTTATTTTTAGAAAAAAAAACACCCTGTCGTTGGGCCTTTTTTCAGCGGAAGCTTGCAGCACCACAGAGGATGGAGATGAGCCCCTGCACTGCCCCACGGGGTACGAGTGCCACATCATCAACCCTGGCAACCCTGCTGGTGGCATCCCCAACAGGGGTCAGTGCATCAAACAGCGCGGGAACTCAGGTCAGCAGCCGAGACTCACAAGACTGACACTCAGTACAGCCACAGTACAGGACTCAATGCATTGGAACAGGACGCATCTTACATAAGCTTGTTAGAGTAACTTCCTCCCTTAAAAGCATTTGAGTCCTCCATGTTCAGGGAGCAGTCCTGTGGCACAGTGGGACTAAGACTTGTTTGTTTCAGCATGGCTATGGTGCTAATAGATGTTCTCATCTCATGGTTTTCACAAAGGGGAAAGTCACTGTGCTTGTGTGGCAGGACCTTTTTTACATGGGAGGGTTTTTTGAAGAACCTTTTACCACCCTCTGTCCTTACAGTAAAACTGTTAGTACACTGACTTCCATCAGTCATTTCAACAGATCTGAAACTAAAATGCCAATTGCACTCTGCCACCTGTAGCTACATGGTCTCTCCCTGTCTGAAATGATTTGCGTGCTTAATGATTATTCTGGTGGCGCAGTGGTTTATCATTGCTGCCTAGCAGTGCTGGGGCCCTGGGTTCAATTCCTGGGGTGCTGTCTGCATGGAGTTTGTATGTTCTCCAGATGTTTACTTGGGTTTCCTTCTGGGCGTTCTGGTTTCCTACCATAGGACCAAAGCCATACTGATACAGTAGGTTAATTAGCTTCTGGGAAAAACTGAGACCTGGTATTGAAGTCTGTGTGTTTGTGTCAGTGTGTGCCCTACGATGGTCTGGTATCCAATCCAGGGTGTATCATGCCTTGTGCCCATTGCTTGCTGGGACAGGCTCCAGTTCCCCCGCAGCCCTGTATGGGTTAGAAAATGGATGGATAGGCAGTTGCAGTCATGTGGAGCTGTCAGCAAGGGCTGCTCTTCCTCCCATAGGAATTGAACTTCTGGATTTAACTGTTACATGTTTCAAGAAGAGTGGCTCAAAGGTGGGGGGGTTGGAGGAGTTTGCATATACTTCTGCATTCTTCCCTGTGTGGCTACAGGGTTTCTATCTGAGACTTGAAAATGCACAGTTGATTTGTCCAAATCAGGGTGGATATAAAGAAATATATTTGGTGAGTTCAGTGCTATTTTTATTTATTTTGTTACAGATGGGCGCAGTTTAAGGCACAAGTATTTCAAAGACTACAAGGATTATTTAGGTAAGGAACTAAAAAGCCACCTCACAATCTGGTACTGTCTGTCTTGGCCATTCCCACACTGCATCATCAGGCATCTAAAATGGTTCAGAAAATATTCCCTCTTACAACAATATGTCATCAAACAAAGTACTGTATGGATCTAGTAATATGGAATGTGTTTTTTCTTACTGGAATTTGAAGGAAAATGAAAAGACACATACTGTAATAAATATTTTGACATGCCTGGCATTTTTAGCAGAGAGAACAGCATAATATTTACTTACAATGCTAGATGATCAATTTAAAATCGAATATAATAAAACAAAAAAAGCTAAAACTACTATAATTAATAAAATTATGATTATACTCATCTCTGGCTACTGCCCAATGCACAATAAATTCAAATTTTCTCATTTTAAAAGCATGTTTATTATAATAATCACTTTTAAGTTCCTTGAGAACTACAAGTTTCAAGTACTTGATTATTTTTTTGCTGTTTCCAGTAACTGCCAGTTTAAGAACCTGTTTTTGGATTTCCACAGGAAGCAATTCCAACAATGCTGTAGGTTATGAGAAGCAGCACCACAAACATCTGGGATAGAAGATGGAAAAACCACCCAGAGCCTTTCTTCAAGGTACATCTTCATAGATATAATCTTATTTCTAGATATCAGAACGTCTTACTTTTTCTTACCAAATTAGTCAAATCAAAGAGTGTAAAAATTGCATATTGCACCAGTAAAGCCTCGCTTAGAATATTCTGTATAATTTTGAGACTTTCTGGGGTTTAAGGGAATGTCCTACACAAGGACAAGGATCTACAAGGTCCAGATGTCCTCTGCATGGAAACCTCAAAACAGTATCGCCTTGCTGATGAAAAAAACAAGGATTTTTAAATTGAGCTTAATCACAAGCAACACCTCAGACAACTCAACAAAACAGTGTTTTTAAACATGTTTAGGGAGAGGGAAAATTCTAAACTTACCCACCTCCACTCTCCAACACATAAGTATCTCACCTCCCGAGTCTTCCTCCCAGCACCCTATCTTCACCTTTCCAGCAGCTCCCTGACTCATTCTCTCCCTGCCATTCCCTTTTTTATTTTGGTACTTTTTACTCTCTTCTCTGCATTGCATTAATTAGGATTAGGCCAAACTACTGAATACGTGACAGAAAATATCAGTCAACATGCCTAAAAAGAATGATAAATCTAACATGAATAATAAATCTAAAGCCTGCAAACCTGAGATAAACCTGGTAGACTAGCTTTGAAAATCGTATCCTTGAAACATTAAAAGTTACACAAAAATGTAGCTAGAATCTTGTTCTACCTTCCTAGACTTTTTGCTTTTGCTTCTGCAAAATCTACCAATCAAGGCTCCTTTTTTTTTGGGGGGGGCAATATTTTACTCACCTCGTGGTTGCCAAACTAAATACGATTCAGGAACAAATATTTCTGCAAACAAGAAGAAAATAGATTAAAATAGAATCAGTCCATTATAAATCAAGGCTTTGAATCAATTATCATCATCTTTCGGGTGAGCAAATGGGGCTGTTCGTAGTTTCCACATTTATTTATCTCCTATTCAATTGGACCCTTAGCTAACCTGAAGTTTGGCAGGCATGGGGTAAGTGATGCTATTTTTTCATTCAAAAACCTCACAAGAAATCCTATCTTAATTCCAAAAGAAAAGCATTTTACAATAATTCACCATTAACACGTCAATTAGATCCCAGCTATCAAACAAGTCAGCAGTGTAGTCAAATTCTTGTAATGACAAAACGAGACGATGTATATAAAGAGATAGCATACTTCTCACCTAAACTTTGTCCAGTGATCTCACAACCCCCTCGTTTATGAGCAGTGAATCAGAGGAGCAGCTGCAAGGGTGAAGCTGGGCGGAAGGGGGTGAGTTAGAAGAGTTGAGGGCAGCCAGAGAGAATTTATACATACAGTAGGAGACTGTAAGTGTGGGGTTACAGTTTGACCACCTCCTGTACATCTGTTAAATAACATCATGAGATATTAACTGGTTTATCTCTTGACTCTTTACACAGGTCTGCTGAAGAAAAGGCTGAACATTCAGGTTCTCATGTTCAATGGCAAAAGTGTTTGTCCAGGTTTGACTCAAACGTCTCATTTTAAGTTGGCATAATGATGATGGCATATGCTTCAGAAACACGTATATTTTTCTACTTAAACTTCCAGGGAACTACTATTAGATTTAGCAGTGCCACACCTGTGTGGTCATCCTTATTTTCCCTTCACATTTCAGACATCTTAACATTTTTGTGTCTGAATGTAGTTTACTTGTTTCTGAATACATAAACTCAATAAGCTATTTCAAGCTTATTCAAGCTGCCTTGCTATTGACTTAGAATTTCAAGGAAACTACAGTATTGTACAGTTTAGGAGCCTGTTCATGGGGGTTTACATACTGTATATACCTCTGTCAAGGAAGTCTACCACATACTGTATGCTACTTGATATATAACTGTGAGTTATAACTGTGATTTCTGAAGTCTTAACTGTGAAGTCTGATTTTCACAACACATGCTGATGCAGAAATTCGATCAGTTATCCCCAAACTTCATTCCAGAGAGACCAAATGCCTCAGATTTCATAGTTGTCTTTTTGAACAGAAGCTAAAGAACAAAGTCTTGAATACATCTTGAATAATTAAGTAAAAAATCGTACAGTGAAATTATTTAGAGCTTGGATAGAACAAAAACCAGCTACTTGGTGCTTTGTGGGGTTGAAGGCTTCCATATTCGATAAAACATTACAGCTATTCCCTATTACAGCTGTTCTGTTCCTAAGACAGCCATGATTGCACGATTCCTTCGAGGTCTACGTTCATTCTTGTAGAACAGTCACCATCACCATCAGACTCCATTGAAGGACCGGCAGTTGGTGGCAATTGCCTGTTTGGTCACTGTTTTTCTGTCCAGCACCAGTGGGTTAAGACTGTGTAGATCCTTCCACATCATCCATCCACTCTCTGCCAGTACATCAGCCTGCCATTGTTCATTCTGTAATTGTTCTCCAATCTGTGCCAGTATCAAGCCCAGATAAAAGAGGAAGGTTGTGGTCTTTAGTGAAGACTAAGTAAGAAACTGGCAAGGCAGTTCTGTTCATTTGTCTGTTGACTGCAGAGGAGCTGAGATTCCTGTAAACATTTACTCAATGTTTATTAACACCAGTGCACAATAAGTAATTTGAAAGAACAGGACCAAAACAAGCACTTTGTGTTCATTTGTCTTTTCTTGAACACTAAATTGCATGCTGAGCAGAAAAAGCTAAGCAATGCATTTTGTGTAAGCAAGCAATGGTAGATAAGAACTTTTTTGTAGTTTTAAAATTTTGTAATAAGATACAGGGCACGACTTGTGTAAAGATATAAAAATAACTATTCTAAAAGAACGAAAAACTTCACAACTGGTACTCATTTACAATTTAAACTTATCACCTGTCATCAAAACAATATGAAACAAAGGAAATATATTATCGCGGCCCTGTTCTGGCGATTGTTTATAAAAGAACAAAACAGAGTAAGTCAAGATTTATATAACATGCACATCCTAATCCATATATTTTCTAACCACTTTATCCAATAGAGGCAGAAGAGCCAGAACCAATCCCAGCAAGCAACCAGTGCAAGGCAGGTTACACCCTGGATGGGACACCAGTCCATCGCAGGGCACACAGACATGCGCTCACTTACACCAGAGCCAATTTGTCAAAAAAAAAACAAATTACATACCAGTATGTCTTTGTACTGTGGGAGGAAACTGGAGCAGAGAACATACCAACTCCACACAGGTGGCCCCCCCAAAAATTGAACCCGGGGCTCCAGAGCCATGAGGCAGCACTGCTAATCACTGCACCACCATGCTACCTGCACAGCCTCATATGTAAAATTGAAGCTTGCATTCTGTAGCAATTCAGTCCCCTGATCTGCTTGCTGGACATCTCTAATATCCTGATGGTGTGACTGTTATATGATTAGCCATGTTAATTAATGGATCTCATCTGAATCAAGTAAAGGGTAGGAACCTAGTTTTCAAGTGTAAACAGAGAAGGTTTCATTATATTGAAAGCAAATTCTAAAATCCATGAAATTTTTAATAACTGTAGAAATTACTTGAAAGAGTTTGGCTTCAGGAGAATACAGTATACACCGAACAATGAAGCAAAAACAAAAGGAGATTCAGATTCCCTCAAGAAAACTACAGAATGTAAGCAGCAAGTTAAAAAAAAAGCTTATGTCGAAAGCTAATTAAATGAGACCCTTTTTTGCATTTCCAAACATCGTCTTGCAAAATGGTGTGAAAGGAATTGGGCGGCAGGGAAATTAATGAGTAAGATCTGCTTTGATCCGCCATAGGAACACAGCAGCTGCCTCCTCCCAGCCTCAGAAGACTCTGTTTTGCAGACTTTGTAAAAGCTCAGGGAAGGAAGGTTTAAGTTAAACTAACAGGAAATACCAACCACATGCTTTTTGTACCCTTGACCTTGACAAAGATCCTTTGTAGTTTTGATTCAGAGACATCTACTAAAGCGTTTTTTTTTAAATACTCAGCAACACTTAAGTCCATTAAGTTTATGGAATAACATGCCATTACCCTTATTTATATTTACAATTCTCTTTAGGAAACCGTGCTGTTGTGTTCAGAAAGTCTGGAAGTAATTTGTGGTACCTATTAAATCCAGCTACTGAGAGCTATTTAGACATTAAGCAAAAGACATTAATCTTTTTCATCTGAAAATAACGGAGTTTCCCATTTCTAGAGAAAAAATGCATATATAACCATTTGATTTCAATCTCTGGGAGGCTACCGAACAAAATGCAAGAAAGTCAACAAGTGTAACAAGGGTAAAATACTGTAAAAAGGGTTGGCAAGGGGACTAAGAACATTAATTGCACAATAATAAGCTGTGGCTTTATTATACATTTTATGGTGCTATGATAGTTTCTTTATATCTTAAAACTGCAGCACAGAAATAATCAATTTAGAAGTACCTTCCAAGAGACTCAAACATCTACCTGGGAGTCATTGCAAAATCACCAGGTACAATCATTTTAAAAAATCATCATGAACATAAAATCACACTCAGAAAATGGGAACATAACCTAACTCTGTGCAAACTAATCTCTTTAAAGGAAGGAGCAACCCAGTGAAGCTTTTCTTCTGAACCCAGGAGGTTTAGAAATTTTTGTCTGCCCTTTAAAACGTTTCAAATACTGTCAGTAATACTAGTAAATTCTTTTAACTCATGAAATCATTGTGTAGATGCGTACACAGTATAATTTTAAAATAAAAATGTTTGGAAAAGCTGTTAGTCAACCTTGTTTTGTTATTGTTTACACACCTTGAATCACTAGGAACTAAATGGCCTTTGTTTGAAGTCCTATATCTGAATACAAGTATTCTGTCCATTGGAACAACACTTGCAGATTAATTTCCTAGACTTATTCTTGGAAGGAAGGTTTTCCCCTCCAGAACTAGTTTAGTACTAAACGTTTTTAGATGTTTTTTGTACTACTACATTAAGAACATTGCAGTGGTAGTTGGTAATTTCAAGAGCATTGTATACCAAAATCTCAAGAAAGCCACCTTCCTTTCAGATTCACACACATGAAAATTTCCAATCTTTTTTTAAGTTAAAAAAAACTTTCATTTATGCTTTTCAACAAGTGGTTGGTTAAAGCATATTTCATTCCAACTGCTTTTAAACCAGGATGTCTGATTTTACATCCGTTTAATGATACTGCAGAAGTATCATTAACTCTCTTTTTAATGGGAAGAGAAATACAATTTAGCACAAGAAGCTGAACCAGACTGTACTCAATATGAAATTCTTCTTGCTGCCAGTAGGGGGCATTTGACAGCACACAATAGGTTGCATGCCTCAGTCTGTGATTGCATGCCCTCTGAGAAAATAACGTCCTTTCCATCCAAATCATATCATACACTGGTGACCCAAATAAGTGAGCAGGGATAAATTCACTAGAACAGAACACTGATTTATCAGTTAATGAATAGAATAAATAAATTTTAAAATGTTTAGTTATGTAGCTACTGTACTGTATCTACCACCTGTCATGATGGGAATATTGAAACCAAAAATAGCCATAAGAGTCCTTATAATCAGTTAATCAAACCATTGCATTCTCTGAACGGAATAATGAACTGTAAAACAAAGTATTTAAAAAAGACTTGGCATTTATCAACCACATTTGACAATCATTCCCAATCTATATCAGTTTTTAAATAAATCACCAACAGAACACTAACAAGCTTGCTGTTCTTCAACCAAATATATGTAATTACAAAGCCTTAAAAAACAGAAGGAGGAAAAATGCAAATGCTCACATACACCCAAATAAGCCACCACCATTAGGACAGACGATATTAAAATGAAGCTTCCACAGATCAGATCACCTGTCAGCTTTGAAGCAATTCTTTTTTTAAAAAATGACAACTGCATACATTTAAGTAAATAACGGATTTATTTCTTTCGTCACATGTGGGTTTACAAAGCTGTGGAAAGGGGAAAGCAGAAAATGCACATTCCGAAATGTTCCTGTCCTTATGTTCCGAACTTCTTCTGCATGACCGGGGCAGGAAGCTTTGAGCTAATGTCCAGCAGGGGACGCTCAACCACCAGCAGCCAGTCATCTTCGAGCATTTGTGCATGAAGGAGAGGCTGCAAGGGGACAACAGCAACAGAATCACAAAAGGGACACGAATCTAACAGACCCTAAGTTCCTCAAGAATCTGGGGCCCTTTGATAAAGCTGCCGTCTTTCAGATGTTAATTAATTTAAACAGAACAAATATTAAAACAGTTGAAGAAATCAAAGTTGCAATGCACAGGCATCACTGGAGTTCACTGGAGAAAGGATTTCCTTTCTCTGAAAGACTGTCCTGACTCCCTGCAGAAAAGCTAAAGCACACAGAAGTAACTGAGTGATGGGCTGTTTTAGATCCAGCAGGTCTGAATTTAAAAAGCTGCATCATATTTTAAGCAGGTCCCTTGTAGGAGAGTTCATAAAATAATTTCATGCCATACACAAGAGATGCAAGTTCATCCCCATAAATGTGAACTCTTCTTAAAGACAGACATATTTAAGAAATTTGCTTATTCCTTTTAAGGGTTTCAACAACTTCAGAAAAAAAAAGTAAGATGCCAATTAACCTAGTCAGCATACAAGTCTTTTGAAGGTGGCAGGAAAAAACCTCCACCCAAAAGGATCACTTCAATCTTTTAATGCAGTTGGGAAGGATACAAGACCTTTTGCTTAAACCTTACTCTGCTGTCATGTTCTGTCTGCACACTAAAATAATGTCAATGAAAAAAGTTGATGCCCATATTGTCTCATAAGTACGTACTTGGAATTTCTTGCAGATCTTGAAAGCATGGGTCTCGCTCTGCCTCTTCTCCTCTGACAAGCTCCCCAGAGTTATCTGGTCGACAAACCTCGTCTTGCTGTCTGGCAGTGGCTTTAGAGACAGAAAATGAACTCAACCACAAAGAAAATAACCATCATGAACTTACAGCTAGACCACAACATATCCCCACACACATCAATTAAGGATAAAAAGTCATTTTGAACGTGAAATTCCTCAATTAAAAGCAGCTGGAAATGGAAATTATTTAAAGGCCAGCGAAAAAGTACTTACCAGGCTTTGATCAATCATACAGAACATATAATTGTCATGGAGGACAAACTGAGAGAGTTTCTTTGGGTTAAAGGTCACGTGTGTTACAGGTGTATCTCTCTCCAGCCACACCTGGTGCAGCCCCTCTTTCTGCAGCTTCCTGCTCCAGTCCGTGTACTGTTTCTCTTTCATATTGTACTCAAAAATCTAGAAATTCAAAAAAAACGATTTATGAACAAAAGTTTTGTGGGGTGGTGGTGGTGGGGAGTGAGGGAGAAGAAGCACTAGTTCCAGGAATATGAAGACAATCAAATAATCGATAGACCCCTTACAAAAAAAACAAATAATTGCACATTGCACAAAAGACTTTAGCCTTTTAGTTTAATACTAAAACAAGTAAACCCAAGAGCTTAATTTGTGTTTAGTTGCATATCAAATGTGTACAAAAACCAAGAAAAAGTACCGCTACCATTAAGATACATAACAGTACATTTTAAGTCAAACCAGGAATAGAAGACATTCTGAGCACAGAGAAGAAGAACACATTTTTACATTGCCTAGAAATTAATTTTCTCAATTTATAAGCATACGATACCTGTTGATCTGCGTGGACCACGACGAGGTTGTTTGTTTTGGGGTGTATCGCCATGGCGCTAGGGAGGGAGCTGTATACAGGGACCGTACAGTGATGCTGAAAACAACAGGATGGCCATTATAACCCCCCAAGCCAGGTTATTTATGATTCCAGGGGGCCAGTCCATATTTCAATTTGTAAGTTTTCTCACGTACACTGAAGGCTACAGAGTGACCTAGTTTCAAGGTTAAAACCAGATTTAAAAAACAATAACTGGATTCAGGCTATTTTATTAACAATTTAAGACAAGATTATGTAAAAAAGTTGAATTGGAAGCCTCTGAATTACTGCTGATTATCCGATCTGATTGTTATTATTCTGAAAAAAAAAAGCATTTATTAAATGCCCTAAGCGCCAAGATGTACACAAAAATGTCAACTGGCATGTTAAAGTCATGCAAATACAGGTGTAAAAACAGTATTCTTTACTGGTGTGTGGCAAGCATATTACTTTCGCCCTCCTCAAAATGAAAATATACTACATAAGATTGGTGAAATACCACATAAAGGAAGCAAGTGCTCAAGTCTCCTGCTCACCTTCAACTTCTGGACATTGTAGATGTGGATTTCACAGCTTTTGCTGGCTGCTGCCAGCCACTTCCCATCCGCACTGGCTGCTAGCAGGTGAATGGCCTCTGCGCATCCTACGAGAAAGAAATCGGGAACAGTTCACAACAACAAGCCCTGGGAGTTTCACCTCATGATTCTGGACTGAAAATTAAACACAAAATTAAAAGCTTACCCCCAACAAGTCAATTAGAAAAACACTCCAGAATAATTCTAGGATATTGTATAGTTATACGTACAGTATGTAAAATCAACTAAGATGTGCAAAATGGAATACATAAAAACAAGATTTCTGGAATATACTATTGTTAGTGAATTAAGCAGGTAATAATATAAACTTTCCATTGACAGCATAATGAAAGAAGCCTGAAGTAATTAAATAATTAGTAAAAAATAATTGAAGTAATCATTAACAAAAAAACGGAAAGCTTTTCCATGATAAGAAAAGAATGTATATTACAGAAATATTTTCTAAACCACATACATCCTAATTATCTAGGTAATTTAAATCAGAGGCTTCCCATAAAGCCAAACAGACATGTTTTGAATATTCCCATTTTAAACTTGATTAAACCTATGTATCATCACTTAAATTGATGACCCTGCGTAAGAGTAAGATTCTTGATTCTGCACTCATTTGTAGTCTTTTATGACACTTTCAGAAGCAGCCACTAATGGGAGAAAGGTGTCGTGACAAGAAGAGACTTTACTCTCAAGGAAGGCCTGTGCTACGACTCTGATCACCTTTGACCGATGACAGCACCGATTTGCACAGATATTCTGTTATGCAAGAACCACATTTCTACTTTTTCAGCAAAAATTCAGAAAGTGTATGGCGAATAAAATTACAAGGAAACAGTTCAAAGAGCAAACTGTATAATGCGCTGTCCGAGTCAGACTGTTATAACTCTTTTCCCTCACCTATCACTGGCACCAAGCTGAGCAGACAGGAAGGGAAAAGGGAAAAATCTTGCTTTACAAGCTGCCACTATTTTAAATGCTTATCTGCTACAGGTGTAGACTACATCACTGTGAAAAATATTTTCTTTCCTGATTACCTGAGCTAATATCTAAAACGAAGTCATTTCAGAGCCACTTGTGCTTAATGTCTTAGTTCAAGTATGAAAACATTCTCAAATGCAATGACAAAGACAACTCAGATTTCCTTAGAAATCCTGAAGCATGCAACCACATTTTGTATGTAGGATCTAGACGGAAGTGCAATTAGAAATGAAATGGCGTGTATTTCTTTATGAAAGGGCTAGTGGGATCAGAGCTTCTTTCATGAAACAGCTGGATGAGATACGTTAGTTAGAAACAAACCCAATTCCTTACACCAATGTTTTCATAAATATAAAGAACTCCTACAAAACACTTAAGAAGCATTCAATTTAACGAAAAAAGCAAAATTCACTTTTGGAATATGAAAAGAAAACCTCAAAAATGAATCTGAATTTGCTACAATGTCGAAAGCACAACAGCAACTTTGGAAGGACAGGTTTGACACAATGCAAACCTGGGAGATTAATGAGTCTCTCACTGCGTAATAGCATGATTGTTTCAGGATTCACAAGTTGCAGCCACTGTGTTGCTTAGTATGTCAGCTGCTACTTTACGAGGAGCACAGACATCCAAACAGACATTTGAAAATTATTTACTGTATTGATCATCCCACAGCTTATAGATCCAAAACAAAAACATACTGGTTAATGGTGCTGTTTCCCCACTAGCGTTGAACAGTGCTAAAACAAAAGTACCTGCTCCGAGACTCACCTGACTTTGGCTTGAAAGTGTGAACGTAACTGCACTCCGACTGAGAGAGAGCGATCACATGGACATTCGATTTCCGAGAGGCCACAAAGAGTTTGGTCGAGTCGGCTGAAAAGTGGAGCTTGTGCGCAGATCGTAGTACCTTTGGCAGCTTTGACACCTGTAAGAGAACGGTGCAAAATAAATCAAATCTCTACAGTTAAACCTTAAGACATGAAAGCCAATGGCAAACATCAGTTAAACTTGGTCACGATAGTTTTAAAAACAGCAGCTTACCTATAAATACCCTTTCACTGCTCTCAAATCCGACTTATACTGTTGGAATGAGTTGTACTACATCAGCCTTAACTGAAATCCCAAACCATGTGCAAAGAAGGTTCCAACACTTTGCCCGAAAGGTTGTGAGTGTGCGGAACAAGATGCCCAGTCATGTTGTTGAAACCAATACTTTGGTTTATTACAAAGCACGGCTGGATGAGACTCTTGGATCAATCTGCTATTAACAACCACATGGACCAAATCATCTCCTCTCACTCAGAACTTCTCTTGTACAATTCTCCTGATGCTTGACAAACTTTGATAACCCAACGCAATCCCCTTTTTCATTACACTCCACTTTAATCCAGGATGCTGAAACCTAAATAGAGTATTTACTGTAGCCTTAAAACATACCTGATAAATTTGCTGAATCTAGAAGACACATGACCCTGTATCACAAGGTCACACAAATGTTTTGCAGATTCTTTGGGTGTCTGGCCACCCATGACATGTTGTAACTTACCCTCGTGATGCCGATGCTGTTGCCTTCACAATGCAGGCAAAACACTCTGATACTGGAAACTGTGGAATAGGCAATCCAATTACCACAAGGTGAAATGGCGCTACAGCAGATGTGATCCTCACCCTAAAAGCATAAAAGTACAGTCATCTTAACAGATTTTCAACTGCTCCACTGTTTTCCACAAATCTATCAACCTAGAAACCTTGGCATACCAAGTACTAAGAAATGGCACATTCGCAATTCTGCAGCAGTAACTTAAAAGTTTACTTCAGAACATTTTGTGGTATTGCCTGAAAGAAATATTTTCAAAGCACCTTTCTCTTCAGCTGAAGCAGTTTCTCTGGTTTGCTTGTAACAGGCAAGAGGTCCCCTGGCTGTCCTAAAGACAAAAAAAACATATATTCAGGAGTTCAGTTAGATCCTAATAAATGCGGGAGAAAGATGAGGGTTGTGCACACCAGAACCTAGTCCTGCAAGAGCAAATTGGGCCCAACTGTGGGCTCAAGGCAGGACACGCTTTGGGTGGAATACCACTCCATCGCGGGACCCATGTAAGTCCAATAATGAGACTTACATGTGCATAAAGAGATCAATTAAGAGCAGCCAATTAACCAACTGGTTAGAGACAACTAGATTCTGAAGCTCAGGAGGGAAAAGCTGCACCCCGCAAAAGCAGAACAAGCAATCTTTACAAAGAAGCCCAGATCAGAATCTAACCCAGAACCCAACAGGCCGTGAGGCAGTAATTCTAACTGGCATGCCCACTATGCCACCCTTCCTTTATTAATAACCCAGATTAACCTACTGCAAAACCTGTGGACACTGTGTTACCATCATAAAAGAGCACAAATGTCTCTGAAGGCTTCTTCACTAACTTTTTACAGGATTACTTTTAAGATTTGTTACTTTAGCAACTTAACACCATGTCACCTTTGTCATTTCAAGGTCTAAGTAACAAAAAAGATATGTTTACAGAGGATAAACTCTATATTATGCCTGAAATTACAATGTGTGGTGTCACCCGATATCTTAACTAGGTGTCCATGTTAGCAGGGTAGAGCAAGCATAGCCTCCTGTTGCTGGCAGAATAATGTCCTCGATGCAGAACTCACCCTTGACATCGGAGTCCCCCAGTCTCCATAGTTCTAGCTGGTCAGGATACTGGAAGAGCAGCAGGCCTGCTTTCTGTGCACAAGACACTAGGCTCCGCTAGAAAATACAAACCAATTACTACAAGTCCTCTGTATATTATACAATAACAAGCATTTTCTCTTGCAGCTATTTGACAGGAACCAGACAAAAGACCCTGTTCCCAATCATACTTACATGAGGGAAAGTGATTTTGCAGAGGGCAGACTCATAGGACTTGACTTCCACTTTGTCTAGAAATGGACGAATCACAAGGTGTGTGTCCATACCTGAAGAGAACAGAGAATATAAGCTTGTCTCTTACAGTTAGATCACAGCATCCTAAACTAGCAATATATAATTTATAATAAGACTGTGCTCTAAGAATGTAGGTCAGAGCATGAGTGGCACTTTGAAAGCTGTTTTTTTAATGTAACATTCTTAGCATTAATATGTAGCTCACACTTTTCCCCCCACTGTTCCATTTAGAACATTATAAAATCATGCTGTCTGTTATTCGCACTTCATAACTAGCAATTAGTTTTTACACCTACAAATTCACACTTCATCATTCATATTCTTTGGGATCAGTAGTGCATTTTATGCAACTAAAAATGCCTTAATAATACTAAAAAAAGGCATTATGTAGATCACCATCATGACAGAAATAATTTAGAAGATTTTATTGACAACATTATAAGAAACATCCAGTTCAATTTTTCTTTATGTTTCTAGTGTAACTTCACATCTCGGGGAAAAAAAAAAACATTTGAATAAAATGTGAATGGCAAAGCTCAATACTACGAATGGTGCCAATAACACTATGAAGTAGTGTTAGGGGCCCGACTGCACTTTGATCACCATCAAAACAGGCGAAGCAAGAAAACTGACCCCCAGACACAAACGCAGTCTTGATTTCAGCCACGGCCCTGACGTCATGAGTGTGATGCTTGAAGACCCTGGTCCTGACCCACTCTTTCTCTTCGGCCCCGAGCTTCGGAGACAGGAACTGGAACTGCACTACGGTGCCTTCTGAAGTTCCAGCCACAATGCTGTCCTCATCCTGAAGAGGAAACAAATTCACTGATGCTCATGTCTCAGCATCTGGATGTATGGCTCAAAGCAGCCTCCGAGCCATCTTGAAGAAAGGTTTTAAAACATGGAATCGCCACATGCACCACTTACCTCCGACACAGACAATGACAGGACGTCCCATTTAGAGATCGGGTGGTTTTTAATCAATGTTCCCATTTTCGCATCCCAGACCTGGACCTTGCCAGAGGAGTCTGCGCTGACAATGGTGTAGTCAGAGAGGAAGATCAGGCTCCACACCACGCAGTCCCTGTGACGTACACCCGATGGACCTCGGTCCACCAGCAGCCTCCGAACTGAGTGACCTGGAAATGAAACACACCAAACGGGGGACAGTCATTTGTGTCCTGCACTGCCCCCTTTTGCCAAATAGCAGTTTTGAAACCAAAATCCAAACATATGTTGAGGGATCAACAATTTTGTTTTTCTAAGGAAGGTTAGTATGACACGGACAGAACTATTTTAACACTTCTATAAATCTTTTATATAAAGTGTCTTAATTTAATGTCTTACATGTTGGTTTGTTAAGCATCAGTAAATCTGCAAATTGAAATAGACTGGAAAAAATACTAAAGAAAAGTAGTAAAGAAGAATTAAGGGGTCTGTAGCACACGCTCTCCACCGCAAATTTACACTATTCCCATTTGGGAAATGCCTTGGTACATCAAAACGTAAAGGGGATGCACTTCAGAAATCATTTAATCCCCCGGCACCTGCATTCTTATATTATAAAATAATTTTATTTTTAAAAATTATGTTGGCCCCGACCTCTTTGTTGGTGATTACTGTTTTTACTGTCGTCTTGGACTCTGCCACAGGTTTGCCCATGGGGGGATAATAAAGGTTTGAACTGAACTGCATTAACAAGTAAGCTTACCCGTTTTCACATCAAAAACATGGATCATGTCCGTCAAACCTGCCGCCACTTGCTCTCCAGATGCGTGCCAGGAGAGGGAAAGAATACGGCCTTAGGAAAAAGATCAAACTTAGATTAAGTGAATTCACTGAGACTACAGTCTTTTTAAAAACCAAACAATCCAGACTCACTATCCCCACCTTTCTGACGGCTTAAGTTCCTCAGAAACTGGATTCTTTCAGGCAGCACTTCAAACAGCTTCGCGGTCCCATTCTCACATCCCACCTAACAATCAAGAGATACAGTAAATGACCACAAAGTACACTATTGCAAACTCCATTTAACTCAACAACCAGGTGGCCTGAACACTTTTCCCACGCTAGCCAACTTCACTCATTTAGAACAGAAATTCCTGCCCTGTCTTATAGACAGCATTATTGGAAAGAAAGGAATACTACTAAGGAACATGAAAGCCTTATAAAAGCAAAAAGTTATCAGCACAAAGTGACCAAGTTTCAATTTCATTTCAAGCAACAATGAACTTCAATCTCATATACTCAAGCCAAGCAGCAAGAACATTATTTTGCCTAAACTGCTAACTGCCTACACTTTATCTTTTCACCTACAGCTAGGGTTACCTTCGTTTTCCCCAATGTAGTGCACTCCTATTGAACATGACCGGAACAAAGACTGAATCCCAACTGAAACGTGCCTTCATAAATGAGCTTTACTCACCACCAAATGCGTTCCTTCAGAATTGCAAGCCACAGCCCACAGAGGTCCCCCGGATGGATCCAAGGAGTACTTTACACACAGGTTCTCCAGGTCATACTCTACGATTTCTCCATTCAAGCCAACAGTGAAGAGACGGCTTCCAACCCAGCAGATTGCCTGAATAGACCTGGAATCATTCCCAGGAATCACCTAAGAAACAGAAAGAAAGTTCACACCAGGTATACTGCTAATGGTTTAACTGAGCTCCTCTGCTTGCTCAATTACAAAATAACTATTCCACAACCCTAAGGGAAGATTTTTTGTGCATTATTGTATAGAGTGAAAGAAATGCAAGTAATAATGACTTAAATTAGTATAGCGCTTTTCATTGTTTCACATACAGGAGGAAGCCCACTTGATCCCCCAGTAAAGTGCACCACTTCTCTGGATGACGTACAGATACCTCAGTGCGCCAACAGTTCCCCAGTTGAAGAAGTGAGAACTTATTTCACTTGTTTGATGGCCAGGCAGCTCAAGCTCAAGTAGCATTTATCCAGGACGCTGCATTAACACCCCCTGCTCTTTCCAAGAGTGCCATGAAAAACAACCAAGTCATCAAGAGCTCAGTTTAATGCGCTGTTTACTGTTCAGTTTGATCAGAAGAACAGCAGCCATACTGGGATATTGGAAATACTGGGTCACAGAGAAGAATGCTACCTTTTCCAGCAGCATCCTTATCTACTTTACACACCATTACTGACAACATCCAGTGTTGTTTAACTTCGAGATCAAGCTACAAGATGCCAACACTGCCATCCGAGAGAGAATCAGGAACAAGCTGCTTCATTTAAACCAGGGGTGTGAGACGGTTCTTCGAAAGTCTAGTGTCCTCTTTTTCATGTTCCAACCCGAGCTCTCAATTACACCTTGGATTTAATCAATTTAATTAGTCTAATGCTTGTTGTCTCCGAGGTGCTCTGTGGTTTATAAATAATTGTATGTTTTATTAAGTGCTTTGATTCATCAACTGCAAAAGACCTTAAGTAACATCTGTATCCATTCAAAAATGAGATTAATTGAAGCTCAGGTTGTAAGGAATCCAGCAGGCAGTAGAAACTCCAGACAGTGAGTTTGACACCCCCAATCTAAACACACTGCTGTACACATCTAAAGACTAGAAAACTTTCACTAATGTTTTCTTTTGCAATGACAAATACACGCCAATTAAACCTCAGCTTCCACAGAACATTACAGCAGAACTGCAAGTAGCCACTTCATCATACCTACACTCATTTCTGATCTCCAAGGACAGGGGGGTGTCGTTCTACATCATAGGTCATAAGACGCATTCTGACTTGGAAACAAGTCTGAAAAACCGAACTCTGATTTTTAAGAGTCCTTGTCATCATTCAATGAAAATATGAATGAGATGAGGTCATGAATAAGGTACTGACAACCACGAGAATTCACGTACCTTGTGCAATTTTCATGTAATTAATGAATCAAGGATTTACAGAGCAGGGATTCATGTTAATAGACATCAATACATTCAAAACCAGGGTTTACAGATGAGATCAACGAAGCAGAGTGTCGTTGCCGAAACTGCTCAACCCACAGCGAGCATAAGAATGGTTACCACTCAAAAGAAATAGACAACAGGAAGTTTAGCAGGCTTTAATTTGATGTGAACCGAAGTACGCTCTGATGAAGCCATTTGGTCCAAGCCATTAGACCGTCACTGGGCGCCATCAAAACAGAATTAGAGCAGATCCTGAATTTACCTTTTCTTGAAAGTATCTATCGGAAAAATTGAATATCTCTACGGAGCCATCCAGCCGAGCGAGCGCCAGTCTGTTCGTCTTTCTGTTAAAATCCATGCAGCGAATCCCCGTCGGCATGTAATCAAAAAACCTCACTCGATGCACTTTAAACTCGCCCATGGTTAAACTGCGAACAGAAAAAAAAGATATTCATGTCAATTAAAGCGTGTTACGGGTAGCTAGAGAAGAGTTTCTATACCCCCACACCATTCACCTATACGACAAACACCAAACTGAACCCATGCGTGTGCTGTGGTATAGCTTAATGCCAGCTGTGATACAACAACTCGACTACAAAGCAGACAAGACTGCGTTGTAATGGCATATCAGAAAAAAAACATAACAGCGAAAAAGTAAACTGACTGTAACTATAAAATGGAAAAGGGTTATTTTCAAAGTGTTGAGCATGGAAACACACGCCTATTTTTTCAATACAAATGTTTTATTTTTAGGAGGTAAATGTCGAAATGGTCGCCTTAAAGACTTCGATAAAGGCATTCGCTTACTTTGACTTGTTCTTTCCTGGCCCATCCACCTATTTTTTACAAGTTTGCTGACTTTCCCAGCCCCACACCAGACGAACACGCCGGTCCTCTCCACACCACAGCACCACATTTGAGACCTTCAACCCGGAACTGGAAACAACCAGCACCCCTCCCCTTCCGGCAACGTGGTTATAGCGATCTGGCGGGAATTTAGGAATGTGACAGTAGACCGTTCCATGTGTCAGAAGAAAAGGCGAGCGGTCGCACAGAAACAGATATGGGCTCCAGTTGGACGAGTTGTTAGTGGTAATGCGTATAGATTAATATTCTATCTTGTATTGTACGCCAGGTACTGTAAATCCCATGAGTGGCAAATACTTTTTTTAAAATAAAAATAGTTTGTGAAATTGCATACGAATTTATTAAACGTGTTTTCGGGGAGCGAATCCAGCCGTCTTAAGATTTGAGCTGGGTCCTGTTTTTATCAGTGGCACCAGTGAGGTGAATTGAGTGAAGTGACAGTGAAAAACTGACCGAGCTCGATACGATGATATTAACCCGTGTTTGAAAGATGCAAAGCAATCTCTTGCTCCGTGTACGAGGTGTATTTCTAGAACAAATATAATATTTATTATTTCCTTTCTGCATTTTTTGTCTGTGTTTAAAACAAGCCTCAGAGAATAAAATTAATTCCTTTCGTTTGGTTTCGTTACTTATGAAATTTATCTTATTAAAAACACCTAAATAATGGTATTGTTTTGTAATGTGAACTCCCCTGGTGTCACCAGTGATCAATACTGGCTCCTGTGTGCACAATGTTCAGAGCCCTGGCCTTACTGTATAACTGGAAGGTTGTGGGTTCATATCCTTTACAGTATGTGTCACTGCTGTTGTTCTCTTGAGCTTCACTGATCTGGAAAACAACATTTTTGATTATTTCATAATCACTGATATTCAATTCTGTTTCTTTAATGTATCTTGTATTATTTACACATTTGTGAGGTGGCCCTTATAGTATCAATTTATTGGTGCCCTGGTTTGAGTGGGTGTCTGCTTGTGTGTGTCTGCCCTGTGATGGACTGGTGTCCCATCCAGGGTGTGTCCTCCGTTGTGCCCGTTGCTTGCTGGGGTAGGCTTTGCTCCCTTGAGGCTCTGAACTGGATAAAGTGGTTAGAAAATGGATGGATGCTCTTCATGCCTGCTGCGTTTCACTGAAAGGTAAATCATTAATGAGTTAAATTAATGGCCGTTTTCTTTTTACATTTTTAGAACACATTCTTCTAAGCCTCCGTGACACCTGTGAAAATGGTTCAGATCCTCATTTCAAGGTATAAATGGAAAAGTCTTATCTTGCACCCTGTACTTGCTCTGTATCCTAGGATCCTGCATTTTTAGTATTCATACGTCTCTTAGCTTTCACTGTCTAAAATCATAGTATGGATGCAACAGAACTTTTTTAAACCAGACTGTGGCAAGATTGAGGTTAAGCACACGGGCTCCCAACAAGTCCCTTCACAAAGTTCGTAACTTCAGGGCCGAAATGAAATCTCTGATGGGAGTTAGAAACCTTGCAGATACTTTGGGAATGGTGGTATCATTTGAAGCTCATTAGAAACTAGGGTGTCTTTTTCCCTTCTTTGTAATACTGCTCTGTTAAGGCCTTGGTCAGCCTGATTCTGAAAAAAAATTGATGCATTTAATTAACCAGGTTTATACTACTAAAGCCTTACTTACTGGGTTTATCTGCTAAAATACTGAGCATGAATTCTGGAAATACTAAGCCTAAGTATGTTACTGGTCTAAAATAATATAATATAGCTTAAAAGGCATTATTCAGAATTGCCATATCACTTGGTTCCATTTCCTGCAAAGGCCTTAGCTTCATGTCTTGCAATCTAAGTAGGTACAGTTCCTCTATTAGCTCTCTTTTCAAACCCCCCAAACTGATCAATAGTAAAGGCACACATACAAATCTGTTGTGGATTTGTTTGTTGATGAATGCAGGCATCCGGGGTGATGATCACATTATGTTTGTAATAATCATCCCTACACTACAATTAAATTGTCTTTTTTTTTTCGCCACGCTGCCATTTAACAGATTGAGTTCGGGATTTTTTTTCGGCAATATAAGCAGAGAAAGTATGATTAATTTTTACACAAATGGCACGTGAAAGCTCTTATGATTAAAGTGTTTGTGTCTTGCAGTCCTGAGGGAGGTACACCCAGGGAGTGGATGCTGCTGGAACTGCAGGGAGAGATAGTATCTCGTCAGAACACTGGGCTGACTGGGAACCTAATGGGAGACCTGCATTATACTAAAGAGGTATGAATAAAAGACACATACAGAGCTTACCGTGTTTACTAAACATTTATATAAATAATAAATAGGCTTGATTTACTGTCATATAGCTAAGGAATTTAGTAAAACTAAATGCTATAATGGAATATCAGCATTTTATTGGTTCTGCTTGGAACTTTAAAACTGTGAATTTAAGACTGTAATTAAGAGGTACAAACAAGAGGAGGCTGTTGTCTTTGCTCTGCTCATTGGGTTCCTTGTAGTTTAAAGATTTTGTGACCCAATGCAGAAATTACCCAGAGATCCCAGCTAAGCACACCTAGGTGTGTTTCGGTAATGCTGGGCAGCGTGCGCCATTTGCGGTTGTGCAGTTGTGTTGAGAATCGCTCACACAACCCTTTATATAAAGCAGGGCCTTTTTTACTTCTAAATGCGTTCCTCATAATTACTGCTTGTAATTATTTCTGCTGCTTAAACATTACTGAACTGGGACAGGGACCATCTCCTGTGCTGCATTGCTTCCACAGTTTGTTAATCCCTTTCACCATTATTCGTACAGGGGGTTCCTGTGCTGATAATAGGACACCACATATTGTATGGGAAAATTGTGAAACTGGAGAAGCCCTTCGCTGTTCTTGTCAAACACTCCGGACTCCCAGAAGGCCCAGAAGAGGATGCCATGGAAACGAGCGAAGAGAGGCCTACAACGTACCAGGTTTCTGCGCTCATCAAGAAGAAACTGATCTTTAAAACCCGTCCCAAGCCAATTATCACCAACGTGCCAAAGAAAGTATAGCTCCCATAAACTGGCATTCATTTTCACAGACCACTGGCTCTTGGCATTTGTTTCCTCAGATGTTCTGCTTCCCCTTGTTTAGGAGGTCAGATCTGATCATGCACCTCCTCAGTCTTTTGAAAACATGCACTTTAATGAAGGAGAACCCGCATTATTTAAGATTGAGCATTTTCTGTTGAGTAAATTTAAAAGGAATGTGTGAGGTTTTTAACTGTTCTTTCAGGGCAGCCATATGATCCTGTTTATATGTATTTCAGCCTTAAAGAAGCGTGATACAAACCTCCACGCAAGTCAGGATATAAAAAAAATGTGATTCTGCATTTTTACAAAATTAGTACAGGTTCACATAAAAATATTGATTGATGTTGTGAAAATGATCCCACAGGTGTGTTCAGAAAATCTGTTTCTTCTTTGCATGTTTTGTTGACATGGGTTAGAAAATACACAACAAAAGTGCAAAGGAAAATATTTCCTTATCTCTATAACCACAATAAATCTGAAATGTAAAAAAACACCTTACTCCTAATAATATATTAATGGAAAAAACCTTTCGAGTCTTATATCAGTGGAAATCGGGTGTTCACAACACATAGCTAACTATATTGAGAAACTCAAAAGGAATATGTACTGTATACTACACAGCAGTGCAGAGCACTGGTCGTTCCCACTGGAGAATTCAGCTCCACTCACAGTGATGAAGGGGCTGATTGTGTTCTGGTAAACAGACTATTTCAACAAGATAACAAATATGGCCACATTTTTTTGTTCTTTAATAGTTTCACAGTAATGGTGGTTACAGATAATAAGGCACCCTAGAAGTCTGAGTTGGCAAACCCATGATAGTGTCAAAGGGACACATCAGACCTTAAAATAGTTTACAATAGGTAAAAATGCATCCTTATAGTGAACAGACTTGTCCATTTTACCTTTGAAACACTCAACAGACCATTAAGATAATTTCAGAGCTCTTTTATTGAAAAGCATCTCAATCCAAAACGTTCTTAAGCGTCAAAAAATAAATACATACTTCAAAATAAAATGAATGTAAAAACTTTAAAAAACCCTTTATATGTATATGCATACACTGTAATGCCTCCCGCAAGACAGAAAAAAATATATCTTTAACATACAATACACTACATTTACAAATCTCAAAGAAGTAATTTTTTTCCTCATTGTAGTCATACATGTCAATAATACACAAACTTTTTTAAATGATCTAATAGAAAAATATATTTATGTACACCTTTTTTTACATTGTCCTTATGTAAACCTCTAGCTTGACTTATGGTGGACCAGAGGTCTCTACCCTGATCCTTGAGTGCCACAATCTAGTTATTATACAGTAAGTCACCCTAAGTCACCTGTTATTTAAAGTGCCTGTTTTAGTAATTTGTCAATTAAGCACGTAATGGACCAATGTCCAATAGGTTCTTGGGAGCTGTAGGATATTCTGATTTTTTAACACATCACTTGTTGAAGTAATCAGAGTAGAACTGTTTCAGGCCTTTAGAAACTGATGATTTAAAGTTGACCTATAAAAGCCACTGGACTGGGTCTCCCAGGATCAGGGTTGGAGACCACCGTCTTAAGATGTCTTTGCCAGAAGTATTTTTCTTATTCTGTCACGCATCACAGTTCAGAAAGGCTACCTTCATCAATGCCTGAAGTTTCGAGAAGCATTTCACTGCTATTTGTTATTCTTTATAAAATTGTGATGAAAAATGTACAGCATATGGATAGTACATGGAGCACAAAAGAAGGTGCATCAGATCAGTGGGTGATGGACTGGACACAGGGCTCTCAGACTCTTACTCATGAATTTAAACGTACAGTAATTGAATTGCTATTGAATGGCTTGTAAAAGTTGCAGGACTCTTCAACATCATCCAGTCATCCATCACTGTTGAAATAAAGAGCCATACTTTGTGTTCTTAATGTTCACCTGCCAATAACGTGGATCAAAAACACAACCAATGCAGTGGTTCTGCATGAAGCTGCTTTTTGGTGATCTCACTTGTTTTATCTCAGTGTTTTTAACTTGGGCCTCAGGAAGGCAGGAAACAATAGGGAAAAGGAGATTCTGTTCCACCTCCGGCCACAAGGGAGTTTGTATTGGCTGTCTGTGTCTTCAGTAAGAGAAGCACTGGAATGAATGATTCAGGCTAGGAGGAGCTCAACTGTACACAAAGATCACAACTCTTCTTAATCATTAAACAAGGAGAAAACAATTCATGTGAATTTGTGAATACACTTCACTGGTAAGGAAGACATTGATTCTTCAATATACAGTCATTTCCTAGTACAGTATATGTACACACATCACCATGCTGGAGAGTTTCTTCCATTGGGCCAAACAGTTGTCAATTTCTGGATTTTCATCCATTTCACTGTGAAGTGAAGGAAGGCCATGAAACCACTGAAAACAAAGCCTGTCTCATGCAGAAAGAGCTCAAGGAAACCAACACTTCATTTTATCACAAATACACCCGGACCCTTGTACAGCTGTGAGAGAAATGTGTGGATGTCCTGAATATGTGGTCTCAGCTGCAGGTGTAGAAATACACTATTCATATTTAATAACATCACTGTCGGCTACAATACAAACAATTTACAAATGGATTTCTCTTAGAAGCCTTTTCTTCTAAATTGGGTTTTCCTGCTAAATACTTTTTTAAATGTTGAACTGCAGATGTATTAGAACACGCCAGTATCAGTTTTTAATTTCACTTTCTAACATTGTAGCCGAAAATCCCTGTAAATTGGCCAAAACAAAGATGATGGTTGATGATATTAATATACCACACATGCAAGATTCAAAATTCAAATGTCAGCAATTAATGCTTCTTATCTTCACAAAACAGACCAAATTATCCATCAGGATGAACACGACCACAAGGAAGTTTGCAATGCTCTGTGAATGAATTATTTTTCATTGGTTTACAAAGCTCAGCAAATTAAAACTCTTGAGTTGTTCTAATAAAATGTACACGATATTAAAATGTTCTGTTTTGTGGCCAGGTATTCTTTTGGCTATAAGAATGAAAAATTCCTACACATTTTTCATAGAAAATACTTCATCAATAATGTCCCCAAAACTGTGTGTATCATATTGAAAAAGCATTGAAAGAAACTGGAATTTAAAAAAAAGAAACAATGATAGTGACTTGTATTCTGATCAAGGAACTCTCGATCCACAAAACTCAAATGCTCACTTATAGTCTGTCCAAAAATATGTAAGAGGAAATACAGCCTCATACCAAGAGTCATCATTTTGGATTACATCTTGTTTCATGTGAATTTGCTAGAATATATATATAATTAAAAATTACTGAAGTACAGTTAATTGGTAAACTACAGTCCAAGATGCCTTACCAAGTACAGTCAAGTTTCACACTAGGTAAACCTGACATTTGAATGCAGGACACTAAGATTTAGCATTCTGCATATCATCCAAATCTTAAAGACAAAGGCAAACCATCCTCACGAAAACGACGCTAGAATTTCTGAAGGATCAAAATAAGATGCAGATAAAAATAAGAAATCTAATTTCCTTTTATTACGAAATAGGTTCTGGGGGCCACACTACCAAGAAGTAGCAAAGGTATCTCAAAACTAGGAATCTACAGGGGCAGCAAGGTAAATGTAGAGAAATCAATGGCAAAATAGGGACATCACCATGCAAGTTCAACATACTGTGGTAAACTTCCATGAGAAGTAGCAACGCCAAAAAAATGCTCAAATAAGCTACAGTAAGTAAAGGAATTAAGCGCAGTATGCACTCTTTAACGACGAAAGGCAAAAGAACGCTTTGTCCCGAGTTACTAAACCAGTGCTGGAGACACCGCAGATGGGTAACTTTAGCTGTAAAATCCAAGTAAATTGAGTACAGAGTTCACACAGGAAACAGAGCACCTGAAGAGCCCCGATTCAGCACCAGGCTGCGTGTGAGAAGATGAACTTGTTTTCCCTTGTCAAACTGCCAAGGAGACACTTTTAAATGCATTTTGTTCCCATTTTGGTCCATTTCAATATATCTGTTTTAATCAGAAGTATTGAGGGATAGCGTTTCCCTTTCGTGTAAAAAATAATGTCTAAACTAATCACTGAATTGTACTGTTACTGCTTAAGCCTCCTTCGCCTGCTCCTGGACAGGTGTTGTTATTCTTCAGGATGGAGAACAGCCGTCACCTTTTTCTCATGAAGGCGAGGATAAATTAACTCTGCCCGCTCTTTCATTTAAAAAATCAAAAATGTAAAGAATGAAAAAAATATAAGTTTTACATATCGATATATACAAAAACACACTGTATTTAAACATGAGTCGATCAATAGAGATCGACTGAGATACAATGTGGAAATTAACACTGTACAAATAAGACGACGTATACAAGATGAAATAAACATTTTAAAAATCCACTTCTTTCAAACTGTTTAAAATAAATTCATAATAGTTCAAACAAATATACAGACCACCGACAATATTACAGGATGTCACTGCAATGACATTTGAATGTACGCTTTATTGTGAGTAGCAGTGAATTTTCTTTTTATAAAAAAATGGTTCTGAGAATTAAAACTAATTACATATTTTGAATTTTTCCCGTCCCCCTTCATAAAGCAATTGGCAATCCCAGGATAATATCCAATATGAAAGAGCACCAATAACTAGTAGAAAGAAAGAGCTTTAATATAAGATGTAATAAAACGAAACGCTGAAAATTCTACATAAGCCAAACATTTCAACGTTTCCATGAAAGGAGATATTTTAACTTATTGTAAACTCATCCCTTTCATTTTTACTAAACACTTTGGGGGCAAACGTTTAATTTCCCGTTTCAAATTACGGTACAATAACATTGCTATGGCGAAACGTGCTACAAAAAAAAGACTGTAGAAAGCAGTAAGGTGGAGTTTGCGCATCGGAAACAAAGCAGGCGAATTGAACAATTATGGTGAGGACGTATATAAAACGGAAGGGTTTTGCTCATGATGTCTGACATTTGAAGATACATGCAGGCTATTTCTAAACTTAGAGAACTCTAACTCTAAGAGAACTGTGGAGTGAAAGCTACGCATTAAATTTAGGCGCACATACAAACGCAACCAGTGAAAACGAGGCACGCCAGAGGGCAGTATTCTCAATACGGGACGAGCACTACACTGGATGTAGGTGAAGAATTGCTAGCATCTTCAGTGTAACTGTTGACGCGGAGGATGCTAGTGCCCTCCTGTGTGTATCGGCATTTTCCAGTTACAGGCTCATTTTGGGCCTATTGGTAATCATACTGTAGCTCATTCCATTGTTTCCTGCCCCATGACATTGAACTTTAGAAGCACCGTAGAGAGGTCGTAATTATTGGATATTGGTATATTGATATAGATATTATTTGATACTGGCAGCTACCAGTCTCTCACTAGAAGAGGATGTACAAAAATGTCCATCGAGTTTAGTTTATTAAAAAATGAAAAGCGTTTGAGATATACAGGGTTTCTGAATTGCCCCGCAAACAGATGCAATTGTAGAACTACAGTACCCTGCATTTTGCAAGTTAAAATGCAAATAATGGCCTGGCGCATTGAGTAAAAAGTAGTGAAGCCCGGATTTAGACCTCACAGTGCTCAGTGAGGTTCAGAGGAGTGTAACATCTACTGTATTGCACATTGTGTTTACCACTGCCAGCTCTCCCTCCTAAGACCTCTACTCCATTACAAAAGCTGTAAGATTATATCAGGTACAACTATCCTGTCACCAGTGCTCTGAGCCACAACTAATCCAACTCTGAGTTGTGTTGAGAGGCTGTTTTATTGGATGACTAGCACCTCATGTGGGTTGCTAGCAGTTTTTTGTTTCTTCTTACATTGGTCTGATGTACTATATAGTTGCATAAAGCACCTTCAACATTCTAAATATCTAGTTTTGCCTTGACCACAGTGTGAGACTTTTGTACACAAGTACACAACCTAGCAAATAATTACCATCCTTAGACTGTCATTAATTAAGAGCTGGGTTTATGTTTTTTCATTCATGCTGTAGGAACCTACAGGCTTTAACAGTTTGAACTCCAAAGATATATAATACAGAGGCACATAAATTAACAATATAACAAACAACATTAAAAATAATGTCAAATCCCACTCCCAGTCAATCTGGACAGAGTATTAGTCCTCATACTGTCCGAAATGGAGTTTGAAATATCCCATTTAATTAAAGTCAATAACGCTTCAAAATATAATCATGTTCTTTGGTTATTACGTGTATTTAAATAAAACAATAAATACAAAAAGGAAAAAAAATAAATAAAAAAGAAAAATACTTGAATAAAATTAAAGAAAGTCTGCTTTACAGCCACATTTCAAGTTGTTCACAGAGGCTCAGTTACTGAGGTACTGAAAGACGAGTTTTGTTCAAAGGAATAAATAGGAAGATATGCAAATAAAAATAAAAAATGAAGCACTGGGTGTGCTTTAGTAATAATTTCTCATGAAATTGAATTGGACTCTGAAAAGATTTTCCTTGGTAGTCATTTTGTGTTGGAGCTGTAGCTGGTGTATGTGTGAGGTCTTGTTACTGCAGGACATTGTCTCTACAAAGGACAGTGCTGAGAATCCTGAGTAGAAAGGAATGACCACTATTTACTGCCCTAATGATCCCCTTGTACCATCAAAGCACCAGGTACACAGAAGGAACATGAACTTGCTTGTGTTTAGGCATAAGGTTGAAATTGAAGTCTAAAACTAGTCTGCAACACTACAGTACGTGTGGTATTTTTCTCTAAAAAAACATTCAATATTGTTTACAGATTCTCAATTGTTCAGCCTCAATCGGAAACACCAACATGTTTTCTACAGCAACATGGAGAAAGCGGCACATTCACTAATTTAAAAAAAAAGTTGCCCAAAAGAGGATTTTCTCTGCCAGCTTTAAAATCTTGCTGGGCCTTGACAGCGTCACCTATAACCAGAAGAAAACTACACTTTTTCAGTAACAATGGATTGTCTGCTTCATGTTGATGTTACATAGTGCACCTGTCATACGCCTTGAGAGAGGTAACCTGATTTAGGCAGAAGATTAAAATATGTCTAGTTCATCTCATAAATGTAACAGTTGAAGTTAGAATCTAATCCAAGGATTCACTTGGACCCTATACACTGTGAAAAGAGCAAAGATAGCTGCTGTGCACCAGTCATTTGCTTTTATTCTTGCAAAAAATTGCACCCTTCTAAGGTGTGCTGGCATTTGCTTAAAAAAAATGTCACTGCCAGAAGGAATCCACTTTCGTGTATAGCACCATTTGTGTACACACGGACTGCTGCACAACTGATGTGAAAGGAATTAAGGCCACAAGAACTGCCCCTCAACCATATGTGCTTTAGAGTGAGTTCATCGCATCATCTGATCTCAGCAGGCCCCCCCAAGGAAATAGCACCGGTTGGGCTCATGCTTCAGCGTAGGGTAGGCTGTACTGTTCCTCCCTCTTGTTACAGCGCTTGGCCACAATGGCCAGGTATAGGACGAGGAGAATGATCCAGTAGCAGCCGTAAAGAATGGCCCCGGCAATAAGGAAAGCCTTCTCTGTCTCACTGAAAGGGTCTTGAGTCTCGCAGTAGATGGTGTAGCCCACCCCACCCAGCAGGATGGCGAACCATACAGTGACGGGGATGAGGCCGATGAAGTTGACCACGATCTTCCTCCGACCAGACGTGCCCCAGCCTGCCTTGTTAATGGTGGCGATGGCAAACATCTTGGCAGGCAGCAGACTGGACATATAGAGGAGGGAGTAGAGGGACATGAAGATCATGACCACATTGCCCCGCAGGAAGCAGGCGTAGGTAGCCTTGATCATGCCCACCAGCTGCACGGTCAGTAGGAAAAGCAGGATGTTCCAGACGCGGCCCCTGTAGAAGAGGTGGATTACGGTGGCGATCAGGAAGAAGGGGAAGAAGCCAGTGACCACTGACTCGTATGTCATCCACAGGTTGTGCTTGTGGAACCACAGGGCGTTGTAGAGCCACTCTCGGAAGTAGGACTTGCTCCAGCGTGTCTGCTGGTTCAGCCACCGCAGGTACTTGGTGGGCGTCTCGGTCTGGCACTTGGACCTGGCGGTGTATTTCGTCTTGTAGCCCAGGCTCAGGACCCGGTTGGTGAGGTGCCGGTCATCCCCAAAGCTACACTTCCTCCCCAGGAAGGTCTGGTGGTACCACTGCTCCAGGAACTGCTGAAGCAGGGTGTTTCGGTACATGCCTAAGGGCCCACTGATACACTGGACACAGCCAAAGTAAGACTGGCATGCGCGCTCCACGTTGAAGGCCATCCAGTAGCGCACACTGCTCAGAAAGGAGATCCAAGAGTCGTACTTGTTCAGGATCTGAGGTTTAGAAAAAGGGAGGCGTTCTTCAGTATTAGGTGGTCATTTGGATATATTCACGCAAATGAAGCAACTTCCAGAGATCTGTTTATGAAGGGCAGGAGTGACACTCCTGCATAAAAGTTATAAGTCTGCTAGATATTCATAAAAAAAAACTGCCTTGTACCATTTAAGTGCCAGGAACTCCGAATGAAACTGAATTAATTTGTGTTGAGCCAAAATGAGACTTAAATAATTCTGTAACATTCTGTGCAGCATTTTTTCTAAAACATCCATTACATCACTTAAAGTATTGTGTTCTGGATTTAATGCAGTTTCTCAGCTGTTTTAATTCAATTAGAGAAACAGTAAACAAATAGGGGCAGGTTCTTGAATGTAAAAATTATTTGACCTGAAATAGAAATTCAGCCTTGATTTTATGCCTAACTTCAAAGACATTTTAGAGGGAAGTTCTGAAATGTGCTTAGAAAGCCTCATAGTGAACCACTGACATACCTGGAGCTCTAATAGGGGAAATCCAGTTGAGTTTAAGGTTCCCTTCTTTACCAATGGTTCACCAAACTATCAATTTGGTAACTATCAATGGCTATGTAAAACCTACGAACTTGGAGAATACCAGTTAGAAAATATATTTTTTTTTATGGTCAGTAGTATTCACTTTATGCAACATAATTCCCCAAGATAATCTTACTGTACTTCTTCTGGAAGGGGATAATCCTTAAGTCCTTAATGTAACCTTAAGGGTTTGTGTGTCACCTTACAATTTCAATGCACTGTTTAATTATCTGCAACAATCTCAGTTGAATCCTTGTATTAGCTTGTATTTTACCTGCACGTCCCCTCCAACTCCCCCTACTTTTGGGTCTTCCTCCAGAATCTTCAGCATTTCCATGGTGCAGGCAGGGTCCAGGACTGTGTCTGAGTCGCATACCTTCACAAAAAGAGCAAGGGGAACAAAATTTGCGTCTACAAAACATTTTGCAAACACACAGCATAATTGCCACATGGGCAAAGAAACCTCAGTTGCTCACAGTTTTTCTAATAGGAAGAGATGGGCATGTGCCCCCACCAGAGCTCAGATGAACCAGATCTCTTGCGAAGGAAAAGAGAAACAGAAAACTGATGGCAATGCTCATCTCCCAATAAATATCCTTCACTTACCCTTATAGCCTTAACAAGTGGCAAGGCTTGTGCCAAATTAATTTAGTTGAATTACATGATATTCAACAAGCACTTGCTCTGTTACTAAAGCAGATATTAACCCACACATATAATAGTGAAGAGAGGAATACGAAAAGTGAGCAGGAGAAAGCATTAAAGGCAAGAGTAATGTGTGCCATATGTCATAGGGAGTGATGGAGGGGAAAAAAGATCTGCTGCTGAATTGAATTGTAGAAGATACTATTTATAAATGCTGATCATTTGCATTGTTAAACGGCAATGTGATGCTGTTCATCATTACTTGTTATTTGAATATAGTACTACTATGTCATAATGTCTTAATGGAGAGATATGTGGTGTTAACCAGAAAAAGTAACAATAAGGAGACACATGTAAGAGTAAATTAAGTCCCCATTTTTATGAGTCTTCAGATTCTCAGTTTAAATACTTGTCGCCATCTTATGCCATAGAGTCCTCAGAATGAGAGAGGATTTTAAAATTCCTTTCAGTCTAAAATAAAGAGAGTTTATACCATGAAGTATGTCATGCACATTCCCTGAACTTCTATAATTGGTGGAATATCTACCAGATGTCACTTTATTTTAATGTTTTTCTTTATTATATTTGAGATCTTTTTCAATATTTTTATGCATTTCAGTATAGTCTAGTATTCCAACCCCAGACTAGAACCTAACGAACATAACCTTACATTTAAATATGCTTGAGTCAAGTCAGAGCAGCTTGTAAATCTACTCCTTCTTTTTCCTTAGAGCTTGGGGAGTAACCAGATGATATCTTTAAAGCAGTATTTGCACTAAATATAGACATAAACAATTATTAGTTTAACCAGGGATGTCTGGTTTCCATATATATTTTTATTTATATTTCATAAGGAGTTTTTATTTAAAAATAGTCTATTTTTTGCAACAGGAATTTGAAACAAGGAAACTATTCATCAGAGATTGTAGTGTTACTGAAAATAAAATATTAATCTTAATTTTATTTCATAGATTGGTCCCTTATTCACAGGTGCTGAACAGCTGTGTATGCGGGCTTGTCTCTCATCCTAATTATATTATACATGTACAGCTCTTAACCTTAATATCAATACTCCTTTCATGTTTTTCACCTGCTTGGAAAATATGCTCCCATATTTGTGTTATCTTGTGTCTGGAACTGACAGTGAGTTAGCACTGAGTTAACTCAGTGGTGTTTCTGTTCTTCATTCTCTGATACCAGCATGAGTTCAAGAGCTCTTTAAGAGTTCAAGCATTTTAAGAACAATATCTGGCCTCTAAGTACCAGGAACATGCTGAAAAGGACTTGGCGCACACAAGATCTGGAAATATCTACAGCATCCCAGTCCTATCATGTTCTCCTAGCAAAGTACCCTCTAACTGAGGTTCTGATAAGTATTGCGCTGTGTGAGACTGAACGACACATTCCACCCATTTACAACAGGACTGAGATCTGAGGATTGTTCAGGCCAGGTGATAAAAGTAACACAGTCAGTCCTATGTGTCTCATTTCAACCAACTATGTCTGTTCATCTGATAAGAGGTTCCTAGTCTTTAAGCTTGTGAGCATATTGAATTCCATGTAAAAGTTCTGCATTGTTACCTGCACTATATACACATTTGCAAAGCACTAGAAAACAAAAGCATACAACGTGATCAGATTTGAGAGCCCCCCGTATTGCAACTTCCAGTAGTCCTGTCAGCACTAGAAGTGACTTACTAATATTTAGGGTTTTGGAAGCTTTCAACAAGTCACAATGAGGCTGTGATGAAAAGTCATGTGTTGAGAGTAGACTGGTATTTTAATATGTGCAGGTGTGCGTTGTGTCCCCATTTCTGAACATGGAGAAAGGACAGCTATTTATAGGAATTCTGATACTCAACAATCATCTAAATTATTGGCCATTGGACAAAAACAAATTGCCCTTCGTGATCCTCATATAAATAATAATCAGTAGGCTATTTAATTAATATGTGTCATGTATATTCACAATTTATTGCAATTTCCTTGCAAAAGAAACTCTATTGGCAACCCTAGCGAGGGTTTGATAAAAACACCAAGTGTAGACAGTCAGGCTTCATCAATGGAAATGTAGCTCAATTGTCACTATTGCGGCGTTTTCCACTCTTTTGTCCACACCTGGGAAACCATCATTGATAACCTATGACACAGCAATGTTCCCCTCTTACTGCCAGGATTGGAGTTCATTCAGCAGGTTCCTCTGAGTGGAACTTTTCAGGGGGAAAAGAAAGGCTTGTGGGCTTACTCATCACGCCTATACTGTTTAGTGGCACACAAAAAGCATGAATACAAATCTGGTCTGGTTCCAGGTGAAAAGAACAGTATGAAGAGTAGAGTGTGAGAAAGGGAGAGGAATTGAATTGAATCACAATATACTGTACACAATACACCCTTCATTATGTTCAAACAGGAGTTGAAAACTCAAACTTTTGATGCATTCCTCACAGTGCATACAATAGTCACACTTATAAGAGACAGGGCATTTTCTAGTGAAAGTCTCTTCATACATTGGTGTAAAGCACTGTTCAGTAATTTTCTGTTGCAATCACTCATTCATTCAATTCATTCATTCAAACTTTACCCAAAACCTCAGAGGATTCTTCATCAATTTGGTACGTAGGACCTAGGTGTACAATTATGTGCTACAGCAGCTCATCTGTTCTTAACAATTGAGAAACTTAAAAGCTTTCAATAGGCTCTAATGGTAGATATACAGTATTCAACACAGAGGGAACTGTCTGAACATCGATGATTGGGACCAAGCTAAAGACATACCCGCCAGTCTTTGGGTGCTGGTGAAATAGTGGTCATTAGTATATATTCTGGAATACATCTACTGTACATTGTTTCAAATGAAAATATTTGTATAAATCGCAGATGTGTGAATAAACCAGCTAAGATGTCCAATATTTTTCTTGAAGGGACGTTTATAAAAATAAAATCGTCCAGAATGTCTCTCTTGACTCTGTCTGTTTAAAAGCATGCTAATGTCTTAGAACATGTACACATGATAATTAGTGACAATGAGCCTTGAGGAGCAATACCAGTAGAGGGCATACTCTGCTTTCCAAGACTATGAATCAAGCACCTTGATCTTAAACAATCTCCATGAGATTGGTTTCATTCAAATGTTGATTGATCACCCCTGAATCCTGCCCCCAAAGGGTGGTCCGTGCTCACCTGCATATAGTCCACGCTGTCCCCCAGGGCTCTGAAGGCTGTGTACATGACTTCCCTTTTCCCTCCCCATTTCTGCATGATGCAGGTGTAGCAGGAGCTCCTCACCAGCTCCGTCACCCGCCTGGCGCCTTCCTCCCTCGTGCCCTTCATCTCCTCACTGTGGTAGTTCCCCTTCCACACGTAGGTGCCCGTCTGCTCGGAGCCCATGACCTCGTTGAAGATCTCCATCATGTAGGCATCCTCCGGCTTGTTCCCGTCGACGACCATGACCACCCTGAGGCTGGGGAAGGAGATCCTCTTGATGGAACGCAGGCACTTCTTCAGGTAGTCGGGGTCCTCCTGGAAGGCGGCGATGCACAAAGCCACGGTCTTGTTCAGGTTCTCTGGCTTGGCCTCCTTCCTCATCTGCCGGTGCTCCAGGAAGGCGAACAGGCTCTGGAAGAACAGGTGGAGAGCCAGAATGGCTCCGTACAGCCCGAAGGAGAGGTAGTGCTGTTCAGTGTGGATGAACTGGTAGCCGGTGATGTAGGCTGTCAGGATGCCCAGCAGCACAATTAAGGCAAAGAGGGTTGTGCCAATGACCCTCAGCACTGTGGAGCATTTGGATGACATCTGAAGAGGAAAAAAACAACAAGCAGGAGTAGCTTTAGCAAAGCTTCACTCTCAAAGATCGGGCTAGCCACCAAAACATCAGCTGTCATAAGGAAAACACTTTAAGAGCATACAGACACTTACCACCAGATTCCTCAATAGCTTCTACCCACAAGCAGTACGATTGGCGAACACACTGGGCCATGCCCCTCGGACCACACCTACACCATCTACCCCACTGTGATTTTATTTATTTATTGTGCATCTGCAATCAGGTTTACATGTCTGCATTGCTTACATTCTAAATGTTTACTTGTACATTGTCTACTGTTTGTTTGTATATTGTCTTGATGCACTGTCTGCACTTTGTGTTCTTACACTTGTTTTAACAATCGAAAGACTTTCTGTAAGTAAGAATTCCATTGTACCAGTAAATGTAACGGTTACATATGGCAAGAAAGCTCAAGTTAAATATTAATACTTGCATATTTCTACATTTGCTTTTATTTTGTTTTCAACATGTAAAGCTATGTCTGTCTCCAGGACTGAATTTAGGTTTTCTTACTCAGGCAGCACAAAATGCTCCTATTCTTACTCTTTGGGGAGATTTCCTCTTGCGATATGGTGCTCTGTTGACCCTACTGCGAGATGAGAACATTGAAATAGATTGAGATGAGCTCTTGAGATAGTAGCACTTGCAGTATATATTTAGAGTAGAAAATGAAAATCCATTTGTTAGAAGTTGCCAAGTAGGATACAATACCTTTTAAGTGAGGCTTAATACATAAATGTATATGGTGAAACTGGTATATAGGCATTAGCATTTAACTCTTTCAATATAGAGTATGAAAAGTCTTGAGTTAATGAAAACATAACATATGCTGGGTGTGTACTGCAAAGAAAGTGACATACTACGCACAAGAGCTTTTCTACATATCTGCTCTGATGGGAAGAAGTAACACTCTTTGGGCTATGGACAGCTGTACCTTAATCATGACATTTTGCTAACATATCTGATATTGATCATTTTCTATTACCAATAAAAAGCCAAAGTATCTCTGTCTCGTATTCTACCAGATGACACCAGATGAATAATTGTATCTATTAATTTCAATATAGGCAGATTCCCTAGCATTCACCTGCCAAACGACACTTCATCATGACTACGTCAAAGAGTCCACAGCCACTCGTCGTAAACTAATGTTTTTACGGTTTAAGCTGGCAGGTTGCAACATGGTTTGTAACGTAACCCATTTTCCGATTTAAAAGGCCTCATTTCTCGAAGAGCTACATTTAAAATCCCCTTGTAGAATAGGCACTGTAATTACACATTTCTCTTGTTTACATTCTCCTCTGCTACAGTACCTCTACAAGAGCGCTGTACTCTCATCTCTCATTACTTTGCCCATGTGTGGCCTGACTTGTCTACACAAAAGATCTGCAACAGTGACAAATGAAGCGATTGCAGAGAACAGTGGAAGGAGGAGGTGAGAAAATGTCCCATTAAAGTAGTAATAATTTAATTATTTCCATTCTCTTTTTTAATAGAAAGAGAAACAGTTTTGCCAGGTTAATGATTTTAATTAAAGGCACAGGGTGGCTTGGCTCAAAGTCAGCAAACTGGGGAGCTGGGATTGGAAACAATATCAGTCATTCATTCATTAAATTACCTCCCAGAGTAGCAGAATAAAGACGGGCTTCATTCAGAGTAATAATATCATAATGTTGATTTGGTCATGGAGGAGTCCCTGTGCAACGATTGAAAGAAACAGATATGTTAAGTTGTGTGCATTGTTAACAAGCAGAATACAAACTCAAACCAACTCTTGTCCTGGGAGGCTAGTGTGTCATTTTACAAGTGCTACTGGTGTGTCTCTCCAAACTCAGTGTGATCAGTAAGATCCAGAGACATTTGTTAAGCTCGTAGGCCAGACACGGTATCAACATGCATAACCGGCGTCTTATTTCACTGAATCACAATGCACAGCAATGTCTCATGTGGCAATTCATGTCATGTAAACAAGAAATCATGCTAACACGGCCAGCTAGAGGCTGATAAGTTCTGGGCTCCTCGCATCCAGAACTTCCATTGAGCATGGATGTAGAGTAGAAAGCCACTAAACTAGATGATGGTGAAATTTATGACTATTATTAATGTTATTTTTGCAAGTACTAGTAACTGTTTGTAGGAGTATCTGTAGATGTAATGTCTTTAAAATCTCTTCTGGTTCCTCAATGCCCCCTTTTCAATATGCCCCTGGATACTGACTACCATAACCTTCACCATTATTACTTTGATTTGTAAGTGTCCTAGAAAATTAGATTACTAATTATTTATAAGTATTTCTAGTCCATTTTAATACGTTTTTAGTATGTAGAAACATGTACAACTGGAAATGATCATTTATATAAATTACTTTAATGGCATTTTTTAATTTGAGCAGTTCTGAGTTGTAATATGGCATCTATTAATTCAAGTCTAATTCACAACCTAAAATTAGTAGCAGACTTCCCTTTATCCTGAAAGAGGTCCCTAGCTGTTACTAGCTTGGAAAGGGGGTAATTGAGAGAAATCCTGAAATAAAATCTAATTTAAATGGTATTACATTTTCTCTCTCTTCACTTGAAAAAAGATATGAAGAGAGTTGATCTGTGGGACACATAAATATTAACATTACAAGACCTTCACAGCATTTAGATTTTTCTACTTGACTCCTCAGGAAAATATCACCATGTATAGTAAAAAAATATGATAACAGCTTAAAATAAGAGCGATGAAGGTCAAAGCACTTACTGTTGTGACTGGGACACAGACCGGAGGCTTCAGTCCATTGGCAGAACGATAGCCCTCTAATCTCAGGCGTAATTAGGCTCCTGTTATGTGAGGCTGTTGAGACTGAATGAGCTTCTGAGTTCTGGGAAAGTTAGTTTTAAACCTCCTCCTCTGCTGATGAGAGAGGGGGAGGAATGGGAAAAGGTGAGAGAGGGGGAGGAACCAGGTGCCGACATTCCAGCAGGAGGAGAAGACCAGGGCCACGAGAGAAAGAGCTTCTGGTTCCGTTTTATTCATCTTTCCTTTAAAGGACTTTACCATCTAGCCATAGTAAACTGTTAATTAAATAAACATTAAAGTGTTCTGTACCTGTTGGACCAGTTGTATGGGTGGAAAGTTTTGGCTGATTTAATGGAAGACCTTCTAGTAACCTGAGTCTGTTCTGGATCTTTTCCACCTCTTCTTTTACAAAATGGATAACAGACCAATTCCCTCTTTACTGACCCTCCCTGGCTTTTGTACTACCACGATAACACATGCCAAATACCGGACAGAGACTTGGGAGTGTAATAACAGAGAAAGGAAAGGTGACAACAGATAACCGTCTCCCAACCTGACGAGCAGGCAATCCTACAGATCAGATTTATTTTTCTTCCATACAGATATCTTAAACATTACTCCTTAGAAAACCACTTGAATAGAAGAGGATCTTCTTTTAAACAGAAAGAGAAAAAACAATATATAGGCTATAACTATAACTATAGCCTGCAGAGATAACATGCAGAGGATGAAGTCAAGCTAGTTTTAAGCAGTGTTTGAGTTAATTGCAGCTATTAAAGGATTGAGTGGCTAAAGAGGATTTATTTTCCAATAGCTTTAGAAAAAGTGTCTCTACACAGGGATCTTTTCCCTCCTCTGTGGACAGGATTTCCTACTTTCAGAAGTGAAAATGCCTGTTGGTGCTTTAATAATCAACCTGCATTTACAGCTTTTCTCTACAATGTGGGAGTTCAGTATTTAAACTACATGCTATTGATATTATCATGTATGTGAAAATTGTAGCTCGAAATATACCACACAATATTTGATCCCTAAAGATTGTTCAATCAGAAGGTAAACTCTCAAGATGAAACTTCAGGTTCCTAAGTGGCACAATTCATTTTCTGGGAACACATTCAAATGCTATTTCTGGATTAACAGCTGTAAAGCATTTACTCAACTGCACATGCCAACTTAAAACTTATATTGGATCTAAAATAAATTACTGTATATGCTAAGGAATCACTCATCAATCATGGCTTAACACAGAAGAGATTTCATTTTAATGTGAAGTGTGATCATTGCCTTACAGTTAAAAAAGCATCTGAAAAAAGTCAAGACTGTACCAGCACAGGGTTGAAAAGCTGCTCAGTTTTAATTTCAGATTTCAAGTCAGAAAGGATAAATGCATGATTTATGCATGATTTATTCATAACGGATTCAATTTTTTTTAATTAAAACATTAATTTAAATCAGCACCAATACAGGATTTCAAACACGTTCATTTACAGCAGAATTTATATAATCTCATTTGCATTCCAGGATGTGGATACAATTTTAAACTTGGAAATGAGTGGCGTTTTTCCAGATTTAATCCAGAGTAAAAAACCCAAACAAAATAACTGTATGAACTGTATGAAAACAACATTTAAGTGATAATCACTAACAACATTTGAGTGTGATTGAGTCAATTCTGGAAGAGTATAGGTGAAAGAAGGCTAAAATGGGTTTCAATTATACAGTCTGCAGGACCGACTTTCTTACAGGATCAATTACAATGAGTATGAAGATGAAACATTTTTTTAATTAAGTGTTTGTTCTTATGGACTATTATTTCAATTATATATGGAGAAAATATAAATCCATGGACAATATTGTTTTGAAAGCAATTATTTCATTACTAAGCTTATCCTTTTAAGTCCTGGAGAATTATATGATGTGTAACAGCGCTCAGTGTGTTGTGTTTTACAGGAAAATTCAAAATGTCTGCATTGGGAAATGTTTTTTTTTTTCTGTGTACCTGGTCATGTATTGCGGAGACAGATGTGACAGATGTGAGTCCGAGGTCTCAGACACATGCAATGTAACAGGTCTTACAGAAGCTTGAGACCACCAGGGTGACATACAGTATCCCAATAGCAGTGAATTCTCCTGTAATAAGAGGCCAGACCTTCAGTATTTACTACTTATAAAAATGACTCAGGTGTTTATTACATTATTTAAATCTTCTAGACAATGTGGTGAAGCAATTAAAAAGGCAAAATGGTAGGATATGTAGTTAAAAACATAGAATTTAAATCAAGGAATGTTATGTTAAAAGTGGATAATGCAGTAGTAAGGTCTCATTTAGAATATTGTGCAGAATTTTGTTTACCACTTTATAGAAAAATATTGCTGCTCTGAAATGGAACCAGATACAGTATATTCCACAGCTTACAATAAGGGAAAGTCCAACACTGACGGACTGAAAGAACTTAACTTTTTAGTCTTCAATAGTGAAGTCTACGTGGACCTTTAGCAAGAATTTAAAGTCTGAATAACCCATCAGATTACCTCAGAATGAATAGTGAAACATGAACCAGAGGGCACAAGTGGAAATTTCCACAAGTGAAAATGAGTTGGAAGTGTATTTAAAACCCAGCTAATCCAATACAAGCCACAGATGAAACAGAAGACCAAATCTAGTGTTTGGTCATATGTGCTACATTAGCATACATATTGGAACATGTACATGTGTGTTCAGAGCTCAGTTTATGTCTTAATGCCATATGCAATACCAAAAAGTAACCTTTAGCAAAAATAGATTGGAGAAGGTCCCAGTATCATAGCCAAACACATTACAAGATGTTAAATCTTCTTTCCCGTCTGCTTAATTGTCCCAAATTTGCTGTCCAGCCCTGATCTGGCTCAAATGACTGTTGCATTTCAGCACTGTGCTTCAGGTTTAAGATCATTAGTTCAAAGGTCAGAATGCTTTATGAGCCCTGGTAGTAATGAGACCTCTGTATAGAAGTCTTCTGTTTTGGTTCTCAAGAACTGCAGGGACATTCATTCCAGGCAAGATCCCAGTTACTTGTAGTTTTGAGCAGCAGGGACATTGAGGGAGACTCAATACTGAACACAAGTTTAAAATCCTCAGCACTACTGATAAAGTAACCCTGGGATTCTGCTACGCTGATAGCAACCAGTTGGGGAAGGTATGTTTTTAATTTATGCAAGGGTCTTGGTTAAGTTAAAAACTTTTAAAAGGACATATAAAAGGAGATCTTGAACAAAGCCTTATACAATATCTCCGATACAGAGTTGTTGCAGTTGCTGGGTGTTATTACTTTTGTCCAGCAGAGGGCTCTCTGGCTGCAATGCTTTTGCACAGCCAGATAACCAATTTATCCTGCAGCAGCTGCAGACATTGTATTCTTCCCAGCTTCATTCACAAGAATTGGCTCAAGTGAACAACTGCCGTCCAGGTACACGTTACACCGCTTGAGTGGCATCTGAACTGTTTTAAAACAGCAGCTGTTTCTAAAATTCAAATAAATCTCTTATAGAGTAGTGAATGAAAAAAAAAAGAATAAACACCTCTTATCTGGTAGGAAGCCCTTGAGGCAAACAAAAGAACTTACATGTGAGCACTGACAGAACAGACATTACTTAAAAATAATAAGAAAACAAATTCACTTTCTTAAAGAAGGTTAAACATTCATACATTGATATTACACTAACATGCAAAATGTTAAATGTAATAAAACATTCCAGAAAATGCGTACAAGAGTAATAACAAAATATTCCTTAAAACCTATTACCAAATCTAAGAAAAAAAATCCTTGAAGCTTTGTGGGCTTCACTTTAACAAACCTGTGCCTTTTTGCTTTACTTCAGCATAGTATCCTATTAATCATAACACTTAGAAGCTGTTCTGTTTGTATTGTGACTCGTTTTAACAGCGAGTCACATGAAGACATATTGCCATTCATTGCAAGCTGTTGCAACTTGCAGCAAAGTTATGCGTTGCTTCCTTGAGCTACACGGCTGCTCTTTTGTGATTTCCTTCATCACTTTACTTAACACGCCTCTTAAGACACATGGCTACACATGCACCTCTTACAGTGCTCTGCCAAAAAACTGCAATGGCAGATTTACAAGGGATTCCCATTTCGGAAACTGTCCTTACCTTCCAAATGCACGACAATACCTCCGGTGTTCCCCCCTGCAGAAGGCTCCCCTTCGACTTCCCAGGGATGCAGTTGCTGTTTCAATTTGCACTTGTTCGGCTTACAGAAATCTCCTTGTTTCACAGGGAGTAGCATTAGCCATTCAGGCTACATTTCTTTCTTTTGGAGATTTTTTCAGAACCCTCATCCAAGTGCACCCCAGTACCACTAGGGGGAGGTGGAGGGGGGTACAGAGCAAAACCAGACCCAGGGCATTGACTCAATCTTTAAGCGAAAAGAGAAAAAACAAATTCAGCACCGGGATTGCCTTGCAGCATGCCTGCGAGTGATCCATCCTTCTGAAACATCCCGGTTGAGCCAGCCCAGCAGGATGCAAACGGGACTGAGGTACTGTATGAGAAAGCTTTTATTTCAAGCAGCAGCCTAGGCTGCTGCTGCAGCAACACACTGCATCTCTTTTGTAGCACCAGAAGGGAAAAAACAGTCCAGTTTGCTGGAGCACCGAAGCCACTGATTTTCACATCAATTCACCAAATTACCCAGCGCGTCCTCCTCCTAAAGACATAAAAGGTAAAATAGGATCCTGGCTTGAGGATCTGAAGGCACTAGTTTGTCCGTGAGGGATGAAGGAGAGAGAGAGAGAGAAAAGACCGCCAACTCTTTCATTATTATTTGAAATCCAGTCCAGAAGCCTTTGTCCAAAGTTCCCTCATTGTTCCCTTCGCTCCATCACTACATCACAGCAATAAATCCCCATAATTCAGTTCATACAAAGTGCCTAAGTCATCTTTATTCTTTTTTTTTCTTCAGCAGAAATGGAAGGATGCAGCTGCCCGCTCTCCTGCTACAACACAGAAACTGCAGCACATGGCAGGATGATAATTAAAGTAACAGCTCCAGCTTTGGAAGATGGGATCAGTGATTCGTCGTATTAATCCTGCCAAGAGCAGCATCCTTTAACATCAGAAGGACATGGGAGTCCCCAAGGTTATTCAGTGTCTGCCTGTACCTCCACTTATTCAGCGGGAGATGTAGGAACTCCAGTGCTCTGAACTTTAAAGGGAAATTGCCAGGCACTGCAGCTATAAAAGGCTCTTGACATTACCTGCTGTTGCCTCTCTTGTTCTGCCTCACAGGGTTCTGGGATGGAACGCAGAGCAGACATTAGCCACTACGAGCAAGCGAACAACAGAATGTTCATTCAGCACAATAAAGATGTACTGAAAATAATCAAATAGAAAAAAAAATACTTTATCACCACAAGCCGTCAGAGCAAGATTTCCACTGTACGTGCATGTTACCTTATTTTGAATAAATCTGTATAAACATGGAATTAAAAGGCTAATAAAATATTATTTTTCTTCAATAATAATTTTGGGATTTGAATTCCCAAACCCAGGGATATTTCACATAGTGATGAAGCAGAAAAAGAGAAAAAAATAAGTCAATAAAATGAAACAAGAATGTGGAGGACACACTGTAAGAGAGTGAGTTTTAAATTGAGATTTAAAAAGAGTAGTGGACATACTGCACCTTACTGAGAAGAGTGTCAGGGAGGGAGCCCTTAAAGTGATATAGAAATGACCTAATGTGGCCAATGATGTCAAAAAGGTCTTAATCAAAATTTACATGTGGGGCTCAAAAGACAGGAGAGGTTTGAATGCGACTTCGAAGGTCATTAATACCCATGACACCCGAATGGAGAAGCCGTCCACCATTACTGTGAAGCTCCCCAGCTCTTCAAGCTAACACCTGCTGCCCACCAAGAGCTTCAAGCTTGTACAACCTGAAAGAACGCCAACTGAACTGGGTGCATGTGCCGCATGGCAGGTGGACTCCCATGTGCCTGAACTGTAAGCTAGATTGTTTTTGATCAAAATGTCCTTTAGCCTTTGCAAGACTTCTAATCAGACTATTTGTATCCAAAGTAGAATTTATAAAAGATCTTCATTTTACAGTAAAATGTTGAACTCTTGGAAAAGATGGCAGACATGCTCTTGGCCCCAGTATTAAGTTGTTTTCTGGAGATTAACTGTTACCTTCTCTGGTACACAACATCTTAATCCATAAAACCATGTTCTTCGAGTATTCATTTTATTTGAATTACTAAAACTGAGACCTTTGTGTTCTTTCACAGATTAGACCTTTTACAGGATTAAAAACAAATTGTTTCATTGACCATGTGTCTGAAATTTAAGCATCTGAACCTCTAAAGAATTAAAATGTTGTTGCAAGAGATTTAACTCTGCTAAAATCCTCACCCTTACCTGTTCAACCTAAATTGGCAACCAGTTAGCTGCTAGTTGTTCAGACAGAAGTAAGAAACATTTATTAATTCCACAACATATTTTTTTGGCAGCAATATGTCCAAAATAGAATCTAAAACTGAGGACAAGGTGTAAAAACATTTAAAAGATTAGGCTAAAAAACTAATGCAACTAAGGCAGAAAAAAGCCAACATCATTAATAGCTCATCTGAAAAATAAACAAAAAAAATCCACAGGACCAGGAATGTACATCGCTGTCCTATAGCTGCCTTAAGCTGGAACAGAGCCTAATGGGAACCCAGGGGATTGGCTAGGACAGGTCTTCCCTAGCACATCAGCATTCACAATCCGTGCTTTTTCATGGCTCATTAATAAGAAACTTACCACAGCCGACACACTTCCATATGCCCAAACCACTGACAAATTCAAGAATGTTAACGGGTTCCACATAAAAAGGTATGATGACTTCTTCTTTCAGAGAACAGATCAATGACTAATAGGATGACATCTGCACAGTTTTTTACATTGCCTTTGAAAACAAAATGTGATTGGAGAATGAGCATAATCTTAAAGATCATGTTCACCTTTCCATATCACAACAGCCTTTTTTCTTCAGCAACCGAGTAACCTCAAGACCGTGCACAAACTGCAACTGCATGGAAGTGGGCAAGTTGAAAATGACTGCAGCGGACGTCCACCTTTAAGTTTTATAAAGGATAAGAGTGGCAACATTAGACGGTGTGACAATACACAGTGTTACGTTGTTATGCATATTGCTCAGAACTGCTACCTGCTCTTCAACATTTTGATTAAGTATTAATTCCATTATATAATTTAGGTGTTACTCATAGGAACAGACTCTCCTTGGAACTGCGTCACAAAATCAAGAAAGATATTGCTTTTCTGGAATCAGTCCAAAAAAAAAGAGCACCCTGATACATTCTCAGGCTTAAAAGAAGGTGGCACACTGACAGGCTGAAACAACTGCACCTTCTGAGTCGTGAACAGAGAAGATTACAAGGGGATCTGCTACCAAAATTCAAGACCCTCAACTTAATCAGTTAAGATCTAAAAGGTGAAAAGCTTAAGAAAAGTGGTTCAGATTTTTAAAGTCCACTTGGGTGAACAGTTAACAGGGAGCTGAACAAATGCAAAAAAAGGTTAAAACAGAGAACAACTGGTCAATAAGAAAAGTTTTTAACAGACTGGAAAGGGCTTTTGTTCACAGGCAACGTCCCCAGAGATGTGTGTGAAAAGCCACCACATTAATAATATAACTAACCTACATCACTGCTGTAATTAATGCTTATGTACATGGAAACAGGCCTCATCTTATTGTTTTTCAGCCCTGCAATGAATTTAGGTGATCAACATGAGTGTTCACCTTTGAACAGATGAAAATCCTAAAACAAATGACTTAAAGTCAAAGGGAAAACACTGCAGCTGCCCATTAGTAGCCTAAAAACTGCTATAGTTTCCTTCTTCTAATAGTCAGGACTTCTATACCATAAAATAGTTACTACAGAGTACTACAGCATATTATTGGCCAGCAGCCATGTCACCCTGCAATTCACATCTGGCAGCCTACTGGAGCTCAGCAGGTGTCAGTACCTGGATGGGAGACCTCCTGGGAAAAACTAAGGTTGCTGCTGGAAGAGGTGTTAGTGGGGCCAGCAGGGGGCGCTCACCCTGCAGTCTATGTTGGTCCTAATTCCCCAGTATAGTGATGGGGACATTATACTGTAAAAACGCACCGTCCTTCTGATGAGACATAAATCTGATGTCCTGACTCTCTGTGGTCATTAAAAATCCCAGGGCATTTCTCGAAAAGTGTAGGGGTGTTACCCCATTCTCCTTTATCAATCATGGCCTCCTAATAAACCCCATCTCTGAACTGGCTTAATCACTGTTCTTCTCCCCACTGAAAGCTGGTGTGTGGGGAGAGTACTGGTGCACTCTGGCTGCTGTCACATCATCCAGGTGGGGCTGCACACTGGTGGTGGTGGAGGGGATCCCTATTACCTGTAAAGCGCTTTGAGTGTATACAATTATTATTAATAATTATTATTATTATTATCATCATCATTATTTTACTAGCCAAATGCAACCAGAATTTCCCAAACGGAAGTGAGCGATTGGTTGAGGGTTGGATGGGATTAATCAGTCAGGGTTCTCTCTTGCAAGACACACCTAAGAAAGGTAAGGTGCGGAATAAGCTGAAAGGTTAGATGTGCAACAAACAAGAGCAGGCAGTTGATATATCCAAGGTTTTCAACAAGGGGATCAGCTTCACCACCATGGCTGTGTAGCTTGTTCCATACTCCCACAGCCCTTTGAGTAAAGAAGCATTCCCCGGTCTTGGTTTTAAACGTACTTCCTTGTGTTTTCCATTTGTGCCCCCTCATTCATGTTTCACTGTTTATTCGGAAGAAATCCGTTGACTTTGTCAAACTCCCAAGCTACTTCCTTAGGAAAGTTACACTGTTACTCTCTCGGCTCTCCAAGATTCCTGTGGCCACCTGGGTGCTTGTAGGTGTGGGACACACAATTATCACTGAACCGCCTGCGCAAGGGAGGGACCTATAGAAAGACAGGTGGTTCGAAGAGTCTGCCAGCATTTTCTCATCTAGTAGCCGCGAGAAAAACACAATCAGCTTTTCGAAAATTAGGTAGGTATAACAAAAACAATTGGTGATCACACATAAAAAATGAATCAGAAAAAAAAAATCTTACACTGGAATTGAATTAAGACAGTGAAGTACTTAAACTCCTGAATATTTTTTTATTAAAATTAATAAAACATTTTTTCTGATGTCAACCCTGTCACAGTTTTCCAAAATTTCTGAAACCCTATATGTACACAAGCAAGTGGAGAGATAGTTTCAGCCTGCTGACTAAACTGTGAAAAGCCCTGTACTGTAGCTTGTCTGGGGGTAGATTGAGGGAAGCGGAGATGTCAGTTTGCCTCTTGGCAGTCACACAAGCACTGGGGAAAATGGTTTAGGGAAATCCCTTTTTTACCCCCGCAAAAGAAAAAAAAAACACCATAGACTCTTCAACTTCCTAACACATTCCAAGAAACTCCGGAAATGACACAGGCAACCAACAGTCTTCGCCACAAGAAGAAGAACCGCTCCGAACAGCTCCGAAAGGACGGCATGTGGTCCAGATATTTACGGCAAAACTACAATTTTCTTCTCCAGTTTCTGCTCTGGGAAGATGAACCTCCGCATGACATCATCCAGCTCTTCCAGGGCCAGCTGGGCGTGGAGGACAGCGACCTCATCACGGTCATTCTGCACTACGAACTTCAGAGTGCGGTACAGATCCCGGAGCACGTCCTTCAGGACCTGCGGAGCACAGGAAAGCACAGGAAAGTCAGTGCCCACATTTCTCACAGTTCTCAGCTATGGAACAGGATAGGAAGAGGAGATAATGAATATAACAACTGTAAAGGAATCCCATATTAAAATTAGCCTTCAAGAATGTGTGGTGATTCTGAGCCTCTGCCATGTCTTTACTCTACATTTCCACAAATACCATGTGTCCATATTACTGCACTCCACCATCTTTTACCATGACTAAAGCCTTACAATCCTCCTGCTGCACTTTTCTATTTTCCACTGTAATTAAATGATTTGTCTCTGTGAACTTTCCTGAAAGAGAAAGAGGAAAAAAAAAAGAAATGAGGCTAGGTTAAAAAAAAAAAAACATCTTAGTGAAAATCCCAATAAAATATTCAATCAAAATGTATGAGAATACATTAAGACGGAGGATCGGCACAGGTGTCACCTCAGTACAATATCTTGCCAACTGAAATTGATTTAATCAAAATCTACAATACAATGTCAAAACTGTTAGCTTCCATTTCCTAGACCAAAATCAAGCTACCAGCTCTGTCATTTAAATAGTAATCTGCCAAACACTTGTACCTAATGTTACCATTCTATCAGACTTCCTTCCCATGAAAACAAAAGGTAATGCCCTATTGTCATTAAACAGTCTGTTATAAAGAAGAAAGGGAAGAGTGCATTATTATAATGTCAAAACAGCTCTTTGAAACTGTAGTCACAGAAATTAAAGGGAGACAGTTTCCATTACATGGCCTGTGAGACTGAGAAAGGAATCACCATGTTTAAATGAAAAGGCTGTCAAACAACAGTTTTCTTTCCTTATAGTACAATAGGTCTACAGGACTATGACAAGTTTAGTTTTTGTGTCCATTTTTCTGTTTTAACTAGGTCTAAGTGACAATACCCCTTTTCATATAGAACCAGACACACCCTGCCACCTTATAAACTGGACTTTATTCAATAAAAAAAAGTATACAAAAAAAAAAACTTAATTTTGCAAGACAGGATTATAATATATCCACCCTGAATCGGGAGAACAATTGGAAAACCCCTTAAATTAGTTTCAGTCTTCCCTTACAGGCAACCTTTGGGAATACACATCAGAAATCTAAGGTTTGCAAAACCTTTGCATCCTCACACATTGAACACACATGTAGACACAGATTTCTGACATTATGTGCTGAGGATGTGAGGACAAATTTGGGATCTCAAACATGATCAAGGAATTAACCACCACATATTAGTGGACAATATAGTAACAAGCAGTTGCAAATATAATAACATAATGAGACAAGCCCAGCAGCTAGCTTGAAAATGCATTTGGCCTTTTTTATTATTTTATAACCCAGTTAAAAGCAATTCAAAAATTGATTTTAGATGGGCAAGACCTGTTAGAAGGACAGTCACAATCCCCAAATTCTGCGCTGACTTAGTCTCTCAGTATCGTTAGCGTGAAAAGATGAATATTTTAAACAAAGCACACAAGTCACTGCATGAATGTTATTTGCCATCCGATCAGATTTGTGGTCAATTAGATCAGAAATAAAAGTAAGAAAACTGAGGTGGCAAAGAAGGATGCAAATGAGTCTTCCGAAGGAAAGCTTTGATCTAATTTCTCAATAGGATGGATCCTATTCAAGTATTTTATCGCCTCTCCCAAAGATAACAAAGCCACAGGATCTCAGATTCTGCAGTCATTTCAGACGTTTTTGTCTGTCACTACAAGAAACCGCTTGCAAAGGATGATAAAGTTTTGCTGGAAGGTTCATTTCCAGAGAATATCCAAAAACTTTTAATCATCTTGTTCAGCGTGTTTTTCTGACGATCCCACGTCCTCTTCAAGTACATCATTTTCGGGATATAAAAGTTAATAAAGTGTAAACGGGGGAGGGAGCTTCTGAGTGTTTCTTTCACAAAAAAATGTGATATTCATCTTTCTAAAAACATACATGTATAAATAAAATACTGTTGGTTTGAAAGCTCTCTATACAATAACCTCTGTATAGACATTTACATGCCCTTGAGTAAGAAAAAATGTTATTAAAGCAATGTTTAGATGCCTGATTAGTTTTTTACGCTCACGCAAAACTTTACAATTGACCAGACGAAGGAAGGTAATTAAAGGAAATTATGGTGGAACATTAACATGTCACAAGAAAAGACCGAAATAAGGTTGCAAGGAAAACAAGACATTAATAACATGGCAATTATTTTGTGAGATTATTTATTGTCCTCCCATCAAAGACCTTGGGCCACACTACGTACTAATTCCACTTGGCTCATTCCACTTTACGCAACCTTTTACATGTACTGCACATGCGATGAGAGACATGATAAGACTACAACGTGACAAATTAAAATGCAAAACAAACCCAAACGCTGCTGCCCTGAAACACATCCTACGGCACTTTGCTAAACTACGGAGACAGTTCACTTATTTTCAGCAAAGTTTTGTGCGTTTAAGTTAAGGACATTTGAAACGACTAAAAAGAGGATGGTCACGTAATGTAAGATACAATCATCCAGTGACCAAAACTTTTTCAATAAATATCAGTAAAGAAAATATCAGTAAGTAAATATAAATTTACTATTCGTCTCCCCGTTAAACCCTCTGACATTCCTACTATTTCAATGAGGGTGGATGTGAGGGCAATTTTGCTTTTGCCACACCTTGAAAAAGGTCAGGTTCGACAGTCTGGCACGAGTTAATGATATGGGTTCCCTTGTACAGAAAGACAACAGCCAATCAAAGGCTAACAGCTGTAAATACCACAGGAGAACATGCTGCTGATTGCCACCAACAAAGAGTGATGGTGTATGTAACCTCAACCAGCACGGATATACCCGGCAGCGGACAAAATCCCAGTAGGCACTAACTTGTGAACAAAACATTACTTCAATTATTTCAACTCTGTAGTGAAATGTAAACAAAAAATAATAGCCAAGAGCAAGCTCTTATGAGGCTTATGAGCTCTTATGAGGCATGAGAATGTATTGTACCTGTAGACATGTAAACTGAAATGTATACTGACTGTGGACTTGCGTTTTTACTTGGTGAATTCTACAACGATCAAAATAAAAAGGCCCAAATTAATCCCAATGCACTCAAATTCAAGACTTTCAGCTGCGTGCAAAAGGGTACTCAGTATCAGTGCAATTACCTTTGAATATTAACTCATTTCAAACTGGCATTGTATGTTTATAAACACAGCCATGTTTCTCCTCAGTTGGATCAGAGTTAACACTGGTTTATCCACACTACAGCTCATATAACAATGGTCCGGTGTTCCCAAATGCTTCTGGCAATTAATGCATCACCGAAAGCCTGTAACCTGTGCAGCCTGAGAAGTAAACAGCCCTGCAAAAGAACGCCCTAGTCAGGCAAATCAAGCATGCTGGCATCTGCAGGCGCTGCCCCTTCTCCTGCACTCTTCCACTCGATCACTGTACCCCCTGGCAGGCAGGTAACCTCTGGTCTCAACCCTCTCTGGTCAATCCCACTATACAACACATCCGGACTTGCTTTTCACACTGTTCCATAATTTTACGTCTTTTTGTTTGAATCAGTCAGCAATATCTCACAGCCCTCTTCGAACAATCGGACATTAAGGTAAGCATACATTAGGCTGTGACAGCACATGTGGCTATTCGGTTTCCCTAGGCGGCTCACATGACAGATGCACAGCTAAGTCAACTACAAATAGAGAAGGATGAAAGCTATAGTGTGTTTACGAAAAACACAAATAAGGAAATGAGACAATAATGGTTTAAAAAACAATTCTGGCTTGGCTTAAGTTTACTCTCCATTTCATTTGTGTACTTTTTTAGGATAATGGATTCTGGCTTGCTCAAAATACGATCAACTGACAGAACTGAATCATGAATTTGAAGATTGGAAACTGCCGGAATTCCCATAGACCTTTAAATCCAACCTGTCTAACCCCCATCCCCACAAAAGGCACTTTCCCAGGAAAATTAAAACCTGAGACCTGGTTTCTCATGCCTCTCCCTCCTGTGCTTCATTAATCATCATCCCAGATGTCAAGGTGCACACTAGTCTGCTTCAAAAAATGTCTTGGATGTGCGATACCTTTCTGGTTTCCAACAGAAAGTGAGTCATTAAAGTTCAAGGAGGGAGTTGGAACCATTTTTTGGCAATACAGGAATTGAAAATCTGGGAAAACAAGTTATATCAATGCCTCTATCCTTCAGGGCACCTTGCTGGGAGTATGGTTAAGCAGGTGCCAAAATTTCGGTCAAGAGACCTTATTTGCAAGGTTAACAGTTTAATTTTTAGGCCTGGGGAAGAGCTAAATGTGGTGTTACATCCGACCTTCAAACACACAGTCTCCTGACTCACTTCCGAATCATCACAGCATAAATACAAAGATCTCAGTGGGATACAGCTTTCATTTGCAGGAAATGATCACCAATAACTATCCCAACTACTGCATCACACAGATTTCCAAATTCTCCACTTCAAAGACTGGTCCATAGATGACACTTCCTGGCTGAACAGTTCACAACTTGATCTTGTGAAACACTAAGTTATATTGAGATCACACACATTTCTCTCAGGGGTGTAGTTTTCTTTCTAAAACTAACTATAAGGCTTGGGTTAAATGTAGATTAAGGCACTGATTGTCTGCCTTTGCTGTTTAGTATAAGTCCACATTTAAATTGACTCTGAAGGAGAGGATCTCAAAAGTACAGCATGTAATGAAATATCTGAAAACTGAATTGACATCCAATATATTTCCATTCCCAGGCACTGTTACCTAGAGGAAAGTCAACTTTCAAATGCTTATTTTAGCTAAAACCTCAACTTACCCTCCCCATCATAAGCCTGATACAGCCACAACTGTCAAGATGAAGAGTGAAAAACATTAAGTACCTGTCTTTTACCATGGGGATCAAACAGTTTTGACAGGTATTGACCTGAAGCTGATAAAGGGACTAAAACTGTTTCAGTTAAAAGAAAGGTACAGAATATATTTGACAGCCCGGGTGACAAATGTTTAATAAAGTCATGATGTCTGAGTTCTGAACAACAGTGGCACTTAAGTAGGTTTCTATAGCAAGCCCCAGAACCCCGTTATTCATTTCGAACAAACACTTCAGTACACAAAGAAAACAAAAACTTACAAACAGTCTGATTTGGAAACGCTCAACTCAAAATTATAAGTTAAAGCCATTAAAGCCAAGTAAAGATTTTTCAAAACATGGACCATGAAAATTCACCTCCAACACTCAATAGTAGGAGTGTCAAAAATATGCTTCCTTAGAATAGAGTCAAATGTGTGAACTGTTTTAAGTGACGCTAACCACACAAAACTGGGAGCAAACTGGAGCTAGATAAAGTGCATGAAAGGACTGGATTGGGGACACTTCTGCTCATTTTCACTTTGACCACTAATAAAGGGCTTCCCTGAACTCCCTAAAGGATAAATCAAAGGAACCAAGGAAAAAGGCACCTCACACAGCCTCGTGAGGCTTGGTATGCTGTCTTTTTCCTAAGAAAGTCTGCACATCCCAGAAATGCAAGTGTGTGTGTGTTTCCTATCAGACTTATGAGCCACATTCTAAAATACTGGTATGTTGCTTCTTTGAATATACAGTAATTTCTTAATTTACTTTGTCCGGTTATTCTGAAAATAAAAGAATTAGTTGTGCGCCCCTTTATCTGAAACTGCAATATAGCATAAACTAAAAAGAGCTTGTTTTATGTTTTGATGAGTAAGAAATGCAGGCGGCAGCTGGGAATCTCCTTACCTCTGTGGCCCTGTTACTCAGTCCTCTCAGGAGAAGGGCAATGACATGAACACCTGCTCTACGCACTTCGGCCTCCCCATCTGTCCTAATGATTGCAGTTAAACACGAACACAACTGCAGAACACAAAACAGTGATGGCAACAGTTACAATTTTGAATCATAGAGGACAGTTTAGTATTTTTCAAGATTTGTGGGTTTAATACAGATAATAAAAAAAATATATATTTATATAAATCCAAACAAAAATGAGAGTTCAATACATTTTTTAAGGTAACAAATTCAAAAATAACCCTTTTAATATTGTATATACTGATTTTTCTTTATTACAGGCTTTATTATAACATAGTATTTAAAAACAAGTATGTTGGTATTCACAATCTATATTCAGAGATGCAGTTGAATAGCTTGCACTTTGCTTGAAAATTAAATCAATGAACTCTTCAAATGAAATAACAGTAAGGACTGTTACTCAGCTCCTTCTCATAAATAAGCAGCCCTATCAATGTAGCTCAATAATTTGCAGAGAGCTAGTCTGTATGTTATAGGACCATCTGCATGAGCTTTCTAGTATCCCTAGCAACGTGGCTTTATTTTTAGAATCTTCCCGGGACACAAAATTCCTTCGCAGGCCTCTGACTTCAGAAAGAAAGGCCAACACTTCCTAGGTTGGTATCCTTAAGTATACACACAATTCACTGCAGGCGCAGCCTGTTCAATTCTCACACTCCTCCGCCCCCCTGCATCAGGCCACATGAAACGCTTCATTCAATGATCGGGCAGCCCCCTATCAATGAAGCCTGTCTTTATTAAACTCTCTACTCCATCCCACTTCTGCTGACAGAAGCCCGTGTCTCCATTTAATCACTGGAGACAGCTTTGCTGGCAACGCCAGTTTGGATTTCTACGGCCGCCCGTGTGCTTTACAGTGAATAAGAGCCACTTGTTCAGTACCTTAATTCCCATTCAGTAAACCACTTGACTCCTTTCAGTTTTTATAAGACTGCAAATTTAATTTCTGAGCTAACTGTCCCTCCTCTCAGAAGCTTCAGTATTATAATTAGGAAGAACCTCAAGCAGATAACAGGAAGTGGACAAAATTTCCAAAAGAGAAACCAGGCCACAGCAGGTGTATTAATGTTGAATTATAACTGCATCAAATATTGCACCACGTTCATATTTATTGCATCCCATGTTGAAAGTGATGTCTTGATATATGTGCATCCCATGTTGATAAAACACTGGAAGTATATCTGTGAAAGTAAATTAACCAGCATAACGTGTAACCCTCACCACTGGTCACTCATTTTAAAAAGTGAACGAAAATACCGACGTTCCTATAAATCAACTCTTTATATCACGTCCATTGTTCCTGTCATTACTTTACACTTCAGGATAATAAATGCTGTTTTCAAAACATGTTTAATTTGAGAGGTAAGCTTATAACATTGCTAGCAGAGCTGTTTTATTAAAACCCACAGGTAAATACAAACATACTGTACATATTAAATTGCTTTCATTTTACAACAGCAAATTCAGAATGTAAAAACATTTACCATATCATAGTAAAAAATGAACAAGTCAAAAGTCTACCTAATGACAGCTTTCAGTTTGTTTTATAAGGATGCCACAGACTTGCACAGAATAATCCAACAATACTTATTTTTTCCCTGCAGTCACACTGTGACACAAACTACAAGTCAGACCAAATCTTGCCTAAGACCAACAATGGACACAGACTAGTCTTTTGTCTGGATAAAGCTGGAAATAATTACTCATGAGTCTAGGTATAGAAATGTTCACTTCTTTTCTTTGTTGGGTTTGGACAGTATCACTCTTCTATTGTTTTTTAAATTCCACTGATGGGAATGAGTACTTTTATCAACAGTAATGTAGTACAAGAGATGTTTTGCAATAGTACAAATAAGTCACCTTTCTCTGCTGTTACCCCTCAACTAAGCCACAATCTAGAAAGGAATGAGTTCAGATAAATTTCATTTGTGCTCTCTTGTCTGTTATGAGCATCACTGCAATCCCTAGAAAATCCATAAGTGGTTTATTGGTTTTGATAAACATATGAATCTCGTTTTGTTCCAAAGAAATGCTGGATGTCTTTATGTAATGTTTATAATAATAATAATTAATAATTGCTTACACTTATATAGTGCTTTTCTGGACACTCCACTCAAAGCGCTTTACAGGTAATGGGGACTCCCTTCCACCACCACCAATGTGCAGCATCCACCTGGATGATCCACCTTTATGTACTACACATAGTCATGGTAATATAACACAAAGAGTGCAGATTATCTGTACATAGGACTTTCCAGAACAGACCTTGTTATTTTGAGATAACCATGCCTTTCACAGCTATTGACAAACAGTCAGACCCTTTTCACCCACGAGAAGTTCGAGTTCAGCACTGAGCAGGGTTTATGACCAGTCAGAGATGCTGATTTCAACATTATCACCAGGGACCACAGCAACACACAGGACTGCTGAGTTCAAGAAATGTGCCCAAGTGTGAAGGTGAAGAAGTAGGGATTGTTATAGCTGCTCATCCTCTAGCGTATTCTGTATTAATCTCTTCTGAAAAAACTTTCATGGCAGATAAAATTAAAATTAAACCTGTGTCTGTACCCTTTGTAGGTACAAATTACAAATGACATGAAAAGTCATGGCATTTTTCTAACTGTCCAATAATACAGCCAGTGATCTTGGGGGTTCAATTAAAGAACTGTATTACAGGTGAGTATTTCACTTCAGCTAGGAGGTCATATAGATACGATACAGCCTGACAGCTCAGAGACCTGTGTAGACTGTCAGCATGCTGATGTTGATGTGCACTGAGAAGGTGAGAGAGAGTAAATGTCATGAAAAATGCTCCACTGATGTCCTTGAATGCAGACAGACTTGACCATAGTTGTTGACATAGGTATAAACTGTTTTAGAAATTGTTTAAAATAGCTTAGCTGAGAGTAGTTTGCAAATGTGACAAGGAATAAAAAAGCATGAAAGTAAAATGTAAAAAAAAAACTTCTCCACAGGCAATCTACATGGAATCTACATGTTCTACAAGAACAGTCTACAAGATATACTGATTATCCCAAAATAACATACACATTTTCACTCTCCTTTGGAGATTAAAAGGCCTTTGATTCTGAAATAATTCAAAATCTAAATCTCAAAGCTTGTGACTGACCACTGATGATGGCAAAATCCTATTATATACTTCAGACTGTATATACAAGACACAACATGGGGTGGAGTCTGTTATTATGGTGATTACACCGGCTAACAGAGCTTCAGCTAGGCACTTAGGTTGCAACTACCCTTCTTCACAATGGCAAAACAATGCTCAAAGAAAGGTGTAGCGATATCAAATTAAAAAATAAGAATATACAACATTCTGAACTCGTTTTAGATTCCTAAAATAGGTATGGACTACGAACACATTTCAGTGTGCCTCTAGGGACATGCTTAATCATAGGTGTGTTATTGAAAGGTTTCAGCAGTACAGTATTTGCAGGAAGAAATGCTGTTAAATTTGCTAATGAAGAATGTAATGTCAAAAGAGATTCTTTGGTTGTGTTACCAAAAAGGTTTGCAAGAAAATGTCTGCCCTAGAGAAGAAAAGACTAGTAATTAAAATAATGTTGCACATTTCCTATACTAATTTTATCCTTCTATGGTATGATACATACTCAATGCTTTGTTGGATTGCACAGGTTGTATTAACTTTGCTGCTGAAGCCCATATTAAGTTCTTCATTAACAAATCTGCAAGTGCCTCACTGCATAGTTCAATATCTGTACATAATTAAAAAAAGAATGACTTGTTTGAAGAGTAGAAAAGGTTAAATTGAACCCACCACTGCAATGCCAATAATACCTACAAGTCCATGCTGACAAAACGGCACCGGATTCTTTTTCTGGATCCAAAAAGCCTTAAAGGTCAGGTTATTTTAAATAATCATTCAGATGTTCTCATACCCTCCTGCAGAGTTAAATATTGAACCTTTAATGAAAACCTACCATAAAAATCATCAGTGCTGCATGGGAAATTAACTTTGAAAGGGAAGTGGTGTGCAGTGGCATTTTGCAATCCCACAAAATTGTAGAACCTTTTCAGTAAGAAATATAGTCAAGGTTGGGCATTGATTGCCTTTTCTGTTACCATCACTCCATCGGTAATACACAGCTGCATAGAGAAATATATATGATAATATTTGAATATCTGTCAATTAATTATTGTGCACAATTAAAAGTCTCTGTCGGCTTAAACATTGAGTAACAACTCATTTGGAAACAAGCATACAGAGTCTTGCTACTACAGGTTACGCCAGGAAGCAATTCAATGAATCACTGACTTTGAGAATGAACTATTCAGGGAAAGTTTTTTTTTTTGTGCTTTATTTTAAAAAAAAATAATAAAAAAGAATAACATTCATTCAACACAACTGTGTGTTAATTATAATTGAGGACCCCAAAAAAGTCCTTACCTCATGAACCAAAGGCCCCAGAGCAAAGTTGAGCCTCTGGGACAGCTCACCCAGGTTCGACAGACTGCTGGCTCGGATGGAGCTGTCTTCATCCCGCGTCGCTCTCAGGAAAACGTGAATCAGGGGACCTGCATAATGGCACGTCAGGTCACCTAGACAGGGCAAGACAGACACGGTTTTGTTGTTTGAGAGGGTACTTGTACCTGGGCTTCTCACTAGGCTAGCCTCCTTCTCTTTGTACATTGCATGATTGACTGAATACACAAATTCATATTCTACAACACTTGGAGAATGCACTGGACCTTAGATACATTGTCTGTTGTAGAAAACGTACTTTCCAGTTATGAACTATGCTGAAATTAACTGCAGCATTTGATTACAGTTACTACAACATTCCTATAGCGAAGCCCATTGCTACCTAATTTCCTGATGCTGCAATACTGTAACGAACAGCAACAAATACAACCATCATGCTCTTCAACACCGCCCTTGTCTATTTTAATTTCACAACTTCGCAAATGAAACTTTTCACAAGCTGACTAGCTAATTGCTGTTGACAAATTGTGCAAGCTGCATGCAAGCATCATTGTGTATCACAGAAAATTTGAAGTGTTTTACGTTAAAAGTCTGTGAAAGACTACAATATTTATTTTAAAAAAAACTTTAAAACTTGGGCTGAACTGAATAACAGACAAGGCTGTTTAATTAAAATTCTCTCCAACAAGAAAACGTAACTTTTTATGGAATGCAAATGAAATCTTGGTGTATTATAGCTATGGACAGACTTCTGAACTAAGTTATAAAGGATTGGAAAGAAATACCACTGAAAAAAGTTTATTCATTTGCCAGTGACAGCAGCAGGGAAAATGCACTTGTCCCCACTTCCACAGTTTAAAAATCCCACCAGGCCAATAACTCTATGAGACATCCAGGAAGACAGGAAAGAAAGGGAAATGGCATCATTTGCATATGAAAACTTAATGCAACTCTGCAGCAGCTTTAATTCTTTGGGCACTTAAATCTTAACATTCAAAACTCATGTCTGAAGGTGTGGTTTGACTTTAAGGTTTCTCAAGATCAGTCAGAAAATTGAAGGCTGAGAAGACTCCGCAACTAATTTGCTACACCACGTCAATAATGACTTAACCAGAAAAGGGACTCTATTTGAATATAGGCTGATCTATTTATTATAAAATCAACACAACTAATAATAATAAATCTTTGCACTTCTACAGTACAATATATTGCATTTCCATCCCAGTAGATCTCACAGCGTTCGCCATGCTGCAGGGACTGTACGAGCTCAGCTTCCACCAGGAATGCAAAGTAGAATTTAAATGCGGAAAGCCTCACTACACAGCAGATCAGGAAGAGGAGTGAGGAGTGGCTTCAGCAATTGGCTTCAGCAATTGAATTGAAGATGAACCTCAGATGGCTACATTGTGCAACTCACTGGTGGGAAAATGTCCAGGAAGCCAGGGTAACAATCCTACTCTTAAGTAGTCAGGACCTTAGTTTAACATCTTATCCAATGGATGGCAGCTCATACAGCACAAAGCCCCTGGTTCCCATCCTGGGGCACTATTTTGGAAACTCGGGCCGAGATGGAAGGGCACTACTGACTGCTCCATCTGGTCCATCAGCACCTCTTCCAGGATCAGCTTGCTTTTCCTTAGACGTCTTGGTTCCTAGTGCTGAATAGGGCCAACCTTTCGAACCTTCCCACATCAGTCTTCAAGTCTAGGTCAAAGGTCAAGGGTCAAGGGTGACCAGCGTTGCCAGGGCTTTTTTCACATCAGAAGGACCACTCTGATTTGATAGCTAACCCCTGTGATTTTGTAGGTACCCATGTGCTTGTAATATTTTCAGTGAACCAGGGCACCTATTCCTCCTGACCTGAACATGGTATATATAAATAGAGTACTTTTTCACCCAAACTTCGAACTCTAACCCCTGGATTTTCTATTCTCATAATCGGAATGCTCACTTGTTAGTTCAGGACATGACCACCGAAACAAGATTTGCCTACATAACCGGTTTTATTACCAAAAAAAACGTTCCCAACAGAATTACATAGAATTACCTAAAAAACAAACACTACATTTTTTTGGGCTAATGTCTCCGTCACTAGTAAGTCACCCACTCTTGGAACAAGTACAAAGGCAAACAGCAACTGCTAGGCGTGAACGACTTTGAGAACGGACTATTTGTCTTGTAAAATAGGAGCTTGTCACTGCTTGTCGAGTGATCAACATCCGTTTCCTCTTTGTACAGGACCAAACAAAAAAAGTATTAGAACAGAAGAAGGGTCTTAATTTTGCATGTTTACTTCAGTGATGAAATGTGCATTACAGTTAAGACCTCAGTCATCTTTCACAGAAAGTCTCTGTCATGACCCACTCCACTAATCATTACCAAGCATGCAAGTGAGGACATGACCTCCATTGCTTCCATCAGTTTTAACTTTGCATACCGATTTCAAAGCCAGTTACCACTGATTAGCTATTTTCCATCCACAGGAAAACTTCGTTCATGTTTATCATCATTTGTCATTTAAAAGGATGTAACATTGTAACATTACAGTATTACTTAGCTAACGAGATTATTGCCATCATTATGATTCCAAAGTGCTAGATCAATAATTTTATTAATTGTTCATTCACTTTTGTTGTTCTGTCAATTGCCCACTTCACTTAAAACCAAAGTATTGATACAAAAGTACTGAAAATATTGGTGTTTTTACTGCTCAAACTTAAGATTTTTCATTCTTAAATTAGACTATTGTCAGAAGTCAATTTAATCCATCACTCGAAAAGCTCTTCCATGTTTAGAACAGATCAAGCCAGGATGACTTCAAGCACAGCACATGCTCACTGACCTAGCGCCCTGCTGGCCCTCATCAGAACTTCCCCAACCTTCAGTCTGGTCTCAAGAGAGCGATGTTTCTTCACCTCCGGAGGGCTTTCCCGATACTCATCAAGCAGCCTCTGTAAAATCTGGTCTGGAAACACATCTGCCAGCACCGTTAGACCTAGGAGGAACAGTGGGGGAAAAAAACATTGCAAACAAAGCATTTCCCATTTTTTGCCAGAAATAGTTACAAATGTTTCAGGATTGTCCCTTTTTCAAGCAGCGTGTGCCTATCACCATTATCTTTTTAAAGTATTGCATCAATGACAATAAGTTTTGTTTTTTGCAAATGTCCATCTAAGCCATATGGTCTAAAAAGGCGAAACTGAAAAATGTTATGTGCACAAAGTCATCATTGTAAAATACACAGATAACACACGTCACAATCACCAGCTGCTTCCATGCCTCAAATCTGGGCTTGGCCTCAAACTTGGTAGCCATTACTACAATGTACAGTGACTGTCAAGAAATACAGATAGATCAATAGGTTGGTCTTCCTGAGAAATGACTTTGATTTTTAAACTATATGACATAGAAGTGATGCAAGATTAGATTTACAAATGTGTTTTTTGCATATTCTTTCACAAAATCAGACATCTTCATGTTGTCTAATTGAAATTTGACATTTTGACCACTTGTTTTCATTGTAACCCTTGTTTATCAGGGCAGAGCAGACATAGTACCAGCAGTTCGCTGAGAGAAAAAATATGATGGCCACCGACTTCTTGCCAACGCTGTGAACATCAGTCCAAACACCAGGGCTAAGGCACTGAATGGAGAACACATGTATGTTTCTCGATAACATGTGTTCAGAGTGGCAGTCTTTAATGATTGGGTCTTAAGTTTCCTAAAAGATCAGTATATAAATAGGTAGAATTGTGTAATGGGGCTAATATTTGGAATCGCTTTCCATTGAAGTGTGTAGGTTTAAACTAGTTTTTGGTCAAAATGGACAAAGGAGCACCCAGGGCTGAGTTGGAAAACGGGCCACACTTGGGAATCTGGTCTTAAAATTGGTTTTCTGAGCACAAGCGGTATAAGCTGGAGTAATGAAGCAAAATGACACACTAGAAAACGCCATTGCTCACTGAGGGAATTTACTCACTCGCTAACACACTTAAGTGATAGTTCTCACCAAGAGAAAAAGAGCAGACAGCTAAGGAAGATGGAATGACACATTTGATTAAAGCTATGAAATGTATTAGTTTTATAATTACTCATCTTACTTGCATCATTAAATTCTGTGGAAAAGTGGACATGTATTTTGAAAAGAATTAACTAAATAAAAGGGCAGTCATTGCAGGGGAGTGCTGAAATGCATAAACACAGGCTGTCATAATTGTCATAATTATCAGTTCCTTTGACAATTAAAAGGAATTAAGTTTGTTACTGGGATGGCATACATGGGAGACTATTTTATAAACAGTGGATGAATCACCAATTTGAGAGCTCTACACTGTTATTAATCTTTAATTTCACCATTTAAAGTTTTGCAAGCATTGCACCTGAAAACAAACCACAGTCATACAAATCATGGGAATATTTAGTGAATTTCTGAATCCACTCAAGGGGAGAGACAGAGTGCAAAACATGGCCAAGTGACAATTGTTAAACTTAACTGACCCCTTGCATGCAAGACAATTATAAAGACTGTCATTCTAAAGACATTTTCTCCCCCTTACATCCACAGTGTTATTTTGTATAACTGCATTTAATAAAATATAATAACATGGAGAGCAGACAACTGTAAGAATAGGCTCATAATAAAATAATCTTAATAGAATCTTAAATACCTCAAGGGTTACTCCAATTAATTATAAAGATGTAATCTGGATGATAAACCTACACCTGAATGACAGGAAGGCTTCCTGAGATCTCTTTTTTTTAAAGCATAGGGATTTGGAAATGCAATCTTTGGATTAAATTAATGCCTTACAAAGTGGATAAACCTTGGTCCCGAGCACAGACCCGTTAAACCAATTTTTTGTTTGTTTCAAACTACGAACCACAGACTTTGTAGTAACAACTACAGCAAAGCAGGAAGACAAATAATCAAATACCGTAGAGGCTTACAGTACATGGCTACTATCACATGGCATACTGTTCTAAATACTATAGAATTATAATCGTTGTCTTTTTCCATCACTTTTCATTATTTAAGATTCAGTAAGGCATGGTAATGTACACAGAACAGGGTTTAACTGAAATAATGCTAAATGTATTTTTGGGGAATGTTATTTTGCATCAACAAAGGCCATCAAATATTCCGTTTAGGCTCCCAGTTACTGTATTTACAAAATATTTTCAGCTGTTTTCAAAGATGTTCTTAAAACCACTATACATCGCCATGTTTGTTGTGAAATTGTAAAAACACTGATTCAATGTAATTCTGTCGATTATTAAGATATGGTACTATGATTACTCTTACAAAAACTAACTAGTGAATAAAATCAAATCAATCTGTTCGATTGAACAGGTCTGACAAGGGTATTCAGTGTCCTGGCCAACCAGGTTGTAGCACTGACTACTCAAACAAAATCCACCATTCAGGATGCTTTAATAGACATGGATGATATGTGTTTGGTTTTGTAGGTCTAGCTGCAGAACAGCCTAAATGTCAATCTTATTAGACAATAAATTAAATTAAAACATTTTAATCATGTAGCCTTTTTCCTTTTAAAAAGATGGGACAACTCTGAACATTATTTCAAACTCTTAAGCTTTAGGTTTAACATTTGATGTCGTATATTTCCTCAGGCCCTTTGCAAACGAGGCCACAAGTCCCAGTGGGTTAATGTCACGCATAAATAATAAATGTGCGAATAATAAATCAGTAACAGGTCTTATACATGCAATATTTATATTTTATGTTAATTAAAGAAAATCTATATATTTTATTTGTTATGTTTGTGTTTGACTGTGTACATTTTTCTTACAAGGAATGTCTAGTCATAGACAGAGCTCCATTATTAAAATCAGTCAGATTGACAGCAGCTACCAGATGAGATGATTACAGCATTACTGGTCTGTTGCTTTACTGTGCTGTTGCTTCCTGTGTGCTTAAATAGAAGGAGCAGGTCAATGGCTTTGGGGATCCCTTGAATAAGTCTTGGAAATACAAACCGAGCACTGGCGTATGTTTAAACAACCATGACATATTTAAAGGGTGGGAGCTGGGGTATAGGCTTCCAATACTATAGGTAGTGGTGAGATTAGGGGTTTTCCCAAACCTTAAACTGAAACTTTTCAAACTAATCGAAAATGAAACTTTTAATGAAAGAGTGCATATTGGCTTTTGACTCTTTTGTTGTCTTGCTGTCTTCCCAACTGCAAAGTAAATCATTCAGCATGTAGTGAGTTGATTACACACAACAACTCATTTCCATGTTGCTTAAGTGCTCCGATTACGCATGAGAATGCATGACACATTTTCTCTTAGTACTGCATCAGAAAAAGCTTGTATTTCTTTTTCACTGACTCAGGTATAGGTGAGAGATTCAAAGTCACTCTAATAGGATCTTGTATTTCTGCCAGGCCGGACACCTCTCTTCAGAGCAACGTGAAATTAAACACTTCCCAAATGGAGCAGGCTTGAACCTATCCTCCTCTTACTCTGCACTTCATTCAGATATTCCCTTGATGCATTTCCAACTTTTTTTTTGTTTTGACTCTTTATTTCGTAACATCATGTAAACCACATATTTACAAGTCTGATCTTGTATAACCAAACCCACTACGAAGTGAAAACGGACTAAAAGAAACAACTGGCACTGATCTTTAATCTCACTTCTAAAGCTATTAATTAAATGTGCATTGGACATATCCTTTTCATAAAACAAGGCAACAATGTATTTCCCTTATTATATTTTCACGTCCTGGTACAGTGTGATGAAATACCTCACATAGAGATTAATATACTAGTTATAATATTGTAATATTGCGGAAATCAAAATACAGATCATCAGTAAAATATTACTAATCGGTCAATCACAACACACATCAGTCAATAAAAACGAACTGTGAACTGAATGCAAGAATGCCTGTAAAAAATACATTTTTATATTATATATTCTAATATAAACAGAATATATTTACTATTTGTAATACATATGAACCTTACAAACCTTGAATTGCTGATAGATACACAAAGGAGTCCTCGTGTTCCAAATTCTCCAAAAACACCTGAAATGTGAATTATTACATGAAGATCATTAGTATCACAGAAGGTAAGTAACCTTAGATGGAAGACCATTAAAAAACAGTATTTGACACATTTTTCTCATCCAAGGGCAGAATTTCAAATCTGAGAGACTGTATGTGGAAAAAAGTTTAAAAAGCCTTTTGGTTTGCAACTGTTGACGTCAGAGTGAGTACTCCATTACATTTAACCTTATTTTTAATAGATGACTGAATCTCAAACAAGAGTATCACAATGGGGAAGTTTTGAAGCAACAGTGGCCAGCCCACGAATTTCTGCCCATTCTCCAATTGGGTCAGTAAGGCTGACAAATTCTCTTCAATGTTAAATGGTCTTTAAATTGCTAACTTGTGATTCCATATCAACTCCATCTAATTTTTCCAAAGATAACATTAAGGCACAAAAAAGTCTTTAATAAGCCTTTGGTTTGCTGTTTCAGATGAATACTTTTACACAAAACAGAAGATGAACATTGTTGCCCTGGAGCAAAAAAAAAAAATACATCAACATAAGTTTCCCACAGAATCTTTTAGTCATAAAGTAATTGGAACAGCAGTATCAATCACTTCTGATTGATACTGCTTCTGTATCAAAACTGAGGCAGGATACCCTTGTTTCTCCATAGAACTGCAATATCACAATGCCTGGAACACAGCAGTGCTCAAAAGAAAGGATGCCTCCCAGGTGCCATGTTTTATATGTAAGATAGCTCTCCTGGGACACATTGCAAGCATTTTAAGCCCAGGATCTAGAGCACCTTTCATCATTAACTAGAACCATGTGTTTTCAAAATGGAATCTTATTTTCATCTTCACTTTAAAATTTGAGTTCATAAACAGTAAAGCACCCATTTCAGTTCGAAAGATAAAACTGTGCGGTCCTCAACCCTTTCAACCACTTCCTAAATTTAATCCCATCGCCCCCCTCCCCCCAGAGCTCAAGCAAGTTTAGCCAAGGCTGATTCCCAAGGCCGTCTCTCAGAGGGGAGCCCCGCTAAGAAGACATGAAATTGAGATCATATAAAGAATATTTAATGAGCACCAAAATTGGGCAATACCCAATTAAAGTCCAGAGTGAATTGAGCCACCCTGCTTTCACTCTGCTTTGAATTCCAACACGGTTCTGACATTTTTCATTTTTACCCACATACTGAAACTGCAGTGCACAAAAGAAATGATTGCTCTGATCTTATATTAAAGCAAACGTAATACATTCATTCGCATTCCATGATTCAGAGGGCCAGGCCTCATCCAAGATGAAAAGAATCTGAAGCCAGACAGCTATTTAAAACCTACTTAACAAATTTTATAATGAAACTGTCATCATTTTGTTTGAAAAAAAAAAAGACTTTTAGGAGTGAGTTATCTATAAGCCTGTATGAAAAGTCCTTAAAAAGCTTCTAACCATCTAATAAAGATTTTAAAAAAGGGATTAGTAAAAAAAGGGTTTCTGCATTGCATCATCAATATTGTCAATCTAAAGAAAAGAACCACAGCACTAATTCTCTGAGTTTTCAAAACCAGAAAGATACAGTATCATAGATTATTTTAAAAACACATTTTACATTCAGGTTTGGCTCAGAGTCTTCCACAGACCTAAGTGATATAAGTGATGATGACGTGATCTGAAGACCACCAGTTGCAAAGACTTCTTGCTGTTTGAATGGATAATACTTACTGTGAGAATTTTATCCTGAAAACCCAGGGCCTGGGAATCTCTGTCCTGAATCATGCGAGCCAACGTCCTTAAGGCAAGAGCTCTGGTTGGAACATCTGGATCGAAGGCTTCCAGAAGACACTCTGAGAAAGGTTTGCTTGGCTGTAAAGGAGTGGTATCACTGCGGCCGATTCTGGACCCTCGCTGGCCCGCAGGATCCGAGGGGAGTCGGTCATGTTGTGCTGTCCCACCCTCTGTCCCTGTGATCCGGCCTCCATCTGTTGGACTTTTCTCACCTGCAGGCGATTCCTCAACCTCAGTGGTCACCACGGAGCAGCCCTGTGCTCTTGAGCGCGTCACCGTGTCGGCCTCTCTCCCGCCCGCTGGGGGTCTGTCCCTGCGGCCGCCGCGGTCGGCAGCGATGCCCGCGGTGGAGCCTGAGGCGCTCTGAGCTGCCCTGAGCACGGCCTCTGTGGAAAAGGCGCCGTGAGTGGCGATGGTGGCACGCAGGTCTGCAGCCAACTCCTGGACTACCGGCTCAGGGTGCTGCTGGGATACGTGGTGTAACAGTGGTAGCAGGACTTTCATTGCAGCGTAATCTTCCGATTCCAGCTGGAAGCAGATACTTCTTGTTAAAAGTCAGACTTTCCCTTTCCCGATCCTCGGCTGTCAAAGAAGCAACTTGGTAATGAATGAAATCTCAATTGAAAATGTATACGCATCCTAAAATTGTGTCAATGCGTAAGAGTATCACTCATTGAAGAGACATTTCTACTTTAATATCTTGAAGAGCTGCTGTAAAGTTTTTCAAACTTTTCAAATGTCTTGCGTATGTTAGGTATTTGTTTAAAAAATGATTTTTCAGTAGTAAGCTGATTTGTGTTCAGTGCTGTGACTCATCCATTTCTCCTTAAAATACATACATAACCCCTCCTTGTGTCTTGATCTACGCCTGATCTCTAGGGCATTCCCCACACCCTAACCCACCCAAAACTAATCAAAATCCCTAAGAGAGGACACCGCACAAATGTATACACTACATACTAAATCAACCTCGCATACCTGTTATCGCAGTAACCCCTCCGGTCACATCCAAAACATTAAATGGAGAAAAACCAGCACATGTACTTCAAAATCCAATTAAGTCAACAACACAATAATAATATGCCACTAAATCTTATAATTAGGCAGCAATTACTGGCGCATTAAAGTGAATATCAGAAAGTACAGTGTCTTTACTAAACTGTTTCCATCATTATAGAATTCCATAATCATCACCTGACAGTTTAGTTAGCATTGTGTACCTTCACTTTTAATCCATTCACACATATAATCGTCCAATTCCTCTGACAAGAACAAAAATTTTCAAAAAAGTGAAACTACCATACTGAACAAAAATAGTCAGAAATTATGAATGATCTCTTTGACCTGGAATTGTTGACTAGACAACATTTTGAAAATATAAAGAGTCATTGCCCTATATCTTAAAAAGTCTTCTGATAGTTGAGTCATGATTATGATGACCATTTGCATGAGACAAGGTGAGAGTGCCCTGTAGTGTCTGGGATATTAACCTGGGGTTCTCTGTGACTTCCCTGATGAGTCTGTGGTTTGTGTCTGGCGAGATGCTGGTAGAATGACTGCTCCTGGTTAGAGTGACTTATCTTGAATTTTTTCTATTTGTAAACTGTCTGGCAGTGGATTGGTAGAGCCCAACAACCTTGGAAAGGTTTTATAATTTTTTCCAGACTAATGAGTATCAAGATCTCTTTTTCTAAGGTCCTCGAAGATTTCCTTAGATTGTGGCAAGATGTGTTTCAGCACACCCGTATTGTGAAGACCAAACTCACAACATTTAAAATTTTAGAGTTTTTATACTCGGCCCCCAAGGTCTACGTAATTATACGACACCTAATTTATAAAAATAAAGGTTTGCATGCTCTTTTTTCATGAACCTTAATTCATACATCATTTTGTTCCAAGAGACATGAAACTGCTTACTATAAATCCCGTAGGATATTTACATAAAGACTAGTTTTGATTTAAGAAGACTATAAAAACTAAAATTAAAATTTCCATACTTAAATTTGCACTTCACACACTTTGTCTTGGTACTGTACATGCATCCTGCTCTCTAGGAGCCAGCTGTTTGGAAATGACTAGAGAACTACACACAAATGTGATGATCTGAGGATGCAGATCGGCAGCTTTACCGTAGCAGCTCCAGCCAGCATGGTTGCCACAAGCCCCATGGCCATGCTGAGTGACTGGGTCTCCACAGTCCCCTCAATTTCTCTGTCCAGGCAGGCACAGACCCTCTGCAGCATGGCGGCAATGAACTCCACCACCTGTGGACAGTCACAAACAACGAGCGCTAACAAAAAGAAACATTCGCAGTGGAAGTGCTACCTGTCACTTTCGTTAAACACCAAACACGGAAGGCCAGCCTATTGGATTTTCTTCCAAGACCACCCACCAGACCACCTTGGGGCTCTTGTGGAGGAATGAAAAAACAGTGCTGTACTACCATCATACTGGATTTTAGCATAGGCTTTAGATCCTGAAGGCATATCACAACAAAAATTAGACTGCTGAAGGACTGCGTAGAATTTAACGCAAAGAGGCAACTGGTAAGACAGATGACAAATGCACACGGCTCTAAGATGCCCTTCCAACTGACCTGAATTGGGTTGCGCAGCAGTGTGTGGGAGAGTCTCTCACACATAACTGCCAGGACCTGCAATATCAGGAGCTTCTGCTCTTGTTTGGCTGTTTGTTGCTCTTGGTACTGCTCCAGCTCCAGGAGGCTCATGTTTAATGTGGATGCGGCCTCTTCCTCTTCCTCCTCCACCCAGGTTGTCAACTCCTGCAAGGCAAACCACCCACTAATAGGAACATAAGGACTGCCACAACCCACAGTCCATGTAAATTCAATAGACATTTTCTCCTTAAAAAACACAAACATCTGCTTTTTTTAATCCCACGTCACTTCTGTTGTGTTCCAGCTTGCAATTACGATTTATAAATGTTTTTTTTTTCCACACGAGGACTGCAGTCAAGTACATCATTATTTCTAGGACACTTTGGAAAATGCTGCAAATAGTCAGACAAGTGGCACTGCTGAGTTTCCAAACTGGCTCTCCCTCGATGATAATGCGGGTCAGAGCAAAAGAGACACCAGGAGTTTTACCCATCTCTCTCTCTCTTATTTAAAATTTAATTACTAGAATTTAAACAACTGAGATGTGATTGAGATATGACCATTAGGCAAGCAGCTGTACGTGTGACAGATGCTCTTGGTCACCGCTGAATACATTGCCAACGTTCCCTTTTCAATTAATTAAAATCTCTTCAGATATGGTGGTTGACAGACATCCAACAGTCTTACAAAAGTCTTAACAGTTACAAACCTTAGTCTTTATGTTTCCATGTATTAAACACTGATGACTAGTTCAGCTAAGTAGTTTGTTTTCTCTGTTCATTTAATTGAAAGCATGTACTTCTGTCTGTCAACTCTTGTTCCTTCCATGTATGTCACCTTGAGTTATCACATTATCAAGAGTTATCAAAAAACATTTTCTTATCTAATCTCCTTTTACAGGTAAAAAGTGTTTTTAACAGGTGTTCTTTTCTGTGAAACTGTCAAACTGGTTATAAGTATTTCATCAGTTACTCTTATTCTCTAGCATGGCAAGTGCCAGAAGATCAGTATAAGCATCTTACAGATTAGGATCACACTGCAGCAGGTGTATCTAGCTACATGTTAAAAGGTAGGCTAACCTTGCTGCCCCAGAAGCAGCCCAGGAAATTTAAAAAGATTTTGAAAAAATAGTTTTTCAGATACTATGTGATGTAATGTGTGTCCTAATTCAATTCATATTCCAATAAAATACAATTTTATTTAAATTCTGTCAGTATAATTTATGATGCTCATGATCTAGAAAAAAATTCCACTGACCATTAGTGTGAAGTCAACAAAATCTTTTAAAGAATTGGTGAGGCACACCAAGGCACACAAAAGCAGTAATACTACGATTCTGACAAAACTAAAATGACGCATTTTGTAATCACTGTCACTATCCTGAACTGTAGGAAGCTTGCTTTTACAAAGACAATCTTTCACACACAAAGCATTTACCATTACAAAACTTTTAAGAAGCTTGACCTCAATTGTAGAATAAGTAGACAAAACAATTCAGAAACTGTCTGTTTCCTGACGAACACATTAACCCTTCTTCTCACAGTCCTGACAAATGTCCTGGCTCCAGATGAGATAAATCGTCGATTGGGAAATAGGATTGCTTCACTTAATTTTGCCATTCTAAAGACAGGAGTCTTCAGCCAGTGTATTCTTCGCAGTTCTTATTCTGAGTGGAGCCAACATCGCATGTTCAGGAAACCGTAACCTGGAATATTTTTCTGTGAGGAGTGCTTATTGTACATTTCTAAATCCAACAATAAAAAGGGATTAGGGTTAAAATACGATGACATCAGAGTGCTGCTCAAGTCTGCAGCCGTCATCTCAATCCTAGTGATTAGTGAAACAGGTCTTAAGCAACGCATTTTATGTAATTGGCTTTTACAGTATCACTGCCAAGCCTCTGTTGACTGGTGTAACTATCATCTCAGCTCACATGCTCTAACTTTACCAGCCGAAAAGGAGAAGGACTAACTGGAATGCAGCATATAATGATCCACTAATGATATCTACCCAGTCCCAAATGTGATCTGTTACACTACCATTCTTTTCCATCTTCTCCATTTGATGCTGCTGCTAAGTGTTATAAGTTACGTCCATTGGTGTATTCGATGGACTGAGATTGCATTAAAAAACAAATTAATAAACTCTTCAGAACAGCCTGAATTATGACTACAAGAAAGACAGATCCACATTCTCTACTTTCCTTTCAGATTGGTTTCATTCATTTAATTTATTTATTTCATAAACCACAATTTGTTGTTTTATCAAAGGAAGCATGCATATTGAAATGGCAGATTTGAATTAGCAAAAAATGCAATTTGAAAATATTATTGTAGCTCCTGGAAGACAAAGTAGAATGCACCAATTTTAAAGATTTAAATGAAGAAGTTCATAGAAAATAACTTGTGATGGAGTCAATTTTCCAAGCTTATCTTGTGTCCAGATATGAGGAAAATTTGAGATACTGAAATCTCTGTATTACTTAAGTAATTCATTTGTCTTAAATGACTACGTTTATGACACATAAACAGAAAAAAAAATTGTTTGCTCAAATTAGATTGACAAATTTCTCTGTCAACACTTTTCTGAGTTTGCTAGAAAGGTAAATGAAAAGAGGGGAAAAGGACACTTTGAAAAACACCAGACATAACTGTGCTTTAAATGTAAACAAGAAGACTGTTGGGATTGGGCTCCTGCGACTATTTAAATATAATTTGTAGAGTTTTAATTACTGATTGTACCCAGCATTGTTTATTCCATGTCTTTTTCCCTCAATACGACTGTCTCCTAGTCACCCCAGGTAATAAGAGGTTGCATCTCTTTCTGAATTTCTGAATGTGGCAAAAGACCACAGAGGGAACTAGGGAAAAGGTATGATTTAAAGTACATGAGAAACATGCTGGTGCTGTGATTAAGGTGATAACAGTTTGCTAAGCTATCATTATTTGCTCATCATTTTTAAGTACCTTACAGTCATTAGAAATACAGAAAGACTTTGTGCTGAGAGAATGAGGTATTGTTTATAATTATCATTTACTCTGCGAAAAGATGTGTTTTCACAACTAATATTCCCAAGTAATGTCAGCTGAGAAGACACCTCACTTCTGCCTTTACATTTAGAGTAAAGCCAGCTTGAATTAAGTGTCATAAACACTCTTGGAGAAAGTGACTTCTTTTGAAATTACCTGATTTTCCTATTTCTCTTCCTTTCAAAAACACGCATTTTCTGAACTTGTTTTAAAAGTGCATTATGTGTAAAAAAAGACAAAAAAGCTACAGTTGTGTTCCCCACTGTCCTAGAAGTTTTAAGAACAGACTAAAAAGCTGAACATCTTAAATGCGATTCATGAATTAATTTATTCCCAAGAGTACACTGCTCTTGAAACAAACACTGCTAAGTCCAAACACAGGAAAACTAAGAAACAACCAATAGAAATAAAGAAATGAAGCAATTATCTGTACATCCATAAGACAAGTGAAAGATTTTACTACATTGTAGATGCTGATGATTTCAAACTTTCAACTGATATCTAGCAATGTGGTGAAAGGAAAAGTTGGGCAGGGGAAATAATCATTATTCTTTTGTTTTTAATGAAAATTTGAAGTGAACAGAAACAATGTAAGCTAAATCATTAGCCCATACTTTAGAGCAGAAGTACTTATTTCCTGGCATTGAGAGACTGAGCCAAGCTATTCTTTAAGCAATAGGTCTCTTTTAAGCATTAATGTCTTAAGACTTTCTTTAAACTGTGCAACTGATCCAATTAAGCAAATTAGTTCAAACTGAGTTATAACATTCTCTTGCAAGATGGAGGACTTTGTGGCCTTAGAGGACAAGAGCTGCAGATGTCTACTTCAGAGAATTTCCACCCAAGCAGCACGGTACCTTCAGCAGCTCGATGAAGTAGTCCCCAGGCAGACTGCTGTCCTGTAGGCTGGCCAGCAGGTCCACGAAGCACTCCACTCGCCACTGCTCAGAGGACACCTTCTCGTACAAGGCCTCGTCTTCATCGCTGAGCAAAACGACAGTCCAGTTTCAACCAAACTCCACATCGGCCGGTGTCTCATTTCCCAACCTCAGACTCTACATAATGGACTTCTTCACATTCAGACTCAGAACTTAAATGGCTGATATGACTACAACTTTGCGACATTATATATACTGTATATATTGTATATTGTATATATGCAGCTATAAACAAATGCCAAGTGAAATCTAATTTCCCTATTCAACAGCCCTAAAACATGTTTATGCGAGCCATGTGAAAGTAATAAACTTGTATGGTAATGCAGTGGCATGGAGACACCATGGGCAGTACGTATCGCAATGCTGTCGTTTACCAGATAGGCTCTCGCAGGCCGACCACAGCTCCTCCTTCACTCCCGGGAGAGAACTGGTACAGAGGAGGCTCGTTTCCCGGCTGCCTGTTCAAACCGCTCAGCTGCTTCAGTGAAGAAATTGCCACGACAGAGTCCGTCGTTTTAGAGAAGTACCACAGCAGGATCTCATGACAAGGGGAGCTTCAAGAACATTAGAGGACAGGAGTTTCAACAGACGTTGGCCAAACACATCTAAGACTGAAATCGCATACACAGAAGGACTATTCTTTTCAATTGTCAGTATTCTTTATGACCTCTTTTCTTTCACAGCACTGCTGTACCACAATGTAAGGACCCCATCTCCGTTTACAGTTAACATAAAACAATATTAGGAACCCCCGTTGAATAACGCACTGCAAGAACAGCTAGAACAAAATCTCTTTCACATGTTTTTACAGCCCAGTTGCATCTTATTCTAGTTGGTGTTATTCAGCAGTGTCACTACAACTGAAGCTATGTTGAAGGCTGGAACACAGTGTGGGACTGAACTGAAAATGCCCCAGTTGTTACCAGTTGTCAGAAGGATTTAGATCTGAGGTTTGTTCTGGCCAGGGAAGCTCCTTTGGTGAACCACACTCGCCACAGAAAGAGTCCATTCATTTAACTGGGAGTTCCTACTATTCTGGACAGTGAGTGCATATCAATAAAAGGATTAAGCCTTATCTTACAGCTTCCTGGTACCAAAAGATACAGAATTATAAAAAAGGTATATAGAAAAAAAGTCCAATATTTATTAACCAACTACACCTCATTATTTTACTTTTAATCCTTCCGTCAACAAGGGGGTATTGGACACTGGGGATGATTGGGGCAAATAAATTAGTCATGCCACACTCAATAACTTTACAACGCTACTACAGTGGTAGTCACACAGAGTGCTTTGGACTAACAATTACGTGCTTTGGACAAGAAAAACTGTAATTCCCAAAACAGCACACAGTAGTATGTGTATTTTTCCGAACTGCAGATTCACAGACTCTATTTAGAATAAAAAAGAGAATGCAGCTTACCGTAAATGAGATGCATTTTGTTTGGTAAAACAATACAGAGAAAAAATTACAGGAATAACACTTCCAAGGGACATCATCAGAGCCGGAAGGGGTCTATTCCCAACAACACAAACCTAAGAGATATGGAACCAAAATCAAAAATCCAAATGTGCAAGCATCTGAATAATACATGATCACAGTATAATTAAGCTAAAGCGGACACCCCATAATTAATGCCCCTGGCTTACATCTCTGGTGAAGGAAGCACTGAATTATACACATTTTCATTTTAATTAACCTTAAACAGACATGCCATCATGATTAATAAAATGCAGCTCAATCTCCAAGTGCTTGCATTAGGGTAAAAAATGATAAATCGAGTTCACCTCCGATAATCCTGTCTAAATAATTAACAGGATCAGGCATATTTATGTGAATTTAACTAACGAAGGAGTGCCTTTGCAGTGTAGTTGTATGGTTTGATAAAGGAAATCACTTTTAAGTTGTCTAAAAAGTAGCCAATTAGACAAGGTAATTACTTATTTGGCTACAGGCAGTGGTGAAGAACCACACTGCCACCAGGGAAGGCCTGGGATTAATCACTAGAGAGACTCGTGTGATCTCTCACGTTCCTGCAGGCACATTAGTGAGAGACACTGTACTGATAGGTGGGTGGGGCAGAGGAGCTTGTCTGCACTTCCTCAGTCTCGCTGTGCAGTACAAGGCAGTACAAGAACGGTTCACGTGGGCAGAGACGTGAAAAAATAGTTCAAAATTGAATGAAGGGAAAAAAGGAAGGGCATGCCAAACATTTTTCAGACCACAACTTTAAAATGACTATTGTTTATACTATATATATATAATATATATATAAAAAATAACGAGTTTATAAACTTCCAGCTATCATGTTGCCTCAATAGTATTAAGGCACAATTACACAAAAATGTTCATATCATTATCATGTAAAGAAATAAGCTCAAACTAAACTTCCACTGTTAGGCCACCTTTAAACATGCCATGTTGCATAGCCAAGTAATTTAATTTCATTCTGTCGCATCAGTTACAACTAAATAGTAGTTATTCATTCACATGGATGGTTCTGAATATACAGTACGTTTCCTGGGTTAAGCATAAGATATTTCCATACCACAAACTGAAAAGAAGTTTCCTCTGAGATATTCTGTTCCAAGACCCCTCAAACAATTTGTATAACAGAAAACATGGCATAGGAACAACAAAAAGGGATTAGAGATTTCAGCATCTTTATACAGAGAGCTTGAACTCAAGCCAGTAAATTTGTGCTACAAGCCGTATTGATATTCTTTTGGCTCATGTTCCTGTAACAGAAATAGCACTCAGTAAGTCATCTGTGGGCTGGAGAAATCTTTTATTAACCACCAAAAGCACGGTGAGTATTTTTTTAAAGAACAAATAGTCTAGCAAATTAACCTTTTTTGTACCTGACTATGCAGTACAAAGCAGCACAGAAGATTAGCACCAAAATACGTTAATTCTTGTCAATTTTTTAACACCTCATTTGGAAATATGTAGCTTAAAAGAACAGGGACAACAAATATATAAGCTGCATGTTGCAACAGGGATGTTGCAAAAAGGTTTTTGCAAATCAACGGTTTAGAAACGAGTACCGAATTTATCAACAATGCAGCACCACGAGCACTGTTTTGGAGAAAGCTGAAGTGGTCAAGCAAATTAACTGGAATCGACTTTGAGAAAGCAGCAGTATTTTTTTACACCTTGATATTATTTAATCTCTGTGGTCTTCCCTTCATCATGCTAAAAAGACAAAAAGACACTACCACTGAGCACCACAAGACTTTCCAGGCTCAACTTGAGTACACGATGTCAGCACTAGGGCAAAAACTACAATGTTTTATTAGAAATGTTTGCTTTGGGTTTACCTTATAAATATCTTCAATGCATCGGGTCAGGTCAGACTCCTCCACAACTGGTGTGCCACAATTATTGTCTAATAGTCAAAAAAGAAGGGGAGAACTCACCTGGTGTCGGAATAATTTGTACTTTAAAAACATTCACTTTCAAACAGTTGAGGTGTTTGACTATCTTTTTAATTCTCCTCAGACCCCACAATTAAATTCCAATTAATTTAAATCATGATCTGATCCTTCTAACTCTTCGATAAATACCACTTAGATCATTTACAACTCTCATTCAACAGTACTTCTGTGGAATGTGATATATTTCTCTATGAAACCAGAGAGCCCCAGAGGGACCTTTGCTTTTAAAGAAAGTCAATACACATTAAAACACAGGGCAGGAAAAGCCCTTGCTTACAGTCTTTATAATTAGGCAAACCACAGCTTTTAAATAAAAACCCTTGCTTGTGAATAATTAAGTCAGCTAACTGTAGAGTCAAGTCAGCAACAAACAGCTCTAAAAATAATTTACCTCGGTTAATTTTGGGAACTTTTATTTGCTGCATCTGCTGTCTTTATTGCTTGGCTCAAGAGGAGAGCTGATCCCTCACAAAAGTATCTTTTTTGTGCCAAGTCACTTTTTTTTTTTTTTATTTGCTGTGAATGTCTTATTTTAGATAGTTTTATGATATAATCTTTGCCAGGAAACTGCATGAATATCCCAAGAACTCCAAAGTGCTGTTCTTAGCTTTTACCTGTGAGGCTCAGGCAGCTGACCAGGGGGTTCAGGAGGTGGGCAAGGAGGTACTTCTCTGCAAGCTGGGGCTGCTCCTGGACCATGGTGAGCACTGTGGTGGTCGCCACACGCTGGAACTGCAAGGCTGTCAGCTTAGCTTGCATGTGAAGAAGCTCCAGGACCTAGCCAGCCAAGCACCAAGAGAGAAAGCTTGTAATTCCAAAATTACAAGTTAATACTAAAATGCTGGCTCAAAGACAAAAAGAAAAATAAAAAGCATCTCAACAAGCTGTCACAGTTTTTGCATTGGCAAAACACAACCAAGTTGTGCTTTTTTCCGTAAGACCAATTTTTGCAAATGATCACAACCTATACTGCACTACACTGAGATACAACTAATATTATCAAAACCTTCTCTCATAAACTTCAGTCGTAAAGCAAGACAGAAAATATGGATGCCTAGTCTACTACTTCATTGGTTGTACCAGTAAACTGAATGCTAAGACTAACTGCTATAGCCTATTAAACAGCCTCCGAAAAACAATTCAGCTGCAATAAACCAGAAATCTCATCATCTGCTCTTTTCAAATCCTGCTGTTAAAGGCCTCAGGATCATAGTCAGTGAAGGAGGGCTCTATACATTATTCTGTTAAAGGGTGTGCTCTTCAGCAATTTATTTAGACTCTTAAACTCTCCCACAGAGTTCAAATTTTCAGATCAGTTCTGTTCTACAAATCATTTGGATCTTTAAGTCTGGTTAAACACAATACAGTGCAGCTATAACATTCTCATTTATGTCTTTTAACTAAGAGCCGCAGAACGGCCTATTTCAGTTTGTTTTGGCACCTGGGGGCACACCAGTCTGTAGTACTCATCTGCAGACAGAGACTGCTGGGGGCAGGTGGACAGGATCCTGGCCACTGTGTCACACTTTCTCCAGTCTGCTTCCCTTCCCCCATCTGACCCCGCTGTGGAGGAAGAAAATAGGTACAGTTCTGAAAGACAATTTCAAAGTAATACATTACTCTGTCACTGTTGTTACTGGCTTACAGTATATCATCAGATGTCTGTGCAGTGCTGGCACTCAACTGCATTTATCTTTCTAACTTTATTGCAGATCTTGATTCTTTTCTGCCTTGATATCTAGCACTATAAAACGAAATACATTTAGTGACTTCATAGATAAAAATGCATTACAAGACAGCTTACAAAAAAAGTGTGCTTCAAATAAGCGGAGATGAAAAAAAACAGAACCACTGGGAAGAGGTAATCCCTGTAAAACAAGATGCATTTGATTTGTAGAAACTGTCTTCTCCTTTGAAGGGAAAAACAGTAATTCTGGAACACAACCCGATATCTTCATTTTTCCATTCTTTCATAAAAACGCATTCAGCAGATTATTCTCCCTGTCCAACAGGCTTATAACATTTCTGTTTCAGCACTGTTGAGAGATTAGCCACACTGCTTTCATCTGAAAAGTGACTAAACTTAGACTTCAATCACTAGTGATTATAAAACTAAAAACTACATATTACCTTATTAAATGTTCACTTTTCATGGCTTTTATAAAACCCAGTTATTGAACAATAAAGGCTAGTGTGACTCAGAAGACAGCCTAAGGACATTCACAACAGCTGAATGTGAAATTCAATTAAAATGTATGACACATTCTATTGACTCCATACAAGAATCAGCCAGCAAAGACACTTGTGTGGCAAAGTGAGAAGAGTGCCTGAGGTCCCAGCATCTCTGTCTCTAGTCTGGGCAATGTAATAATCAAACCGTGACCTGCATTCCCCAAGAAGGGGTACACAAATTTCAGTACAGCACCAAAGCTGGATGAGCTTGAGTCAGCCAGAGTATCCTTGGCCTTCCTCTGAACAACCAATTCTGGATCCTGCTAGGTCCCTGTGGGCTTGCACTGTTGTCAATGAGAACTGCCTCCCTCCTGCAATCACTGTTAGCTCTCCAATAGGTAGTCCGAGTCCCACGGGATGATAATTGGAAGATGGATCCAACAAGTGTACATTTCTGAAGAAGACACCCAATGTCCTCACCTCTGCATGCTGAGCTAATCAGAACTGATAAATGAAAAATGATCATTTCAAATTGTGTGGTTTAAAACAAGAAATGACTGAAATCCAATTCTGAACAACATAAGTGAATACATTTTGACACTGTACATATAAAAGTTTCACCAAGATCTCAAAATCTTAAAAAAATAAATTAAGATGCCATGTGCAGCTGCTGTTCTGTTAAGTTAACTGACACTGTTAGCTGTTCTGTTACATTAAGTGACTCAGTCATGTCCTCGAAACAAGCACACATTTGGAGCAATATTTTCTCTCAGTGCTTTTCCCAGTAGCAAAATAATTTTGAGGCCGCATTAAATAAAAAAATCAAACCCCTCACATCACTCACAAATTTCAAACTCCAAGTTCAGTGGAAGTTTTCATCAGTCTAGAAAAAAAACAGAAAGGCACCTTTGCAAGTGACTTGTTTGGATCCTATGGTGTACAATTGGGATTTTTGACCCAAGACCATGACTGTTTGAGACGACACATTCAGACAACTTACACATGGCATCAATTTTATCCAAAACGTAGAAACCAGAAAACTCTGAAGTGCATCCCAGAAGCATACGTTGCAAGGCAGGACTGAGAGCACATAACTGTTTGTGTTCTCAATAGGAAACCACAGGGTGAACATGCAAACTCCACCCTAGGCTGGACTCAAACCCTGGACCCAAAAGCTGTTTGAAAGTAGTGCTACCTCAACGTCTCGAAATGTCCTGATTCAAACTATATGTCAACGTTAGCTGCCATAACCCTGTGGCCACCTTACCTCCAGCTCCTTCTAGAATCCCTCGGACTATGGCCTGAACTCCACTGGGCTGCATGAGCCTCTCAGAAAGCAGCTGCCCACAGAGGCGCCTTAGCCAAGCGGGAGCCTGCGCCAAGGCCTGCTTGGAGACACCTCCGGGACTCTGCTTCGCCTGCGGAAAGGCAGTGTTCAAAGAACGTTAACAAACAGCACAACACAGCTCTCAGCTTCACCCGGGAGGCATGGAAGATGCAAAATTTCAAATTCACCCTAAGCTGCAGCATAGTCTCGCCATGCTGTAGTCATAATCTAACAAGAACAAACCTCTTTCTCCAAGAACATTCCTTCAGCTCAGTACAGGATATATATATATAGTGCAGGCATGTAAAACGGTATGCATGCACACAATTTACACATACATATAGCTGAAGATTCAGCAGCAGGTGCTGATCTATCAGATAACTCAATGTCATCTGATATAGCAAAGGTGTCTGCTCAAGTTCCAAAAGCACCTCAAACCACAGACATTTTAAACCAACGGGTTGACTCATTCAATATTAAGATTACTTGTCAAAATAATTGCTCCCCAGACAAAATATGAACCATAATGACCTTTCTACTAGCCTGAAAACTAAATGTAATTGTACTGTGCATTTCAGTTTACCATAAACATATTAACCAAATGGGCACACCTTCAATGCTGGAAGGCATTCATTACAAAAATGTGTTTACACGCCCACTATACGGTTAGCACACGTATGTAACTTCACACTATTAACATACTTTCCAACTAAGGCTTAATGTTTACAGTAACAGCACTTATGAGTCATGTATCTCTGATGAAAATGGTTGAATGGGCCCAAATTCAGCACAACAAGGGGTGGGAACAGTAATGAAGAAGAAAGGGAAACCTTGGCGAATGCATTTAGCATGAAAATAATTCCAGTGAAACATTTTTATTTTAAAGGCTTTAGTTTTAGTTTTCCTTTAAACGACAGCATTTTGATATGCAAAGATATACAAATAAACGGTAATCAGTTAAAATAACTTTAGTTGATGAGATGATTTGGTTTTGCAAGTAGTCAGAACACTGTTAAGCTATGACAAATCCTTAAGAAATGTACAGCGCTCCCACAAAGAGTCCCACTGGCGTAAAAGCCTCATTAGAAAAAATGTGTAAGGTAAAGGACATTCTCACGAATGGGCCCTACGAATGTGCACTCAAGAGCATAATATAAATCAGCTTCAGATAAGCACTGATTTACCCAGTTGTTCTGAGAAGGAGGGTAATAAATTCACTGCACTCACATTGACATGGCAACTCTCAGGTCTACCACTTTAAATGAGAGAAGATATTTCTGTGTCTAAGGATCTGCGCCTGTGGCTGGAAGGTTGCCGGTTTGTAACCCACGGCTGGCAGAGGAAACCTACTCCATTGGGCCCCTGAGCAAGGCCCTTAACCCCAGCTGCTCCAGGGGCGCTGTTTAAATGGCTGACCCTGCGCTCTGACGCCAAGCTTCTCTCCCTGTCTGTGTGTCTCATGGAGTATGCGAGTTGCAAGTTGGGGTATGCGAAAAGACAAATTCCTAATACAAGAAATTGTAAATGGCCAAAAAGTGATCTAAAAAAAAAAGTGTAAAATGGAAACATCTGAAATCATGGGTGAGTGAAGTTTGTTCTAATGTTTAGTGGGAAAAGTCTTGCTAACAATATTTGAGATATGAAGGTAATGAAAACTGTACAACAATCCACACCATCATGGCTGAGACCTTAAAGAATCGTCCTCAGTATCTTTTCTTATTATTAAATAATTAATTCATCATTAATTACTTAAAAAAATAAGTAATACTGTAGGTTTAGTGTGTTTATGTACATCAGTTGCCTATATGATACTAGCAGCAAAGTTCAATAACTTATATATCTTTGTGTGACAGTATGACTTGAATGGGTGAATATTTCTTAACTTTTGTTCTAAAGTCAATTAGACCCTGCTGATTGCTGTTGCAATCTGTCCAGGAGCTTCTCCATTTGAAGCAATAATTGTTTTCTATTTGTCAAAATTAAACTTCAAATGATATATTTTAAGAAAGAGCAGGATAGACATCTTTTTTTGTTTCACAGACTTTTGGGTTTCATCTTTCCAGCTCATCCTGCCAAAATCCAAACACTTACTTGTTTTGGGCCACCTTGCAGGATCAGGAGCTCCTTAATGATGATTGGCTGGTAAACTTTTCCCAGAAGCCCCTGTAGTGCTCTTTTACAATTCCTGCGTTCTTCCATACTAACTCCCTGTAACACAAGAACATTTTTTAACAGAAAATCAGAACTACAAGGAAAACACACGTTTCGAACCATGGCACCTATTTTTTTGCATCTTTGCATGAGTTTGCATCTTTGTTCGTGTTTTTAGCACATGCACTGTACAATCTAGCTGGTGCTGTCCTTTTCTGATTCTTCACCTTTCCTTTCCTCTCATGCCTTCTAGTGGTAAGATTAAGGATTGCAGTTGTTAACATCAGTGCAGATCCTGTGCCTTCGCATCCTCGAATAGAGGACCTGTTAAGAAACAGCATCCTAAACAATATACTTGTGAGAATTACTACACCAGATCTACTGCAATATACAGTTTCTTTAGCATAATTTACTAAACCCTGGAGTAAAAAGCTTATTTTTATCCTAAGAGACCTCTGAAAATCCCCTATGGTCCCTGTATCCCTTTTTGAGAACCAAAAATCATTGTAAATAATTAATAGATGCGACCCTTGAAAAAGATAAATGTTGCCTCATCTCTAAGATTAATGGAAGCATTTAAAAATACAATACAGAAAAGAGCATTTATTAACTAAAAACCTTTGAATATTAGTAAAAATGTTCTATTAATGCTGGCACAATATTGGCAATTCTATGAAAGAATCATAAATGGCCAATGCAAATTACTGCACTCAGTCTCTAGGGAAACACATTTTGATCAACTCTGAAAACTTTATTAGCATCAGTCATGAGGCCAAATGCATTCAGATACAAATGCAAATGACTCCACGCCACTGAAATCATAAATTTGCAAATGCAAATGCGATACCTTAACTTTCAACACTACAAAAAGATGATAATTTATGTGCGATGGCAAATGCATTTCAAATACAGTTCAACTGTAAACATTAATTGATTGCTTAGGTTATATACGTATTTGCTTAATACAAAATGACTGACATCTTTATACTAGTGTATAACAGTACCCTCTAGTGGAACTGTCTGAAACATAACTTCACAAAGTACAACTGTCATTACAGAGGATAGCTGTTAGGAACTTAGCCTGACCAAATTAGGATTTTATCTAGTGGATTTCCATTTTCTTTTTATGAACTAGTACAGGGGTGGTCAACTGTCTTGTATTATCACTTTGTTAAAATCCTGGGTCCCCAAAGCCATCTTAAATCAGCTGGTGCCAGAACAGAGACGTCTCCAATGACTATCAGCATGAATAATAACTTATCTCTTTTGATTATTTTTACATCACTCCTGAATTAATATCACCTTCTGTGATCAGTTGTTCATGGCTCCTACGACTGATCAAACCGAGAACAGCTAGTATTTGACCCAGAGGGTCACTGCAGATCAGTGCTCCAGATAACTATTTTAGACAATCAATAAAAGGCAACTTACAGTATAGATCTCAAAACATTAAGATCTTTTAGATGATGCCAACTGAAAGGAAATCATCTAAAGATGCACTTTCGTTTCTGAACTTTATAAACTGATATAATTATAATGACAATTAATGATGAGCTTGTAAATCAACGGTTTACATGATAATTTCTGTCTCACAGCAACTAAATTCTCTTCTAGCTAAAGGTGTCTGTCTTTTTGGAATCTAAATTGGCGCTCTGCTTCCCTACCTTCTATTTTTATTTACAAATGAGCCTTAACTAATTTACCTACGGTTTACAAATCAACCACACTTTAACAATGACATTATTGCAATGTAATAATGTCAATAAACGAGTGATTAATATTTATATTTATGTAATAATAAAATCTACATGTGTACTATGTAAAAGTCATGTTAAGCCTCTTAAACGGCATTGTTGGAATTTTACTGGAATTAAAATACTTCAATGGATTTGTTTTGGGATTATTTCATTCTCTGCTGTGGGAATTGTGAATCACATGACACATTAGATAAAAGTGCAGCAAAACTATCCTTTCCTTTTTATTTATTTTTATTGAAATACTGTACAGTAATCTCATGAATGCTGTAGATTTCTTAACCAATAATTCAACATTCTTTGTCACTTCTTTTCCCTTTCAGCCTCTCAATCACTTTTGCTGCATTATTGCTCACTTTTTTTAAGGTGCCAAGATTAAAAGTAGCGATTAATACTGAAATGTCAGACAGTGCTTAAAGTAGAAGTATCCCAAGAGTGCAGCAACAAAATGCCTTTACACCGTGTGGGTCAAGGTGCAGCAATGCCCATTGCAAATTCACCAATAGTAAGGGTTTTGTGTAGAATTTATTCAGCGTGTGAAATACTCCACGATACATGAACGTCAAAAATGAAATATAATACTGACCGACATTACCTTTCCTTGCTCAGTGACAACAGCCAGCTCGGCCTTAGACCTGCTGGGGCAATATCCCAGCTGGCACAGCCCAGCCAGGATATCACCCAAGTGACGGGTGAAGAGCATGGTGCCCAGTGAGCAGAGTTCAGCCACCTCCAACAGCGCGGTGCAGGACACGAACAGCCTGCGCGTGCCGTCGGGGGGGACGTCTCGTTGCAGCGCGCTCTCCACAGCCGCTCCGAAGGCAGAGCGCCGGCTTAGAGGGACGCCAACCCCGGGCAAAAGGTAGGGGCAGATGCCCAGGGTGACCACAAACTGCAAGGCGCAGCAAACCGTCTTCTGCTGCGCAATGCTCAAGACATCAGGAGGCAAAGGAGGGGCAGCCTCAGGGGTCCTCGAGTTAGGCTTTGTGGGATTGAATGACTCCAAGAGTTTGGTGAGGCAGCGCTTGAGGCTCTGCAGAAGGACCAGGCACTCCAGCACGAAGTTCCAGGTGACATCCTGTGAGCTTTCACACCAGCTCGCCTCTTCTGTCACCTGAGACCTGAGGCGGCCAAGCTCTTGGCACGCAGGGTCACTGCGAAGCCTCTCACCCAGAAGCACAATGTTGGCCTGCAGAGTTCTCAGCAAGGCCTCCTTTTCTGTTGTATGCACATCGCTGATGCCAGACTCTGGAGAGAAAAAAAAAGTTGTTCAAATATCCCTGGTCCATTAAAGAACACTGACACATATCTGCTTCACAAATTATATTTAGGGAAACTAAACAATTATGACATTGAAATCAATAAAATACATTCACATGGCAAACAAAGGTGCTAATGTTTTTACAGGAAAGGCACTTCATTTGAGACCTTAAAGCTCTTGGTTATTCAAAAAAAACTTTTTTTCTAAATGTTTTACGTAGCAGTTTATCATCTGCTCAAAAACAATGACATGGAAAATCATTCTACAAAATCTGAAACGACAACTGTCAACTCTCATTTTAGAGTGCAACAAACAAATCTTACAGTAGTTCAGGTGGGGCGCTGCGTCAGCATGCATAGGCTGCAAAGGAACAAGTAATAGGTTTATTCCATGCTGAAAAAAAGAAGAAAGAGAACCTGAAGAAGGCTCAACGGCCGAAATGTTGTGTTCTCTTTCTTCTTTTTTTCAGCATGGAATAAACCTATTACTTGTTCCTTTGAAGTCTTACAGTAGTCCACCCTGGCCGTGTGTTTTGATCGTTTTGTTCTTTTACACATGAAATGACTAGCCATATGCTTGACAGCTGCAGGACTTCTGTTTTAATTTCAGACTGTCTCTCTACTTCATCATACAAACCACCTGCTTATCTGGTCAAAATGGAAGTGGTACTCCGGGTTTAGAAACAGAGAATTAGAAGTGACATATTAAACCTTCTGGTTTGTGCCTCGCCTGGGGAACTGGGTGGTCACTACTGTTCTCCAGATTTTTCACATGATCAGTCATACCCAGCCCCACAGCCTCTGTCCGGAAAGTAACACAATGAGGTAATTAAAAATGTCATATAGACCGAGGATCATCCTTCTCTTCTTCAGAGACCAACAATCACGTCTTGTGACCTTACCACAAAGACACAGACACCCGATCCATGACAAAAACCAAACAAATATAAAAGGTCTTTTCAGGTGGTTGGAGTATTTTTTTCCACAGGACATAACTGCAGGGCTGCCCACAGGAAAAAGCATAGGGATAACCTCCACCCCCACTTCATACTGTATATATCCAACACCTAGAATATTGCACGAGCTTACCAACCATCATATTATTGTAACTAAACAGTATTATCCTGAACAAGATGTTTGACCACAACAACAACAGCTTTGATTACATAGGGATCATCAGAGATGTACGCTGCCCATGAAGCTGTCTGTGGAAGAGCTGTGTGCCCGAATCACCTTGCTATTTAAAATGCCAACAGCTTGATGATGGAGGTCAGTTTTGCTTTGCTAGCAACACTTCCATACATACTGTAAATAAACCAACATAAACACAAAGGTTTGACCTTTACATTCAGGTCATGATGTGATTTACAGATTAAATATATTTTTATTTATTTTATTTCTGGATGCAAAAGGCCATTATTTGGTGGTTTTTGCTACTGATGCGCTGTTTACTGTTTGAGCTCATCGAGCCAATAAATCTTTTACTTTAAAAAAATTAAGTGGCCAGCGACCAGGCGACATGGTATTTGTGACTCTATGACTGAGCTGTGAGGAAACCCTGTTTTGTCTTGTACATCTTACAAACATAGCTATGATTTTCATTGCATGGGATTCTACGTCGAAAATTGCGATTACATACTATTTGAATTAATGGTTTATTTTATTCACATACAAAAACACATTGCTTTATTAAGGGGATCGCAAGACTCTATAACAATTTAAAAATTGTACGTTCCTTACTTTTATTTAAAAAAAAACACATTTTTAACCATGATATAAATGCGTGAGATTTTTAGTCCAACGTGTGAGGCCGTGTGTTTCGCTCCCTATGCGTGATACAAGTATTGCACAAACGCTATGCGATTATATACCATCGTGACTGCTGGTCGCCAAAGGATCTTGTGAGGTATTCCCATGAAAACAGAATTTCGATATTGTGCATAATTTGTCACTGTTCACACATTTGTCAAGCCAGGCGGCCCGCCTGTATAAAATTGTGGGAAACCCTGCATTGTATCTATTTAAGGAAGAGAAACGAAATCAACGTTTGTTCTGTAAAACTAAGGCTAGGTTGTGCAACACTAAGCAGCAACGTATCTAGCTGAAAATAGTCATACAAAGAGTTCCAAAAAAAAACGTCATTACTGTCAGGCGATGCCTTCAGATTCAGTGTTTTATCTGTGATTTAAAAAAAACCTTAATTGCACAAAATGATTTCGAAATCAGAAAAGAAAATAATGCAAAAACCTGCACATCTTCAAAAACGTCGCAGAGTAATTGTTTTCGTTTTCGCGATCGCTATATTTCATTCATTATAACGAGTTAATTATGAAAATTCCAGAGAAATCCAAATGCATTAGATCTTAAAATAAACTACATAGTCTTAATCATGAGATAAAAGTTTTGATTTAACCGACAAAAAGTATGAAATAACAGCACGCTTAAGACACACTAGTACAACAAAAACAATACCTCAGGAAGCAACAATTCATTTACATTATTGAATTCTGAAATCTGAGGTGACAAACGAGTTCCTATGTCCCTCGCACCTTGTGCCATAAAGGCGTATACCTGATGGAGGTAATTTCATATACATGGTTCTATTATTTTTATATAGTGATGTTCTATTACCATTTAATTATTGTACAAAATGCGTTGTTATTTTTTTATTTTTAGCGGCAGAGTTTCGATGGATTACTAACAGCTACACTTTAAAACCTTCAAACTGAACCTACTCAAAGACGCTTAGAGCACCCCTACAAAACACATGGTTACTGTGACTATCTTAATATGACGGCTCTACTGACCAAACTATTCAAACGCAGGGGCAGCAAAGCCCCCACCTAAGATTTTAAAACATATGAAAACGAACCTGTGCTACAGTAACACGAAAAAGCGAATAATATCGTTCATATTATCCATCTATGAATTGGTTACATTACTCTGCTCTCCTCCCCACTGATAGCTGGTGTGTGGGGAGCGTTCTGGTGCACTATGGCTGCCGTCGCATCATCCAGGTGGGGCTGCACATTGGTGGTGGTGGAGGGGATCCCCATTACCTGGAAAGCGCTTTGAGTGGAGTGTCTAGAAAAGCGCTATATAAGTGTAAGCAATTATTATTATTATTATTATTATTATTATATTCTGGAGAAAGTTTCGCTTTCCAGTGTCCATAACTTGGGTATGCACAGCTAACGGGGAGACAACGGATGAAACAAGACAACTTTTGCGGCAACAAAAACTCACAATACTGTTCAACACGCGTAACATGTCACTGACCTGCAACAGGTTTAATAAGAATATCAAGAGCCTCCAGGAGTTTCACCAACATCTCTGTTAAGTTACGTGGGTAGGAGTCCCATGCAAATCAACAACACTTTCGCGTCGCACTGAAAAGACGTCACGATACCTTCCCATGATGAGCCCATCCTCGTCCAACCTTAATGACGAGTATGGCGAAGAGCTGTAAGGAGCTCTCGTTACTATTGATATGTTATATATGTTCTTGTTTGTATTGTTGATATAATAAGGTTTTAAAACTGACTTGTTACTCAGCGTGTGAGAGCAGTATTTCACTTAAAGCAGAACAAGACTGAAACCCGACAAGGAAAAAATGTAACGAGGTTAATGAATTTATACCAGTAGTTTATTTTAACCTGAACAGCCATACAAAGGTATTACAAATAACAACAAATGCATTTTTTATGTTCGTCTTGTAAAATGATATGTATACAAAAATCAGATTAGTTTCCCAACGCATATTTTCATCGGTCGTTTCATAGTTGTACTAGTTTACATTACGCCTAGTAGTGCTCTTTACATTCTTAAATATTGAATGTTTTATACTATAATGAGAAATAAAGTCAGTTCAATGCTAACAAATGTGTTTACGTAATCTGATAAGTACAATAAATAACCTCTGCTGCCTTAAATCACAAATGAGGACAGTTATGAATGAATAAAAATAAATAGCTAAATAAATACATAAATAAAATAAATAACGACTCCATATAAATCTCGAATTCATGTAAAAACATGCCTTACGGAGCTTATCAATATAAGCAACTCGGTTCATGTTATCACTTACAATAACAAGAGTGCATTTTAAAACAAACACAACACGTATATATGTGACTCATGTCACTACAATGAGAGTTAAAAGACACAATTATCCTCTATAAGAGGCTAAGAATGGGTCTTGGGTATTACACATGTGCAAGCCACTGGGACTTTTATATATTCCACAACGTAGGTATACTTCCTCTCGTTCAACTTGCGATGCGGGCAATCTATCCTTTTCAAAACCATCATGGTTTGCTCCACGGGGACAGAGTTCATGGATAGATTCTCCGTCCCGTCCTTAGGATCGATGCATCCCGAGCACAAGCACTCGGCATAGGCCAGTTTTTTCGGGAATCTGTTTTCATCCACATGGATTCTTCACCAGACAGCAAAATGGGAACAAGAGAAAACGCCGTTAGAGAAAAAACCGCCGCATAAATCGCTTGCCTTATTTTCATCAAGCAACCAACGCTTTTCTTAACATCAACCAAAACACACGCACATCCCTGAACTGCTGTACAGTACGTATTTCCTGCCTTGGTTTTAGCACCTATTTTAAACTTGTTTACATAGGTGGGAATTTTAAAATGTTGACGCTAGGCTTAGATGGTTTCATCTCCACCCATGTGCTTAATGACATTATTCGAGTCTAATCTCACAGCTGCAACCTAACAAAGTCTGCAAAGTGGAATCGGCTCTTATCCCTTCTCTGCTGGAGACGCATAGCGCACCTTGAGGAATAAGGAAAGGCAGTGTCCTTACCTGTACCGCCAGGGGGAGATGGAGCGGCGACTATGATCCCCCATCGGACGCTTAACGCGGTAGTTCGGGCAATCCTCATGCGTGTTCCCTGGGTTTCTTTCCAGCTCCCTGACCATGTAATACGGTGGGTACCGTTCCAATTCCATCCGTCCTACGAAACTCCTGTAATGTTTCTCCAGGTCCCCTTTTGCGTAGCAGCGATGCCCTTCCGTCAAACACAATCGTGTCACGGCCAAGAGAACCAGGATCTGCAATAAAGAAAAAATAATATATACAGTCTTGTATAAGAGGAAACCAACGCAAGAAGCCGCACTTCTTGTTAAAGTTTAAAAGAAAGCTTGACCACATTGTCCGTATGTCAGAGAATAATGGTGTAAAGCGCCCTGGTTTTCCTTATGAACGTACCTTCAGCATGTCTGGAAAAAGTCAAGTGGTTGAGCTCCTAAGCAAGGACAGCCAGCTAGTTTCTTTGGCTTTCAGGAGTGTGCTCTGTGTTCCTGCCATAATTTGCCCGTCGAAATTTATACTGTAGCTCCAACTCACTTTTGTCCTGGGGAAAATCCAAAGAAATAATTTACATGATTTTGACTTCCTTTTTTTTCCCCAAGTTGGATTCCATACCTACGATGTAGAATTAAGGGGGAGGCGCCTATTTTAGAAGATGAGGTCAGACGCTGAAATCAAAACGAGAGACTAATATTCGATATGCAGTAACATCATATTCTTCAGAAAACCTAATGGCTAAAAAATGAAAGCCAGTTCAAATAAGGTTCTCCAGGTGAAGGTACCCGCATAAAAATATTTTTCGGTTGCGCGTAACGGATTACAGGTATAACTGAGCTCTGCGTATTACATCAAGACATTTAGAAGCCCTAACTGCAGATTACTTAATTTCTTAAACAATATTTTTACAGGCTATCTGCATGCAAAACGTCAATGGAAAAATGTTGTATACAATACTTTGGGATTGCCAACATAAGCTTAAAATGAATTTAAAATTGTATCAAGACATTTGAAGAATAGGTGAACTATCACTTCTCGGTCTGTCCTTCATGCCCGTGTAATTATGTTATCCTAAATGCGAAAGTAAGAAAATATATTACGTTAAACCACTCAGATACAGGTTTTATGCAGGCATCAACAATAGTACTAAACTAAAAAAGCTCTCGAAACAATTCCTAACCTTACCACTTCAGGGTCATTTCATTTCTTATTTTCTGTTTGACACAATGATAAAAATATAATTGAGACCAAATGAAATCAGAAGGTGGATGGGAATTCTGTGTGGACTGCGTCCATGTCAGCAAAGAAATTCGGAGTGTTATTTAACCTTTTCTTTAAAGGTTATGAGGCTTTCTTATTTTTTACTTCACACTGAAACCTCAAACTAGACCACCAGGGTGTAAAGGTGGGTGAGGTAACCCCCTCTAAAACTTTCTCAAATATTTTTTATTATTCTCTCTAAACAGACAATATTAGACAGATTAAAATCTTACAGTTTTGTGGGGGGACTGAAACCTTGTAGTGGAAGAAAGCTATATAATAGGCTATAGGAAAGACTATATAATAGGTGTTATAGAATTGGGTGGCTTGGTTTACTCTGGTGCCTCATAGCTTCTGGGTTGTGGGTTCGATTCCTTACTGGGCTATCTTCTGTGTGGGATGTATATGTCCCTTCTCCCCACCTCACCCCTCCCAGTTAACCTTTACACAATGTCTGGAACATTTCAATGGCGTCTCTGAGTTGCCCCCATGCCATGTGTGTGTGAGCCCTACAGCAGACTGGCATTCTGACCAGTGTGTTGTTCTTTGCCTTCTGCCTCTGGGACTGTCCCTTTGTAGTTTCATTGCTTAAGACGAAGGTTCTTCCTGTTGATGGACCTGTCTGGTTCCAACCACTGCCTTCCCTGTGTTGAAAATCAGTGACACACAATTGGCTTCACTGTCCCTTTTTAAATGTCGTGCATTTTGATCACATTCAGACTTTTTTGTTCACTTAAAATTAAGTTCAAATCTATATGTACAAACAATATAACATATATGCACCCACATAGATCATTTAAACTTTTATCCAAATTCAATTGAACGGAATTATGTGACCTCAGAGCACCCCAGCTTGTTTTGATTCCAGAGGAGTTTCAGAAATAAGGAGTCCGCCCTTTGATGGGAATTCCTGGGGGCAGATTGATCTCCTGCACACAAGTGGTTAGGAAAGGTTTAATTTTCCAGAGGAGCCCCAATAACCACTACCTTCCCTGCTCTAATTAACATCTGTTGAAGTTGCTCTGGCAGGCAGTAGCACGCCATTAAAGCATGGACCACTAGGATTAAGGACAGCTTCTACCCAGGGTTCATCATAAACTGCTATCTGTGCAGTGCCTCCGAACTCACTGCAGCTCTGCACTGTGCACTTTTGACTTGGACTACCATATATTTTTGTTCACTACCACATGTTTATTGTTCTCTACCATGTATTTGTGGTTTTGTTTGTTTATTGACTGTACATACTATCACTATTTATCATGTACCATTTTGTAATGTACTGTCTACATTGTGTGGTGCTGTCTGTCGTACTGTGTAGTCTGCTGTATTGTGCATATCCTGAGAGATTGGCGCAAATAGGAATTTGATTGTAGATGTACATATGGCAACAAAGCCTTCTATTCTACTCTATAGAGAATAGTTACATTTGGAGTTTCTTTCAGACCTTTTCCTGAAATTACGTAACAGAAACAATAAATCATTGCAAATTGATTTTAGTTGGCAGTGTTGTAGTATCAGTATGATCGCCTTTGGCTATTCAGTACAACCACAAACTGTAAACACTTGACACAGTAAAACACAGTAATCAGTCACTTAAAGTAGAAGTAATGTCTTTTTTATTTTTGTCAACCACTTTCTTAATTGCATAACTGGGTCAGTGTGTAAACATTCTGATTCTCTGTTGTTAGTATAGACAAGTTCCCCTTGACAGATCACAGCATGACATTCAGTTTTATGTTTCCTCATACATAGATTTAGAAACAATTGGATGCCAGAGAATTGTAAGTGTGAATTTACTGAATACTCTTCTGTGATTGCTTCTGATTTAGAAAGTCTCTAGGACTGGATAGACATCTGGTGAAAGCAACATAATATAGACAAGTTCCCACTATAACAGAGATAATTTTATAGTCCTTTGGAGGAGACATAAATCTGAGGTCCTGGCCAAATTTCCTCATCGCCTTTACCAATCCTGGTCTCCTAATAATCCCCATCTCTGAACTGGCTTTATTACTCTGCTCTCCTCCCCACAGACAGCTGGTGTGTGGTGAGTGTACTGGTGCACTCTGGCTGCCGTCACGTCATCCAGGTGGGGCTGCACACTGGTGGTGGTGGAGGGGATCCCCAGTAAAGGTCTTTGAGTGGAGTGTCCAGAAAAGCGAGTGTAAGGAATTATTTCTTATTATAAAAAGCATGTTCTTTATAGTGACAAGTGGTAACGATGTTGAAGAACAGATATGTGCAAGACATTGATGTGTTTATGTTACCTCCATAAAGTCATTTTCTAAACAATGAAGTAAAACAATAGAAAGGCAAACAGGGGGTTTGCATATACAGTGAAAAGTGTGGAAATATTTAGAAATTCATCAGAAGTTGCTGGCAGGACGGAAAATCAGTGAACCAAGGTCACTTAATTAAATGAGCTCGAAATAACAAATAAAAAAAGTCCTGGTTTCAAGCTCAATGCTTTCTTAAAACTTAAAACCAACTCTTTCTTAAACAACATTATTCTGTAATTAAGGCTATGAAAATAAAGATTTTAAACCTAAGGCCTATTTAGTGCAGATGTTTACACAGAATTGGTTGGTAATTGTGGGTGGAAAACCGGTGCAATGTTGCATGAGCACCAGGCCTTTATTTCAGCTGAAGCCAAGGCACAATAGCATGAGAGGAAGAAAAAGTTTCTCTCTTTCTCTGTCAGTTTTCCCAGGATGAGTGGCTGAGCTCTCTTTATTTTAGCCAGATAACAGAAGATACAATTCTCACAGCGCCCCCTCTTCCAGCGACTGGTTGACTTTCCATTCTTGCCATTCTAAAAACTTACGTTTTCTTGAATAATTTGTAGCTACTCGCAGTCTACATGTTATGTCAGAATCACAAGGACATATTGTTTACCAAAGAAGCTTTTTAAACACAACTTTTTACTGTTGAGAAGTTATTGGTGCTTCAGGTAACCACTGGGTTACACAGAAAGTGTACAGTGATTTTGAGATTATCATGGTGTTATAAAAAAGATATATAAAAACAATCCTTCAATGGCAAATCTCATACTCATACTCAGGAAAGAGGTTTTCAGATTTCACTTTTGTACTAAAATGATAAGAGTAACAGTTTACTCACATAGCTTCAGGTCTACACTTCCTAAAGGGAAAACTCCCAGCTCAAAAGCCCATTTCATGGTGAAATTACTTTATCTAATTGAAATCATTTGGTACTCTATAGTATCAATAAGAAACAATCTCCTGGCACATATTGAAAACCAAAAATTACAGCCCAAAGGAAACAGAGTTAGAATCTGCTTTAATATCTGAAGCAGTGTTGACGAACAGAAGCTCCCTGGTTGGTTAACGACTCATCACTTGCTGTTTGTAGCTGGACACCCTGAGAAATGAGCGGTATGATCTACATGGTGCACAGTTATAGTGTTAGCATCTCATTCAGAGGAGATGAAGACCAAGTGACCTGTTACTTGTGATAGAATGGCAGAAATATCAGCCGTTGAAGAAAGGCGTAAAGGTCAAACTGTCGTTTTTGTACTATTTTGTACATTTTTGTTCTAAGAATATTAGAGCTATAAAATAAGGCTAACTATGTCCCGGGAAGAACGAAGAATCACAGAATCCTGAAATTCTTAATTTCACTTTGTGAATATAATTCGTTATATGACTGATCTTTTTTTTTTACCTTTCAAAGAATGGTCAACTTGAAATGGATACAAGCCTATTCTGCTTTTGTCAATAAATTGCAATAAAAATAAAATATGCTTGTTAAAAAAGGAAGTATTGTTCAAATAATACAGGTCTAATTATGTAATGGGGAACTTTAAGTTCTCTCTGTATCTAGTCACAAGGGCCAAGTAGACTTTTATTAGCATGATTTAGTGTTTTCTTATTTTTTGGGGGGGTGGGGGAAGTCTTTTTCACTGAATAAAAATTGGAGAGGACTTTCTAACATTTCTCTGAATTAACTTGAACTGCTTTTTCTTTCAAGGTCTTGTCCAAAAGACCATGAGGGCAGGGAATATTTTTTCGTAATGAAACCAAGACCAAAAGAACCCATAACACTTATTAACTAGAATGCAATGCGATAAATCATTGACCTACATTTTTCCCAGTAAGAGTTTGCTTAAAACTGGAGTTTGTGCCCGGCTTTGAAAATTTCCCAGGTTATCAAGAATGTGGTATTTTCCTAGATGTTGTGGGAAACTGGTAGCGTTTTGTTAAAGAAAAACGTAACCGAAATCAATAAAATAACATTTTTGTCAAATTTTAACAGGCTTTCAATGTGCAGCAGATTCTTGGGAATAAAAACAAAAATGGAGGGAATGTAATTTATTGTGTTGGTTCTCTCTCCATCATTGGAACAATGCTCATTTCAATAACATGGAGGGTTAAAGGGAGTATAAAAATTCCAGAGCAAAAACGTTTACATAAAAGAGCACTTAAACTGAAAGTGTAATTAAGACATAAGAAAACGAGTTAAACAAACCAATAAATACAATTAAATTGTAATTAAATTGAGCACTAGATGATAATTTCCATGATAACTGATACAAATATAATGTATTAATCTCTGGAGCCATATCCATTTTAATTGTGGCAATAATGTGGGAAATGCGAAAGTATTTTAGAAACAGTAATACTATTCTCAGTTTTTCGGACAAGACATTTCTTAAAGAAACTCCCCCTTGAGCAGTGTACTTATTGTCGTGAGAATGTAACCTTTTTTGCAACTACATTGGTTTGAAATGGAACACTTTTCATCTTGTGTATTCATGTTATTCCCGGTTAAAAGTAAAAACACCAATGACGGCTCAAATATTTGATCTGAATAACTGGTCGGGCTGAACTTGGATTATTTCCAAAAACTCGTAGAGTATACAGTTCTGGTAAAATCAGTTTTAAGTTAACTTTGTTTTAGGAATAGAATACAATGAGTGCACAGGGTGTGCAATGTTTTCATTGTTCACTGATGGATGTTTAAAATCTTTAGAATTAACAGCAACCTGAAAGTTACTGTGCCTTGAGGCGTCTAATGATGTCACCTGTCATCACATCACATCACATCACATCATCTGGAGCAACAATGACAAAAAACCCTCTGGAAAAAACAAATTCTGGAAAGAAATTCCCAGGGCTGCGCAAACACCTGCTCTGATTCTGGATCTTATACTGTAACCTGAAGGACATTGGTTCAAATCTGGACATTCACCCTGAGAATCACAATCACAAAACAGGGCTAGATGATTTGATTTTGCTTTGCAAAGGAAAAAAAAAGTGTTGCCTGCTGCCATAAAAAATTGTTTTAGACAATTTTAGGAGAACATTTTCATACAATTGGATGGTTTATTTATTTCTATTGCTTTCACAAAATTTGAAGGGTTTCTTTTTGCAAATTCAAGGATCAACTGGATGCATTTACAACTGAATTATATTCTATCTGAAGAATTCAAATTCACAACGGCTAAATTGCAATAAAAAAACTCAAGGACAAACTGATCTTTGTAAATTTCACCTTGAATGCATCCAGTCTGCTGTGTGTATGTGCACAGCAGCCAAGACCAGGAGAAAAAAAGATACAAGAGGTCAGAAAGCATGTTTATGGTGACAATAATAATGCAAAATACTGTTTTTCTAGCATCAAATCTACAAGGTGGGAGTTGGGACCAGAAGGAAAAATATAAAAACATTCTGGACAAAGCCTTTTTGTGGAGTTCTCCCAGTTTACACTTTCATTTTACTACTCAAGAGCTTTGACCTCTAAAATGCTTTCAGCGAGAACAAACAGTTAAAAGTTTACATTGGGGAAAAATGGCAGAGAATGTTTGTTTTTGAAAGGCTACAGCCACTGAGCCAGCTGAGCCTGGACCTTTGTTTTTCCTGGGAGTCTCAGCTGATGCACCTAAATGAGCGCAAAGGTAAATACCAATAGAATCTTCCTAGTTCCTCATGGGGCCAAAGGAATGAGCTCAGCTACTCTTTTGTCTTATCACCCAGAAGGCTTTTTTTATCACATCTGAAGGCTTTCGCCGTTTTCCGAAGTTCAGACATTTTTAGCTTTTGCCTCCGGCTATTCTGTTATTCCATCATTTATTTTAGTCAGAGCTAGGCGTGGAAAATAGATACAAGAACACATGAGGGAGAAAAACTTGAGGGGGAAGAACTGTTTTTTTAACTCTGTTTCAGTTATATAGTATATATGATCAAGCATATATACCATGCAACTCAACCACCTCTTGTTCATAAAGTCTTCAGCACAGTCTTTCCATCTTTTTATCAGCTGATGTTTTGTAGCATGATTGCTATTTACACATTGTTTTTTATTGGTGCTTTCCATGATAAATCACAAAAAGAAGAAAACATTTGCATGATGCTCTAGAACAGTAGTTTGCAGTCCGGCTGTAACCTTAACTAACTGAATCAGCTCATTATTCAGCTCATTATTCAGCTCATTAAAGACCTGGACAAGTCACAGACACACTGACCCTCTAGCATAGAAGAAAACATCAAACCACACTTCAGGAAACACTCCAAAATTCAAGCATCTCTTTATCAAAATAGTTTATTTTGTTGTTTTTCTTGTCATGAAACCAAGATGCAGTCTTACTTTTATTCAGCCAACATCCCAAATACAACCAGGTACACTCCGTATGAACTAAAATATGGAACAATTAATATAAAGAATGATTATCTTTTATTTAGGAAGAGCTAGGAAAAAAATTCTGTGCCAGATTAAAAACAAAAGAAAGGCAAAATACTTCACATCACAGTCATTTGTTATCTCTATAGTCGTACATTGTAAGAAATTGAAGAATATCATGTTGAAAACACTAAACGCACAGATCTAGTAGAATACAGTTCATTGGTTAAGAAAGGCTCCATGGGCAAGGGCCTGTGGATGTGATGTTCTTTGCTTCTCCGAATGTTACTGCCAACGTCTCCTCCAACTGCCTGAAGTACGAGGTGGGTCTTAGCATTCACAGTCCACAGCAAAGAATCTTACAAAAACATATCAAAGATTTTGCCATTTTTAATAAGAAACTTACTGAGGCCTTTTTTTCCCCTCTCAAGAAGCAGCAGGACGGTGTCTGCTTCCTCTCATTTGTGTCTTAAATATAAAATCTTCCCTCTGTCTCTGAGCTGAAACGGTTTGGTAACTATACTTTCCCGGGGATCTTGGCCCGCTTGCGTGCAATGGCGTCCTCCACAGCCTTCAGCTGTTTCAGCAGCTCCTCGCGCCGGGACAGCGTGCTGGCTTTGCTGGACTTCGCTGGGGGGGCCGACCCAACACCCCCCGGAGGTTTGCCCGCCAGGCTGGGGCCTTTGCCGGAGGACTTGGGCGGAGGAGACAGTGGGCGCTTCCTGAAAGGAAAACCAGGGAGTGCAAAAGCAGCCCAACAGTAACACAGGGGCAAGTGGAGGAGGGGGAGATGAAACTGGATGTTAGGGTTCAACTCAAATTATGAATGCGGATACCTCTAATTTTAAGTCAAATGAAGAAACAGAAGAATTCTTCTCATTTTCCCTACTAAAGGCATAAGACGGACAGGAGTTTTTAACTGCTGCATCTTTTCTAATGACTGGAGCTGTTATTACAACAAAACTAAACTAACTAGTTTACCTAGTAGAACTAAAAATGGCACATGTGATGCTCTCATAATTCTAACACATGGGCACAACATAATTCAGGGAACTTAAATGTATTTTATAACCACATTTTATGCACGAACATGAGCAAAATATTATGTTGCAACAGCATTTTTGTAAAATCAAATTCTGCAAAGCTGTAGCTGCGTTACTACAATTATTAGATTTTAGATCCAAGTGTTGAAAATCATACTAAAAGACCTGAAAGAGAGGACATTAGTCTTGACATTTTAAATTGGTTGACTAGGCTGTTGGAGAAACAAGCTGCCTGGGTTTTAATTCCAATTCTGATACCAAAAAACACTGAAATTGAAGCCTCAAGACTGGAAAACAAAGCACGTAGAACAATAAATGAGGAAAAGAGCTCACTTCCAGAAAGTGCTCCTGGTTTAAGCTCCGATTCTGCCATTTCCTTGATATATACACCTATATACACCTACTACACCTAAGCAAATTTCATCCTTTGCGTCAGTTGAGAAACGCATTCTCTACAGTTACAGACTTTTCTTGACACCATATTTTTTAAAATCTATATGCACTATGTGGATATATACTATAATAAGATGGATATATAAGGCAAATTACCTAAGTGCATGCAAAAAAGTGCATGGTATATATGTTAAGTCCTAGTCTCTAAAAATCAAACTGGATATCAAGTAAAAAACACTGCATTGATTATCATTCTTAACTACTCAGAAACAATATCATTTAGTTCAGGTTTAAAATTCATGCTAATGCTAAATTCATGAAATGTTTTTGTGGAATAATAAGGTTACCTCTCTGCTTGGGCTGGTGGTGGTCGCTGGCCCTGTCCTCTGGGACGGTCCAATTTGGGGGAGACGGGCCGTCCTGGAATTCTTCTTTCCCGACCTGCAAAGGGACAGCAAAGAGTGTCTATGGACTCTCATAGATGCATTGCCCAAGAATGCTGGAAGTGACATTTCCTCTCAGAACCGTATGCAGTTTAAATAGTCCCGATAACTAGATTGTCTGCCTGGTCTACCATATTCTAATTCAGAGAAACGGAAGATCTCAACCTTTAAGCTTAGACTAATGCTCTCCTTCACACATCTTTTTCACACGGTTTACTCAGTTACTTTGAAATCGGGCTTCTCGGCATTAAGAAAAACATGTTTTGTGTTTAGTAAACCAAATCACTCAACAAACCAAAAAGTGTCAAAGGAAAACACTCAGCTCCAGTTTCACAGTTACAGAAGTCCTACAGCATAAAGACATAATCCAAATGTGAATGGACAGCTTACTTTTGTAACAATTTTGTACAATTTAGTGGCGGTTTTCCCGATTATTTCCATGCTACACCTTTCTCTTTTAGATTACTTGGCATCACATCTGAAAAGTGAAGGATTAATTCACATCCTCTGAAGTTTCTACTAATCTTCTGTTCCTCTTCATTTTGATTACTGGGCAGTGAATGGGCTACTACTTGATACTTTGGTGTTATTTAGCCAAGTTACTGGAGTGTGAAAGAGACGTTACACCCACAGTTCACACAATATTTACAAAAATAATTATGTAAGTGATATCTTTAAAAAATTGCTTCACTGCTTTGAACATTACTCAAGGCACTTCCGTGGATAGGTGTTGCATAATGGAAACCCTAAAAATAAACACTGCTCTCAGACTTTAAAACAAAAGTGTTTCCTTGTACACAACACAATAAAACAGCATCCAGTAAACAATAGCTTCTCTGACTTTTTAACTTGACCGATAAAACATGGGAAACATGGGGGAAGGAACAACAAGTTTCATGTATCCATAACTGAAATATTACTCCAAGACATTTGGTCAAAAACTAGTCTGCCCAACAGCATCTAGTAAGCCGTGTATTAGAGCTTTACTATGGAAACATAGCTTATATGCATAGTATTAGTGGTCTACTAGTGATAATGGACAAAATACCTGGGTTGGATTCACATAGGGACTGATCCACTGGCTAAGGACCTAACCTAAGGATCATTCATAAAGTACTAACAAATGGATTACAGGTCACTCCAAAAATACAGTGTTAGGGTTCCCAGAAGGCCACTTCAGAATCATAACACAACGAATCACTCGGGCAAACTGAAAGGCAGTCATCTAGGTGTTTAAACACATCGACAAGCTTGCAGCGGCACCAATGTATAGGCCCCTGTGGGGCAACACTTGCATCACAAGAGGAGAAACAAGACCTGGATCTGTGAAAGTTCCAGGCCTTGGGGGTACCTCACGAGATATGGGTTCATCTTTAAAAACTGCAAACTGAAAGTGAAAGGGCAAGGCTCTTTCACAAGAAATAACATACAGCAAAAATACAATAAATTCTCCATAATGATTAATCCTATTTTGCCACCAAAAGCCAGGAATGCTTATACGTTATTCATACGCAAAAACAAAGACAAGGTTGTAACTTTGACGTAAAAAACCTACCCAACATGAAAAACTACTTTACAATCAAAACAGGATATGATCAGTTTAATTAGTGCTAAGTAATTAAGAGCAGAATGCAATCTAGGAATGTCCTCTACTCCCAGTTACGTCAGGGTTAATGATGTTGTCTGTTTGACAATGATGTGTCATACAGTGTTCTAATAAATTAGAGGAAATCCCAGAGAAAATATTGAGCAAAGGCCTCACCTAGAGCTGTCAATAACCATTGAACAGAACAATTAAACCTTACAGTCTTCAGTGTCAGATAACAAAGGTTTTGTGAGGAATCAGAACTTTCCAGTGCATGTTTTAGTGACGTCCAAAATGAACAATGCTAAGTGGTAAAAAATATTGTTGCCCTGCAGGTTACATTGCATCACTTCCTGTCAAAACAGCAAGACCAACACCCTAGTATGGCAATTTGCTCATCAAAACAGCAAGTGAGGAAATGACTGAAACTGTAAAAGAACACTTCCCAAACAGCCTGCAGCAGTAAATGATATAGATAGAAGGGTAAGACATCCTAAATGTAATAAACAGGAAATCAATGTTATTCCTCTGTGGTTAATCAACCGAACAAATGTAATATTAGGCATCGCCACATTTGGTCCATTATCTATGTTTGGCATTGTCTTGTTGACTGAAGAATGGGTATACATAACATTTATTATTGTTTCTCAAAACAAAAACCACATGACAATACCAGGAAGTTGTTCATTGAAGAAAAACTTTCTTGCACACAAATTTACAAAGTGAAATGTTCTGGTAAGTGACACTGACTTGCTTTAGAATGTGCGCACCAGAAGAACTGAATGGAATGTTTTAGGACTATAGTAAAAGAAAAAATGTTTCAAACTTTTTTTGGAATAACATTCATTTATATTTTGTCATCAAGAGGGTTAGATTTTTGTGATAGTAAGGGTTCTTTTTCTTTCCACTTTTAAGTGTTCAAAGACTAGACAACCCAGCAACTTCATGCAAGTAAAGTGCCCTGGGACACAACTTGTAAATTAAATACAAAAATTGCAATCCTGTGTCAACCTTGATGGTGGTCTGACCCACACATTCAAAATCACTTTCAAGATCTGTTTAAGGGCTGACTGATGGCAGATTAGATTTCAATAATATAAGCTTTCAAAATTCTGAACCTGAAAAATTGTAATGATAATTTTACACCAGCAACACATCATAAGCTGCCTGTTCAACTGTTTGGACAATTAACTCCAAACTTTGCAATGTATAATTCTTGTAACAACAGGATGTAAACATGTAAAAATGGGATTCTTTCAAAAACCAAGATGGTCACCAGACTACCACTTCTTTTTTGTTATGTGATTCATAACAATGTCTGTGATGCACTGAATAGAAACTTGACAGACTGCATAAACCACCAAAGCTCTTTCTGATTTGCAAAAGGTATGCTAATTGCCCAACCAACACCATGTCAATAATGGCTCGGTAAAACCCATCCTGCTCGAGAATTGCTAGACCCAATAACGTCAAATTTGGTAGATACAATTCTGACGGCAATACAGTTAACATAAGTTTTGCAGGGGCTCCAATTTAAACCACAGTTGTATTGGGAAATGCAGCACCAAAACATTTGAAACTTTGCAGGATTCAAAACCTCCAAAACTGCTTCAGAATTTGCACCTTATATATTTCAGCGATATGCCCACACTGCATCACCACATTAGGTGAAATGAGTCCAGTAATACCATTTGCTCATTTAAAAAAAAAAAGCAGCCAGTTAATTCCAAATGTGGTAGATATCACTCTAGTGTCAGAGAAATAGGGTTCCTGTTTAAACCAGGATGGCCAACTGTTCACCATTTTGAAACATCAACACTCTTATTGATATAGATTCGATATTGCAAACTGCTCCAAGGCAAAAACTGTTTGGCCAATTAATCCCAAACCTGGCAAGTTTTATTCCTGCAACAATACCATTACCACGTCAAAATGAGGCTTCTGCTTAAATAAGATGGCTGCCAGGCAGACATTTCACTCTTAGACTTCAAACAACTGAGGTTTCAGGAACTGCTCCACTTATTAACTTATTTGTTAACTGGCAGGCAATACACTCCAGCTCTCACCACACATTGGACAACAATACGTTTAACACTTAAACCCCCTGCTCGGTGAAATACACTCTGTAACAATGCCAAAATGGTAAAAATTAAAGTTGAAGAATGCAATTTGATATTGAAACCTAAAGTACTGTACACTTTATTAAGTAACGGAATCACCCTGTATTGCGATTATTCATTGCATAACTGGTAATTCTAGATGTGTTAATGATAAGGAGTTATATGGTAGAAATTCCCGAAAGTCTAAGAAAGCCCGAATCTCCTTACCTCTCTCCGGTGACATGGCTATTCTTTTGCTTAGTGGAGAAGTTGGCCTATCCTTGTCTGATGGTAAGTATCTTTTCCTGTTTCCTTTATCAGCTTGCTGAAAAACAAGTTTTAATGAAAAACAGATGCATGTAACTGACATGACGACAGTCAATCTAATTTTGTTTTCACATTCCACATGCACACTGGAATCGTTGGCAGTGATTCGACTTGGCTCACTGCCTCAAACCTCACACCTTTCTGGGAAGGATACGGACTGTGTATACTTTCTTCCCACTAACATGTGTCTGCTCATCCTTGAACTATGAGCCACACTGTACCTACAGAGAGACTGCAATGAACAGATGGAACAAACATCTTTCGGACAACACTGTAAAGATCGCATACAACTAGCGAGCCATGCGTTAGTAATGAGTGTTTAACCTTAACTCAATGACAGAGGACAACACGATGTCCTTACAACTTATACTTATGACTCTAATTCTGCCTGTACTTCGGGAGACATACCTCAGCATGAATCCCTATGGCAATAAAGGAGTGTTGATATTGGGCTTATGTTTTCTGTCTCACAGTGCTTGCACAAACGAAAGCCGAAGGTGACAGACTTTTCGCCCAGCAGCAGCCAGCTGTATCTGCTCCAAAGGGGGAGGGGTACCTTGTTGAGCAGCGTAAGCTTGATGTCCTTGTGGGACCCGTAGCCGGACTGCGGTCCAGGGGGGGGCTGGTGCTGCTGGGAGGGTTTGCTACTCTGTCCCGACTTCAGAGCGGTGGGCTTGGGGGGCTGGGGAGGGGGTTCCGGTTTTCTTCGCTCCTCTTTGAACGGCTCATCCTTTTTAGGTTTTCCTACAAGAACAAAAACATTTTCACAACCACTCACTGCTAAAGCTACCTTACACAACACTGAATCCTACAAGTATTGAACGCTTTACAGCTAAAAGCATTCAATTGTTGAACAATAAAAAAACCTGTCTGCAGGTAGGGATATTATTATTATTTTTTAGATTCCTTACAAACCAATTGTCTGTTTTTTAATCTTAAGGTACTGGTTCTAATTGAGCGATATTGTCGAGTCGAATGATGTTTTGTATTATGTCACTGTATTTTTGTTATACTGTATTATTGGCCAGGATGGCAATACTTAGATAAAATGCTTAAGTGTTGGTCTTGAAATCCAATTAGGTTTTGCTGTGCAGGTTCAATCTCTGCTCATAGCACTGTTACGACTTGCAATATTGCAGAGCTCGTAAAAGTGATGTTGATACTGTATTTTCAATTGTTGCTTGCAACAGCCTTTCAGGATAAAACAGTTAAACATGAACCAGAGGCCAGGGTACTGGAAATTAAAACATTTCTCTACCCAAAAGCTATGGGAGTCTGTTTCAAGAAAAGGGTGGATGACCTTCTTTGGTCATTAAATACCAAACTGGCTAGATGGACCACAAGACCTCCTCTCATTTATAATCTTTCTTATGTTTTCAACTAACAACTATCTAACACTATGCCCACATAACACCCCTGAAACTGGAGAAAGTAAACTTGTAAAGGGTTAAGCAATTTTTCTGTGCCATCTCAATGCCAACCATTATTAAAAAGAAGATGATTAATTTAAGGTGATTGCTTGGTATTGTAAACTACATATTTATTATTCAGCAACATCTGATCTATTGAGTGTCTGTCAGTGTTTCGATTAATCGAGTGTACATTTCTCAGCAGGAACCATTGTGAAAAGGGCAGAAAAACAATGCCAACAGAGAGTTTCAAGAGCTGTGGCTTTCATTCATTAGCCTTCTATAGACTAAGGACCATATCCTACTGAAAGTCAAAAATGTAAGTTCTGTGGTTTCTTTCAGACCTTTCATGAACATGCTCCCTAAGCTGCAGACAGGATTGTGGAGATGAAGCACCTGCAGAACTAGACAAAAATATGTGTGACAAAGGTTTGCTCTTAGTTGTGTGATCTCCCAGAGAAAGAGTGGAGGCATTTCAGTACAGTAGAGTGAGAAAGGTTATAAGGTGCTATCATGTGTAGTAGGCACAGGCAAGTGAAATCCAGTGTTGTTCTCCTAAAATTTAAAATGAATAGGCAAACACCAAACTATGGATTCATGTCTGAACTATAAAAAGATTTACAACTATGTCAGTCTCCCAATGTTACTAAACATATATATTGAAACACTATCCATTGAACATTTTCTAGTTTCTGCAATACAGCCAAGTATTTGGTTCCAGAATTAAGATGCGCTGTTTCAGAATACGTGAAGCAAGCAAGCACAAACATTTTACTCACAGAATACTACATGAGACAAGAATGAAATGCTAACAGAAAGAACACTTGCTGGAAACAGATGTGTGTAAACTACACTGCAACTCTGCACAGGTAAAATCTTAAAATGTCAGATCAGCACTCACAGTAGAACATTAAGGAACGGAGGTAACCATTCATATGCAGGAAAAAAAAAACATAAAGAGGGTGGATGCAAACCCAATCCCTTCTATGTGTGAACATTCATAAATCTTTCAGACCCCAATACCTTTCTCTTTTTTCTGCTGTGCTGGGGTGGGTGATCGGGAGCTGGCGGAGGACACAGGACTGGCCAGGTCAGCATACATGTCTTCAGAGTCTGCACTGCGCACTGAACTGCTGCTGGAGGAGGCGCTGGACACTGAAGACACACTGCTTACACTGAGAGACCTGTGGTACCAACACACCCCATCACTTTTAACAAAGCAAGAAACACACAAGCCACATAAACCACAGTCTTCAGTCTACCTACTTAGAATTAGAGAACAGAAAGTTAACAGTAAATACTGAAGTGCTTCAAACCATATCATGCAAAAGTGTTTCATGGATGAGAAATGGACAGGAAAAAAATTAAAATAATAAAAAGGGGTGGCATGCTGGCAAGCAAGAGCTCTATTGATGCAGGACAAAAAAAGTGCGATATAGACCAGTGATTTTCAACCTTGTCTGTGAGGGGGACCCCTCTGAAGATACATTTAAATAAAACAAATCAAAACTTCACTCATCCATTATTCTAAACCATATTAATACAAATAACATTAACAATGGAACTGCAGGTTAGCAGATGTAATCTAAGCACAGCCAGAGCATGCCGATTTTACCACACCACTAGGAGATGCGGTTCTCTGTGTTGCTGGGGATCCCTGGGCAGTCTTTACAGAGCCCTTGTTAAAAGCCCCTGATCTAGACAAGTTGCAAGTGATAATCTCGTACAATACCTGGATTTTCTGTGACGACAGGCAGCAGGAAGAAAGGGAAAAAAGAGAGATTGTTAGCAATGCACTACAATACATTATTTACCAAAATAAAAAAAAAGCCTTGATATATATGAATGCTTGAAATGTTTTCCCTCTTCGGTATTACCATACAGAGATTGGTATGCTATGCTTTATTATTTATTAATTATTAATACAGTTCTGTCTGTCCCCTTCATTGGATTGGAGTTTCTGAATTTCAATGTGTTTTTCATTTTCACGAGCTTTTGATTGTAAGATTATTGGCAAGCTGCTGTGCAAACCTTGTTAAAATGCCGTGATGGAAAGCACAGCTAAAGGATGCAACAAAATTAATTCAGTGAAGTAATTTGGATTTTCTGAGAACTACAGGATAATATTTCTCCAGCTGGACAGGAATCACATGTGCTGAGCTGAAGTGCACGTGAAATAAAAGAAAGGGCCTTCCAGCACAGTTATGTATTCCCCTGCATTGTTTAATAGAAGCCTGACAAAATAAAAAAGTTCCAATAGGTTTTAACCAGGTTCAGGTATGTGACAAAATAAAGTGGCACATGACAGAAATACTTGCGGGAAAGTACAAAAAATCACCTTGGTTACAAAGGCAGAAAACAAAGTAAAAATATGGGAACAAATCAATAAATCCAGCCTTGGTTAGTTACATGTGTAAGCAGAACTTCAATTTTGGGTGATATGAAACCTTTAACCCCAGATCAACAGGGAAATATTGTGAAGAGACAAAGCTACTTAAAGATCGAATGTTATATTAAGCACTATTCCAGTTTTGTTACAATCATCAAACCAGATCACAGCACAATGTTAATGGCTATTTTCAGTCCTGCACATTTAAAAATGATGTGGCAAGGTTAGTCAATAGATGGTGCAATGCTTGTCTAACAACCTTCTGTTTCACGATTGTCATGACCTCTTTATGTTATGACCACTAAGGATTTTTCCAAAGCACTGGGGGCCCCCCCTAACACATAGCTTCACTGTAATACACTTCTCCATTAGACCATCATTTTGGTCAATTTGTACAATTGCACTAGGCATTGTCATTTCTTCTAGAAAGCTACAGGAAGTCTAGTATTAGTACTGTTTCAAATACCGTAAATTCAATTGTATTATAATGACTGCATATGTAATGCAATGGATCCCCTTTGCAGCATTTTCAATTCATCAAAAAAATAAATGACCCTCATCAAAAATTAGTATCGAACCTAAGGCAAATACATTAGAACATCTGTAGCCACCATCGGTACAGACCGAATTCTTGATAAGAGAATCAAAAGGCCATAGCAAATGAAATGAATGTTCAGGAAAGCACAAGTTGCTGGAGAGAAGCTGCTCTCAGACTGTTAGGGCTGCATGAGAATTTCAGGATATCGCACGACTGTTACATCGCTGCATGATTTTAGGTTTCATCAGAACAGACTGCACTAGGAGAGCAGCTGTTGAAACCTGAAATGGTCCAGTATATTCTGCAACAGGAGACCTGCCAGTTTCTATTCCTGCTCGTACATTCTTTTTTTTTTTTTGGAAACCCCGGCACCTGACTGCTCACCTGGATTTCCTGGAACCGGAAGGAGAGTGAGAGAGGGAGACGGAGGAGGATCGGGAACGGGATCGTGACCTGGACAGGGAATGCGAGGGAGACCTGGAATGGGAGCTGGAGCCGGAATAGCTGCTGGCACTGCCACTCACACTGCCGGTCACCGCATGCCTGGAACACAACAAAGCCCACCCTTCACCTTTCAGACACACCCCGTACCCGCAGGCTAACAGGGGTTCCTACAAGTATGAAACGCAAGAGCTCCAGGAAGACTAGACGATAAGCTGTTTGCTTAGTTGTTGATAAGATTAATGATCCCAGTATTTTCTCCCAATGGATTCCATCACCTGACTTTCGTCAACATGGTTAGGGATTTTGTTCCACACTCCCTCGACTCTGCGTCACCTGTTCTCTGCCCTGAAAACTCACACACTCAACTTACATTCCAGGTGTTAATATTGAAGAAGTCTTCAAGACCGACCCAAGACTATGTGATCCAAGCATTCTCTTTTCTTTGCAAAACAGATTGTTAGGTTATTCCTTGTGATAACCAACAGCAGACGCTTTTCTAAACTTCGCACGCAGTGCTATTTCCTTCATACTATCAGTATGCAGTCTGCCAGGATCAAGGCCTTGAATATGCTGTCAGTCAGCATCTGCAGTAGGCGAAACTGTCTCAAGTGGTCCTGCTTATGAGCAAGAGGCATGCTCTATGAATGTGTCCCCTATCTAGGTAGTTTTCCATTTTTACACACTTGATTTGTCCGGCAGCAGGGAGGGATCCTCACATGGAGCACTGTAAAATTTAAAGAAATTCACAAGGGAAAAAAAAGAGTAACAACAAGCAAGAAAACAATGGCTGTAGTAAATCATGTGCACCTGCTAGGAATACCCAAACAGCGCAGGGAAAGAACCGATCCAGGGAAAGACCCAGAAGCATTAAAGAAAATATTTTAAACTTTTGGATGCCATAAACACACTTGTCTGCTTTGCAAATGATTTTTAGGAACAAGTAATAGGTTATTTCATGCTGAAAAAAAGAAGAAAGAGAACACAACGTTTCGGCCGTGGAGCCTTCTTCAGGTGTGGCTTCACCTGAAGAAGGCTCCACGGCCGAAACGTTGTGTTCTCTTTCTTCTTTTTTTCAGCATGAAATAACCTATTACTTGTTCCTTTGCAGCCTACGCATGCTGACGCAGCTACCCAAATGATTTTTAGGTCCAAGGTGTTTCTTGGAATCAGTACACAATAAAAATCTGTGCAATACGTTACGTATTTTTAGATTCCCTCACAAATAAAACAAAGTTTTATTACTTGATTAAAGAACTTTAGGACCTCTACTATGATTAATCCCTACCCATTGACTTGAGTAAGACAAATTTAAACAAATGTCATACATCTCTGGCAATGCTGTAACTATTCACAGGCTTAAAATGTACCAAAAATACATTTATAACACAACCCCAAAGGAAGAACCTTCTGATTTTTTCATATATTAGCAACATGTTAGAATACAGTAAAATGGTGATATAATAATCAGAATTAGCACTCAAAGTGTACCCCTTTACATTAAGGATACATTTTTAAATACTAAAAAAGGGGTAAGTTCATTTTCATACAACCACTTACACAATAAGCGAAGACATTCTCAAACTCTTGCATCTGATTTTCCCATTCAATGTTTATCATATCAAATCCACAATTTGCAGAACGGATTTTCCCTATGAAAACCTGCTACATCAAAAAACCTTTTCCTGAAAACCAAAAACAGCCATTGAGGCTCCTTTGACAAAGCTTCACTGTGACACGGCCCACGATAAACAAAAAACATGGAATCTCCACTGGAGCCTTTAAAATGGCACATGGAAATTTTTACACAATACCACACAGTGAGAGAAGTCTAAAATGCCAAAAAATGAATAGCAGGTGAAAGTCCACATCGCGAAACAAATGGAAAGGTAGGAGCCGGAAAAAAAAGAAAAGTGTATTTGCAAAAATGCAAAGAAGGTCCCCTTAGTTTCATGTCAGACATTACTGCAGTCTTCATGCAGCAGTGACAGTGAAGTTCAGATGAGCTGCAGCATAAATATATATACGCAGCATATATATATATATGATATATTTTTACTGTTTGTAAAAATATATCATGCTTTGAGTGCCAAACCACTCATTTTAATTATAATTACGTCCGCTTCATTTTATTTGAGGCAAAGCCAGTTCTGGGTTCCTGCTTTATACACACACAGAGTTTGGAAGCTTTTGTGTTTTATTTTCTGCTATTTTATAGCAGTTTTTTTCACAAATGGCAATGGCTAAGAAGACAAAAACATATGAAAACGGAGATCTAAATTTAAACAAAGCATCAAGAAAACAAGGGCAGCTTTGGAATAAACCATACTTATTGGATAGATTTACAAAAACAAAACTGTTCAAATATTATTTATCATGCAGCTTAAAATAAAATGAATTTTGCAGCTTGATTTTTTTCTACAGTAAAAAACTGCTTACTGGAAAAAGAACTACATAAAGACAGTGCCATTCAAATATGTACAAAAAATATAATTAATGCAGCTGTCTAAAACCTGTTATCCTACCTTAATTAAAAATGACATTTTTTAAGATGCTGGAATTTTAAAAAAGCACCCGTTTGTCTGTGTGGGAAAACATACTAATTAATTTATTATTGAACAGGTAGATCTTTCTTAAGGAAAAAACTTAACAGGAACCATAGCTGTCTTTCACACTCATAAATGATAGTTTAACATTATTTTCATTATAATTTACGATAACAAAGTCACCTTAAGATGATTTTCCATGAAAGGTAATACTTTATAGATGTGACTCCTATATTAATTCAACTAGCAAGTCACTGACTTTTCTATTGGATTGCAAGGGTTCTCCCATCCAAAATGTCATGTCTCCTACCAAAAAGCTTTTTAGAAAATTATGGGGGAAGCAGGAAAAAAAACTGTCTCACTTAATCATTTCCCCAGGTGTGTCTGTCTCTTGGGGTGGAAATGTTCATCAGGCTTGGTGTGCAAATTTACCCACAAGGTACACCAATGGAAACTAAACTCTGATACGGCAGCAAAGTTAAGGAAGGTAATCGTTAAAAATACTGACATATATTCAAGGAACAGATTCTCCTCCTCTCCAGGAAACAAATGTATTGAACAATTAAAACCCAATTAAAGTTTATTACACGGGATCAAAAAAACAAACATGCAGACACATTTTCGTCTTATTTTTGTGTAAGATACAGAGACAGCTCTTAATACTATGTAACAAGGGCAAAGTCGTGAAGGAGAAAATCCCAAACCCAGGCCGGTCAATAACAGACAGCCAATAAAAGATTTTGACAAATAACCCTTTTCTGAAGCCTGAATCCTGTTTTTTTTTTTGGCTTTCTGTCTTTACCAGGAGCAAGATCGTTTGCAGGCCAGGTGTGATTTCTGTACCTTAAGGCTGTGATAAACGGATTTGGAATTGGCTTCCTCTTACCTGCCGGGGGGGTTGTGTGGTTGTCGATCCTTACGGCAGCCATCTCTGGGGTCGGCCATCTTGGCCCCCTCTGGGGGTGGCTTCACAGGCTTCCCAGGAGGCCCTGGGGGAGGTGTCATAGATGGCTTCTTCACAACCTTTTCCCTGCGAGGGGGCAGCGGATTCTTCAAAGGGATGCTACAAGAGAGGAACACACTTTGCAGGCTGCTGTTTGGGTGAACAGATTGGCTTTCATTTTGCTTACTTTGCATGCTTTTTAATAGTTTTTTCCCCGTCACTATCTATCTAAGCCTGTTTGTCTCAGTGCCAACACATGCACCCCATTTTCTAACACTATCAAAATTTCTAAGTATCTATCTAGTAAAGGCAATACGGGCATGAGAAACCAGATATTCGTCTTAAACTTTTCTGCTGTTCCAACTGTAGTATCGGAACAATCCTGGGTCCACCAAGAATTCCAAAAAAGAGAAAAATACACAAAAGTAACCAATAAATAGTACTAACCCTATAAATGTATTGATGGAGCCTGACTTTGAAGTCATCCTTAGCAACAAAAATGACTTTTATACATAGACATCTTATAAAAGGAAAAAGAACGTCACTGTATAGCAGAGGCTAAATATCAACCTTGGGAAGAACTGCAGTTTGCTCACCCTTTCGCCGGGGGTCTCAGAGGCTCTGCTTTAGTCTTTGCAGCATTCCTCTGAGCAGAAGGAGTGGGAGAAGGAGTAGGAGAGGAAGAGAAGGATCGCGACCTGCAGAAAAGCAAGTTTGGGTAAAACACAGGAATTGCTGTGCATATTTATATACGTGGCTGTTCTGATGCACAATGGGAACCACTGTAACCATAGCCCTCGTTGATCAAAAGTGATATCAACTCCGAGAGCCCAGCCATCTGCGACAACTAGCTCAGAAAAGACCCGGCGCTGTATTCTGTTCAAAAACACAAGGAAGGCATTATACGTCACTTTGAATTTTTATAATACAGCTAAGGAGTAATGCCTAAATGTACTCATTACAAAAGTTTTAAAAACAAACTCATACTATTACGTCAACCCATACAAGTTGAAAACATTCCTGTCACTGCAATGTTTGTGTGTCTCTTTCTTGTTTTTTTTAAATTTTGGAGTCCTTAGCAATGCATCTGTGCACAATCCTGAAAATGACAAATACCTGCTCACTCCAATGTACTTGAGGAGTATGGCCATTATTGCCCTCACTCAAAACATATCACAAATGAGAAGATCCACTTAAAGCACTTACTGTACCACTGATTTGCTACTCCAAGATGGAACGATAACTACATACCCAACAAACTGGTAATATCCTCTAAAGGAATACAGTGAAGTTTTCGCACACTCTAATAGGGGTAAATTATCCGTGCCGGTCTTTGAAAATAGCATTTTCACATCTGGGACCACAGAGATGCAAACTCAGATCGGGTCCGACAGGTCGGGGAGGCCCCGGACTGCAGGGCTGCTGCTCACCTTGAGCGACTTCCAGAAAAAGAGCTGTGCTGCGAGGACTGGCTCGAGTAGGAGCTGAAGGAGGACGATCTGGACCGAGAGGAACCGGAACCAGAGTACGAAGAAGAATGGGACGATGACCTGCAAAAAAAAAAAAGAGAGAGGTTGGAAAGAGCAGACCAGAGCACACCTTTATTCAGTGCAGAAATCAAAGCTGAAATGACAGGATTGCAGGGTAGGTGTATGACTGCTCAAGGCTGAAGGAGAGGGGGGTGTTCAGAGCCTTTACTGTTCATTATGTCATCAGGGGTCTGCTTTCCCACCAGATCATTTTACTTTATTTCTGTACGTTCTTCTAGAGGGCATGGCCGGCCAACACGTGCTCTGACTCCCCCACGATCATTCATAAACTACTGGGATAATAACAGTACATCAACTGTAATGGACTGTAGACCGAGACCCATTGGAGTCATCTCACTCATCTTAAATGCCTGCCACACAAAAGCAGGAGGGAGCCGAGAGTGCGATAGCAGTCTGAGAGCTGGTTGCCATACCTGGAGGAATTGGACAAGGAAATGGAAGATCCTGAGGGCCGGTGTCTCCGGCGCCCCCGTGTGGGGGAGCCCGACATTCCCATCCGCTTCTTGGGGGATTTGGACCGCCGCCAGGGATCTTTCCACTCGTCCGGCCGTTTTATCAAAGGCCCCATTTCCTTCTTGGGAGGCGGCTCCATGGGCCTGCGGGGGAACAGGGAAAAGGGTTTCCCCGCTAGCGCATTTGTTTCTCCCTCCTTTAAAACAGCGGCTCCGTTTCCAGGAATCCGCAGCGAAGATACGGAACGCGCCGCAACCGTAAACACCACCGCCGTGGCCATCAGTCCCCAGCAGGCCGCAAAAAGCGCAACGAAACTACAGGTCGTGATTTGAGACTGATTTATGTAAAGGGCATTATAAATAAAATGTGCATTTAAAGCACAATTAAATTGCAAGATGTGTGCTGCTACTTTTCACTTTTCAATATTCATCAATGCACTTACATCACAAAGGTACAAGGAACCTGTCAATACCCACACAAGGGAGTGCATATACCCCTATTTACTAATATGGCATCAAGATAAAGCTAACTGATGCAGAGGTGGAGATAAAATAACCTTGTGTAAATGCAGCTCTACTCCCTAGGAAGAGTTTTATACAAAGTTTGAAACACGGTTTCAGAATGATATGTTCTAAAAGTCTGAAAGGCCTTTAGTCTGTGGAAAACACATTGCAGTTTGGTGGGACCAGAACTTCCTGAAAATAACAGATCTCTGCCTCCTTCCTAACCTTCCTTCCTTCCTTCCCCTTCAACTCTGATGTCAATATTCCTTCTCCCTGGAAGAAAAATGGAGAATCTAAAGTAAATGCAGAATATCCCAAGAACACATACAAGTTAAACTCCGTGTGAAACAATACAGTAACGGAGTCGTGTGTGGTCTTGTCAGGACACCGGAGCTCACAGGTGAACTGCAGTTGCTCATTGTATTTAAATTTGAATGACATTTACTACATTCCTCCAAAGTTGCACAACTAGTATCACTTCTGAGAACAAAAATATATTTCCTTATTTTTAAAGGAATAGTTTAGATATGGCTGAGTGAAGGGTGTGCAAATGTCTTAGGGGATTTTGAACTCATGAAGAAAAGAAAATGTAAAAAGTACAGACCGATAACAGGGCAAAGTAGCATCCGTTATAGAAATGGCTTAAGTTTGTAAAAGCGTTAAGAGCTACCCCAGTCCCTGACACAGCAAGATGGTGATGTAACTAAAGCAAACCCTGTGAAATTCCACAAGCATGACGCAAATCAAACAACAGACTTTCAACCAACAGGTGGACAGATTGAGGTGAAAGTTATTTTTAGCACTGTAACATGATCCCTCTTCATAACCACTGGGGAAAAAAAAAAACAGAACTTCCTTCAAAGCCAAAAAGGAAGCAAACATAGCTATGTAATTACAGCTGGTGAGGAAACAGGGAAAATCTCCATAATTTCTTATGATTATAGTTGTAAACAAAACTGGGTTCCATCCCATATAACATTAGCACTTCTGTGTAACTTTCAGCAATTAAGGAAATAACACTTAACACTGTAGTGCTTTCATCTATTGAAACCAAGAAATACTAAATTTATATAACCATGTGCAACATGACAGAATGCCTTTAATACAGCTGAAACTCTCAGAAGAATGTCAAAATAAAAAGTGTAACAATTCAAAGTTTGGGAAATCGAATCATGGGAGGTTATACAGGCATGATTTCTTGCTGATTTTACAGTACAAGTATCCTTAATGAAAACCTTTTCAGATCTGTATGTACAACACTCAACTGGACTGCTACAAGTTTACTGACAGTTCTTCTGAAGCCAAAACCATCTCCTGAAGCACTCAGGATTGTCTTCTCCGGTTGGTGTGGTGATGTCTGGCAGGAACCAAATATATTTTTAAAAACTGAAACTTGAATGATACAAACTTTGGATAAATTCAGCCAATCCCTACGTGTTTGCAACCTCCTTCTGGCTCAGTAATGGTTTAGCCATGATGTAGATTTTTTCACAGGCGCTCTCCTGCCATTCAAAAAACTCAGTGAGCCAGTAAGGTGTTGAATAACAGTCCGCTTTTCAACGTAAAAGTGCAGCCATTGCTCAATTAATGCAACAGCTATAGTTAAGGAAAAAAGAAGTTGGTCCACAACTGTGTCTCATATCTGCACATACTACCCAAAGATAAATAAGTAATTCAAGAGCTGCATCGGTATTCGAAATGCAGAAGTAAAAACATTCTGCTCTCATTTTTTTTGTACCTCCTACACATAACTGCATGGGTGTAAAGGATCCAGTTTCATGTAAATGTCCCTTTTTCTCACTGTCCAATCCAATATTGCAGAATCACAGCCCGTCTTTTTAATATAAAAATGTTGATCGAAAAAAGCAAATAACAATGGATAATTTGAGCAATAATGGAAATTGAGAAGTATGCAGAATTTTGCGGTCACAATCTGAGATCTGGGCATAGAGCAGTTACTCCCCAAAAAAACACAGAAGAAACATTTATGATCAACAAAATTCTTCAAATTTTCCATTCAGAGACAGGAAAGCGTAATGTGATTGCACAATATTCTGTATCAAAGTATCTTTCGCTACCAATAGTTTCAGTTTTGGCTTTGACACATGAAACATGAACACAATAAAGGCAGAATCTAGATTTACCAGCTGAGTCGTGATGCAAGAAAGGTCTGTCCTTTACTCTCTGCAAAAGTATGAATGACTGTGTCTGCTTTATTTAGAGCTTACTACTGAGCTGAACCAACCAGACAACTACAATTAGGTCATTTAGTAAATTCTGAAGCACTAAACCAGTGGTCAGATTTGATTTTTAATCCACTGAAAAACGTGAGGAATAAGAGTTGAGGATTATGCTGGAAATGGTTCCAATTTCTGTAGAATTCATGCTAATTAATGTGAATTCTCAGTTGTATATATCACTAAAAACAATTTTGCAGTGCACATTATTTGCTTATTTAGAAAGATATGATTTGCTGATCAATAACAAATCATGAGCATTTATTAACTCAATGCCTTACACTCAAATAAAAGGTAACCGAGGGTAACAAAGCTACAACTTTGTTTATTCTGTCTAGAATTGAAACCTTCAATTCCCTAGTCTACAACTACAGTACTCATCCTGGAAACATTTTACTATCCAGAAATCTAACCAAAGTATTAAATACATTCCTGACATGCTGAACTACATTTTTCTTAATGTAAATTCTTAACTGAATTTCTTTTCTCACACAGAATTAATCTTAACCCTTAACAAACTGCTCTATTTGCAACATGTAATTTGCTAAAGCGATTCAAACAATTGTCCAATAAGCACGGTACTCCAACAGTATTTTTTGCATCTTTTGGGATCACTATTAATCTTGAAATAATGCTTGTCGAGACGTCTTCAGCAGATAAGCTCAAAATTCCACTCTCAAACACCTTGGAGAAATGCTGAGAAACTGGTTTGCACTACATCAGCTCTAAAAAAGGTTAAGAGTCTGAGGAAACTATCCTGATCATTTTTCAGGTGTAACTTGCTGGGCCAAATGTTAACTGTTTCTAATTAAAAATACTGCAGTAAGACTGAAATAAGTGTATAATTGAAATAATCCGACATGTAATACTGTACATATCAAGATCCAAACATTTTTCTAATCATTCTTTCACCTAGTCCTAGAAAAGCCAGCTCAGACAACCAGACAAAACAAAAGGTTAGTATTGTCTTCCCACTACATGACCAAACCATCATAATTGCACTTTTGACCTTTTCATCTTAATTTTCATTTATAAGAGGTTGCCATTTCTGTCAGGAAACTGCTTTGTTCTAAGCCTTTCAAGAGCGCTAATTACAGATAACATTACAGTAGGTTACTAAATCCTCATTTGTAAACTGCATTATAATCAAAGGTGACAGCACTTAAATTTGGAGAATAACCACCACCTTTTGGACAGATCAGTCCAAAAAATATTTTTTTATAATGCACAGTGTTTTCTATAAGTTTTTAGTTTTGGTGTAGCTAACCAAACCTGGACTTAAACCATTTATTTGCAATTCACTAAAAAACAAATAAACAGTATTTCTCATTTCAGTGGAAAGGAAAATGCCATATGAATATAATTATAATAAATCATAACATCCTTCAACTGCAGCTCAGATTGCACAATAATTACTGTTAATGTAGACTAACCACATAATTCCCACATTTCTTTAAAATACATTTTTTCTATATTGTATCAGAACTTTCTGAACACTGCCTAAAATTTCTTCCAGACAATTTCACTGCTGGTATATGATAAATATAATTCTTCTGAAATTAAGTTTCAGGTTTTCTTTGACAAAATGCAGTCTTACAAAACACACAATGTATGTGTTTTCCTGTACTTACTACAGTGGGCCATCTACTGAAACAGCCTATTTTTTAAATTCAGGAATGATCTTTCCAAACAACTGTGCATAAATGGCACGTTGCCCTTGTAGGACACTAACCCAGACAAGGCACATTACTAGTTGTTCTACAGAGGTTCAGGCAGGGAGAGTTTGAATCTCTAGAGAATGGGTGAAGAGTAAATGTGTAACCACAGCTTAAATCCCAGAGCCCTCTCAGTACAGAATCCACGACTTCAGTGAAGACACTGGGGTTTATTTTTATCCAAGTTATCCAAGATTTCAAATCCTAGTCAGCAATACTAATGAACATTTTACCAGCATGTGTAGAGCACAATGACTACACACTGAAGCACTTCACAGAAATGCAAGCTAAAATAAAACCAGAAGACTAAATGAAATCTCATACCAAATTCTCTAGTAACTGAAGTGAAGATGTGGCGAAGGGACAAGTGAAGAGCAATAAATGACATAAAAATCTACTTAATCCAGTCTAATTATTTAATGCAGGAAAAAATGGAAATCCACCAAGAACAACGAACCTGATAAAAAAAAATCTGACGTGAGAGTAAATTAACGCAGGAAGTACTACATATAAGAGAAGTACATCACAATGCGCTGTATTTTCCAATTTCTCCAAGAAATGAGTTAGAAAACCATTCTGTAAGGCACACTTAACAATTAGCAGGTAACAATGTTGACGTTCTTAATATGCATGCTTCCAGGAAAAAATGGGAATGACTAAAACCTAAGGCTGGCAAAGCAGCATTGCCGAACCTGGACTGAAACTGAAAATCACCCTGGATAGGTTCTGGAATTTCAAGTCATAATGCGCTCTATGTATTACAATCAAAAAAAAAAAAAATGGGATCATATACTGCTGCATCTGTGCTCTCTCCACATTGTTTTCTTAAAATGTGTTAATGAAAGGTATTTTATCAGTTCTCGTCTTTCACAGCATTATAGAAGCAGTTGACTTGATGGAAACTGTGACAGAGGTGCACACGACCTGATTGTGCGTAGTTGAGACCTGACACAGTGCACTCTTCATGAGGGTAAGGTCAAGCCTGACCCTAAATGAAGAAGCATATGTAACATAAAGAAAGATGGGGACAAGCCAAAGGAGAATCAAGAGAAGTATTCTTTGAGTTCCAAGTATTTGTGTTCCTCTTACTTGTTTTGTTTTACCATTTTATAGAAAAAGCATGTTTGAAAAATGTGTTTCAAAGATCAGATCCTCTAAGTTAACTAATCAGGAAAATCAAGGGGGCAAATATCAAGTGGACACTTTCAGTCACTCAACTGAAACACAATAACAGGCAAGTTAAGCATTAATAATTTGATAAACAGACACTGTTGATTAATTAGCACAAGACAGCAATCAAATTTGTTCTGCTACAAGCTACCTTTGATGTTCTGTTTGCTCACAAAAATCTGTCAGCTTGGATATTTGGCTGTTGCAAAATCTGTAAAAAAGAGGCCACTGTTTTAATGTCCAGAGCTGTCAGCCATGTTTGTATACAAGGAGAGCGTGGGGCAGGACAGCATCATAGGAATATCCACTAGAAATCTTCCCAGGGCCCAGATGACCTGAGGATATTCCAGTCCATCCTCCTCTCCTGCATCATAAACCCTCCTCCAGAGCAAATGCAAACAAAGGCTGAAGATTGCCCAGCTGTATGAGTTTTTTGTTTGTCAGTTCCCCTTCAAACACAGAAGTAGGAAAGGCCACCCTTTCAGTGTTTTTTCAATGCTCTGGAAGACTTGTCTGGCTCTTAAAAACTGACTGTGCCCCAGAACAGACCTGGAATTTAGATGAGGAACCAAAAAGCATGGATCCACCTCACATGCAGAGGTCATTTGTTTCTGTATTACACTTTAGAACTTTTTTAATGAATAATAAAAAAACAAGGCAGTTCAATCTGTCGACAGCACAATGTCGACATATATATATTATTGTCAATTACCAAAATACATGACATAATTCAGATGCATGACCGGAAGAGTTTTTCACATAGATACCTTTGCCAGTTATATTTATTGGTCCTGGTCACACACAAACAGAAATTTTATACAGCATTTTATGTCGGCAATGTGTAGTGAGGATTCTCCTATGGCAAGAAGCATAAGCAGCTTTAAGATTCAGGTGTCTGTATAGATAGATGCTCATTATTATATCACTTCTGCGAATGTTTGTGAACTTAATCTGCTAGTCTGGTATTTATGGTACAAATGAAGGAGGGATGTATCACTATATTATGTCTCAAAGCATGCCTTAGTAATGCAGATAAAAATGACTGCTTCGGGTAAATCGAGTAAGAATGTTTCATGTCATGTTTCAGGTATTGGTATATGTGTTAAAGTGCTTGAAGTTGGGCTGGAGCCTTAGATCAGCTCTTTTTCCTTTTGAAATATCAAAATAACTTTCAGGCTCAAAATAAAATCAACCGCAACAATAAATGTCTCGGCACAGAAGACCTCAGGTTGCCAAAGGAAAGTTTGACAGCACACAGAAAGCATGTGAACTGGATAATCAAGAAAATAAATTGTGTCAGCACCAGTAACAAAAGAAAGTGCACTCTTCCTGCTGATTCACAAATGTGTGACACTAGACAAGCAACAACATATTGACATTCAAGGTGGAAAACACACAGCAATGACCAAATCAGCCAACTCATTCTTCAAAGCTATTCTTCATTCTTGCACAGTTTCCTCTCTACGTCATAAGCTCATTTTGTTTGCTTATGCAAGATGATGCAACATATATTTAGAGTCAATGAACCTTGGACATCAAAAGCTTACATGTGCTTAAGTGCAAACCTAACCTACAGACAGCTTGATGCGAAGGACACTCACATTCAAATTTTAAAAATCAAACAAAACTTTTATAATGAATAATATGAAGCCAAATTTAAACAGATTAAGTAAAACAAGACTATATCCACCTCATTTACAAGAGGAAAGGTAAAACAACACTGATTATTAAACTTTCACCATCAATCAATGCAATTCTAAACCACACTTTAACATGTATTAATTAAAAAGATGGGAAACAAGCATCCTATTTTGTATACTTTAATACATGGGAACATTAATAGTTTTACTCTTTGCAGCCTACGCATGCTGACGCAGCTACCCACCTGAACTACTTTTATACATATAAACAATACTGGAGTTTCTGCCAAATAAATTGCCAAATCCTAGCGGACAGAAACGCACAAAATGTCTCAGGACTGGTATTCTATTTTGATTCAATTTAAATCAGAGGCTTTTATTCGTGCTGCCACACCTGAACCTCAGATCTCAGTAAACAGCAATGTTACACAAGAAAAGACTTTCCAGTTCTGTCAATGACCCATATTACTCTTTTACTGCAAAGAACACAAAACAAGTCTCCAGCGAATGAAATGAAGGGGGGAATATTAAGGATTCATTGTCTGGTTTCTGTAAGGAAGGGTTTTGGGTTTTGTTAGGTTTCTAGGTCATAAGCACAAAAAGAACTCTCCCTTGTGTTCCGATGTCCTAAAGGCAAGGCAGGGCATTTAATTCACATTACAGCTGTAATGCAAGTAGAAATGGCTTAGATGATATATACAAAAAAACATGGGTCATTCAGCCAGTCCCATTTTTACTCAGATACTTCGAAAATGCATTGTAGTCAAGTCTGGTAGACTGAATTTTGTATGTCTCTTGTTACGTAATTCTTACATACAATACCAGCCTTTGATTTTAAACCTGTAGGTGTAAAAAAGCTTCCTTTATTACTCCCATAATGCAAAAGTAATCAGAGAATCCCTTAAAACGTACTACCACACACAAAAAAACAATATTTTGTTCTTAATTCTTATCTATACTAATGAATATATTCAACGCAAAGAATGCTTGATGTATGCTTTAAGACATAATATCTGAGGTTTTATATAAGCAAATAGTGACAGATAGAGGAGTTGATTTGTCATATGTACAATGGGGTTCTAATTGCGCTGTTCTCTCAGGACATGCACAGTACAACAGATAAAACCTCACAATGTAGACAGTACATTACAAACCAGTAAAGACAAGGAACAAGCAGAATAAAAACAGGGTCGCTTTTCAGGAATGGTCAATAAAATGCCTTAATAACCACAGCAAAAATGAACAGAAAGTGAAGAGTAAGTGTGAAACTGACATCAGCACGGAAGAGACATGGGTGGGATTCTAACGTCGTCGTGGGCCAGGAGAAATGTCTTGAATCCAGGTTTTTAAACAAGCCTATAAGCGAAACCAGTCCCCACTTTTGTGCAGTGCAAGAGAACTGAAAATACCTCGATCTGTCAGACTGTCAGGAATATAAACTTAACTGTACACCCTGGCTAGTACACAAGGGATAAAGTATAAATTGGCCACAGTGACAAGCGCGCCAAATGAGGGAGCTACACAAGGCCAAGGGGAAACAGGACCCTCAGCTGCACGCTTGACCTAACCTGACGTCACAGAGACACCAACCGCCAATGTCACTTCAAATCCAGAAGCCTTTGCTTTATGCCGAAGGCCCTTACATTTAAACGAGCTCCTTCGCGGCGCCTGAGCCTGCCGCTGCCTCCTGATACTTGTCCCGATAAGCTCCAGATAAGGGCGCGATCACGACGTACGCACAGTCACGTCAACACCGGCTCAATCCCAGCATGCAGCACTCACCGGGGCGGAGGTGGCGTCCTCGGCTTGGGCTTCTCCTTCTCCTTCTCCTTCTCCTTCTCGCGCTCCCGCGTGCGCTCCCTGGGCCGCTCCTTCTCATCCCGCTTCAGCCGGTCCCTCTCCCACTCCTCCTTCCTGCGCTGCCTCTCCTTCTCCCGCTCCCGCTCGCGCTCCCGCTCCCTCTCCCGCTGCCGGCGCTCCCGCTCCCGTTCGCGCTCGCGCTCCCGCTCCCGCTCCCGGTCCCGCTGGCGGTCCCTGGTGTCGCGCTCCCGCTCCTGGGGAAACCGCAGCGGCGAAACGCTCGTTCGTGGGGGGGGCGGGGCGCGACACGGCGGGAGCCAGGCCCCGCCTGCTTCGCCTGGCTGCGCGTTCATCCAGAAAGGACCTGGGTCCTACGGGAACGCCCTGCGGCTGAAGCCAGCGCCTCGCTCCCTTAAGGAAACGGATCGTTCCAAAAAACTTGCGAGTAATTAGGCGGCACTCTTCCCCCTGGAGAAGAGTTTCCAACAACGAATGCAGCAGCAGCGTGGCGACCAAGGACTTGGTGCCGTGGAAGGTGCTGCCCCCTCACAAGAGAAATGAAACTCACGTCCTCGCTACTTGGTCATTAAAGATCCCACTGCTGTTCTGAAGAGCTGGGGGTGTACTGGAGCAGCGGGATCTGGTGCGCCGACGCTGGGCTTGGCCACTAACCCCCACGACTTAGAAAGGGCTGAGCGGGTTTCCACATTTGCGCAAGATTATTAAAGGAATCGACTCCAGCTGTCTGCAATTTGGCTCCTTTATAAAACGTTTTAACACTCGACAAGCACTGGCCGCTCTGGTATCAGATTAGCCCAGCGCAGGCCCCTGGCAAGAAGACACGCAACGAGGTTAAGGATCTAAAATTAATGGACTTGTGCTGTGTCAGGGGCACTAGTATTGCTGATTTGAGACACATTTTTGGACACACAGAACCAGCCAGTAAGACTAGGTTTCAGAAGTCAGGGAAAACAAAAAGGCCGGCAGGTTACAGACCAAGTTAGAATTGGTCTCTAGGAAGGCCTAAGTCTAAAGTTCTCCCTTTATTCGACTTGGTTAATCATTTTCTCAGTTCTGCACCTTATCTCCTGTGCAGTGAGGGTGCCTGTGTGTACTGTGGCACTTTACACAGGTGGGCTCTGTACTTCAGTGGTGGAAGAAGCATTTTGAATGGAAAGTGTTATGTAAAAGTAAGGAATTATTTTAGCAGCCAAACTGGTTAAATAGGGCCTAATTCCTTCCCTAGTCTGCAACCATTCTTGTGTTTTTTTAAGATAGAAAGCAGAATATTGGCACAACACCACTCTGTTTTACTGTACGGGAGGAATAGAACAGCAAACAACGAACAAGGTCAAGGCATTCCGGATACATAAAATGCAAACAAAAAGCGCATGTAAAAACTAGAAATTGGCATGGGTATATTCTAGATATTTTCATTTGAATTGTGACTTGATAACCCATAATTTTTTAGCCAGAGCCTATCCCGGCAAGCAATGGGCACAATGCTCTGGATAGGACGCATGCACACAAAGAACTAACATGCACACGCTTACACAGGGCTAATTTTCCAGAAGCCAATTAACCTACTAGTTGGTTTTGTGGGAGGAAATCCACACAAGAAGAATGTACAAACTACACATAGTTAGTAACCCCGAAATTAACCCAACACCCCAGTGTTGCCAGGCAGCAATGCTAACCACTGTGCCACAGTGCCTCCCAGCACTTTGAAACAGCTATATAATAATACAAATAATTGCCGTAGTGACATTAAACATTACTCTTGGCTTTAAAGAACAAACATCTGCTAAACCGAATCCTGCAGGACACAAGCTCGTGCCACCTTTCGGACATCAGCATAGCTTACGTTGTAATGGTATGGCACTGCTTCCGTGTACTGAACCCTGAAATTCTCGTACTGCCCCCCTCGCCAGAGGCACTCCATTTCGTAATCGTAGTAGGAGTCTGCGTAGGGATCATTCCTGCAAGAAGATCAAAAACACATCTGGTGGTGATCTCCACCTTAAGAGATGATCAATCAAGAACATGCAGGCGACTCCAACGTATAAGGCAACTATAGTTCTACAGAGCAGACAATCAAGCCAGGATTTAAAGTGGGCATAAAACACGGATCTTGGTGGTGAAATCAATAATCTACAACCTAACAGGAAAAGGAAAACATTAATAAATTAAGGAATTAAGGCTAGATTACTGCATCTGTATGCCAGACCAGACCATAAGACAGAGCATAAGGCCAACATTAGGGAAACATCTAAAATCTTAGAAGTTTAGGTTTCTGTCTGTATGTAATGTTCAGGTACTGCTTTATAATCACCAATAGCAAATGTGTAATTTGCAATATAAAGAGAATACGCTGAACAGCACATTTTTAATCTCAAAATGTCAAACTTGAGACAAAAGTCTTCTTTTTGTGTTTAATTTTCTTTATAACAAAAGTTCTTATATGGATGCAACACTTTTAAAGTTTTGGATTGACCTTCTATGGCAGAGTACAATAATAAGCCTGAAACCTTGAGAAAAAAAACATGCACACAGTAGAAATGAAGGGTTAAAATGTTCAAGACAGAAAAGTGCTTTTAAGTAAAGCACAGGCTTCTACTCCACTGATTTTAAGAGCAGGACTCAGCCATTCTTACCCATAGCTTGTATCCCTGTACTCCATATCTCTGATGCATTGAAAAGGAAACAGACAGACCATTAAGACTAGAGGCAGAAGACTGCAACATGAATTAAAACAAATGTAACTACAAATGTGTTCAGCAAGAATGATAAAAAATGCATACATCCAAAAAATGTGGTATTACACATTTTAAAAATGTGTAAATTAAATTTAGCTTCTTCAATTTTACTGACCCACATGAACCACATGCTTGATCTTTTCTTTTGTCCAGAACCATATTCATATACTGTAAATCATGTTCTATTCAAATAGTTACTCTTGCACACAAAGTTTATTCAAATCCCTTAGATTTACTTCTTAAATTTCGAATATGCGTGTCTAAACCCTTCTCTTTAAATGTGTCTGCACAGGCATGTGTATGGCACATAATGAATAAAAAACTAAAAAATGCCTGTTTATATACACAATAACAAGGGTTAAATGGTTATAATCATATTAACATGGTCATTACCCAAGCGATAAAAATGTACCTTTTAGGGGGCCATTTTAGTTTTTTTCCTTATAAAACATTAGCCCAGCTATGACTTAATGAAATACTTTTGATCTGGTCAGCATTTCTCTGCTAGCAGTCTGTACTAACCCAGGGTCTCGGATCTCTCTCGTGATACGGTACGTCCTCTCCCTGAAGAAGTCATTCTCTTTATCGAAATCCCGCTCGTCCTCTCCAATCGTCACATTGAATCTCTTTTCCTCGAAGTCGGGCTCTTGCTCCTTCCGTATTGTAGCTTTCTTTAAGACCTACAGAGCCCAGATTCAACATGCAGAGAAGTTAATGCACACTTCTTAACCTGTTCAGGGCAGCATGTCATAACAGCCACTACTTGAGATATTTCCCTTGACAAATCAGCACATGCAAATCCAGCATTTTAAAAACTTATTACCAGATTGCACTGTCCTTCCCATCCTTGCCTAAAGATTCCTGCCAAAATTTCTTTATCGGGGCTTCAGTCTTTTTATTTCAGATAAATAACAGCACCTCTGGGACTCCACCTGTCAGACATCCCCCCTAGTTAAAACTACACTGTGAAACAGAGTAATTATTCAGATATGTATGATCCACCGCGATTTTCTACCTTTTTAATTCAAGTGCTATTTCTGTATTAGGGCAGACGGAACCTAGGGATCATCAAATGAAAATGAATATAAGCTTCTAAGTCTAGAAGATGAATGAACAATTTCATGCAAGGCATCTGTATTTTCTTCTGCTGTAGAAATACTGAATGTGTAAACTAAAGATGTCCAGCTGACTTTTTACAATAATCCCTCACAGCAAGCGGTAAGTGAAAGGGTTTCACTGGCATAAACTGCAAGGTCAAATCACCATCTAGAGCATGTACGTAAAGGGCTTGAGGACACATCAGGAGGCACTGGAATAGGAGTTTTGTGGGATTTTCCAGATTAAGAAAGGTCAATAAATAAGGTGGCCAGAGAGGGCAATACCTGGTGCGCAAAACTGATTACATATGTGAAGGACCATTGAGGAAGTGGAACAAACAAGGAACAAGATGAGATAAATCTTTATTTGTTGGTCTCTTTACAGATTACACAAATGGTGAAAAAAACATTAAAAAATTAAGGATTTTATCCTACACAATTTTGAAACCTTTGCTTTCAGCACAAATGAATGTTATCTAAATGTACTACCTACAAAAAAAAAAAAAAACTTATCAGGAACCAATCTATTTTATCTGCTGGATTTACAAACAAAAAAAATAAACTTGTACAAGCACTAAATTTGACCTTTACTCACAATGCATGAAAAGAAGCAGATATTGGCACCTGATCACACAAGTGGTCAAGATTCCAGCAGCAGATTTTAGTTTCCGGCTCTAGAAAAGTATACTTAAACTAACAGACAAGCAGTGACACGGAGAACTTCCCGCTGTTGACAATGAATTTAATGTAAGGAAGAAACCCAGCATGAGGATAGCTTGTCTTCCCACTTTTTCTTACGTGAGCTAAGCAGTTCTCCCTTGTACATACCCTAAACAAATACATTTACAATCACCCATTGCCACCAGATCTCTTCACAACACTGCAGCTAGAGTGATGCTTCCTGACTAAGTGCTTAGTAGGCACACGGCAAACTACCAAAAGGTAACAGGATAAAATGGCAAACTCACGTTTCTGCACAAACATCAGTAGTTAATTCCTACTTGAGAAATGAAATGTACTGACTGTTTGAAACGTATTCAAGTGTATTTAGCATGACTCGCCTGGCTGAGGGAATGGCAAGGAATGAGCCAGGGAGCTGCTGAAAGATTGAAGATGAAGGTGGAGGGAGGCGTGTGGAAAGAAATGTAAAGCGGGGCTTGGCAAGAGAGATTCATTTATGATTATATAGTTATTGATGTACAGGGGAACAGTACATGAAGTGCTCTATGACAGAAAACTCGAGCTCTGTTCTATCAAATTGTGTGTTGTTTTATTGGTGTTTGGGGTGAGTATAACTCACTAACTCATGACA